CACCGTGTACACGGTAGCACCCCTGCAGCCATAGGGGATGGCTGATCGCCGGCTGAGACAGCGAGACACTGACACGGGCAGTCATGTGAGTTTCCCCATAATCGTCCAAACACACTCGTGGGATTCTGGGACTATTGGAGAGACATTGAACCCCCTGCAATTCCACCTGCGTCTCCCAGGTTGTATATCTGCAGAACACGCGCAGTCGCCCTCGGGCCCGCTCACGAACCACTTCCGCCAGACCATCTCGCAGAATCTGCAGGCGCTGCAGAGCGCTACCAACGCCGACCAGCAGATTATCGGTCTCTGGCGGGAGATTCAGCCAGCTACCCGGCTTGGCGTTGCTCTATAATCGTATCTGCTCCTTCTCTCTCGCTCACCCCTTCCCCTCCTTATCTATCGCTTCTCTCCCACCAGGTCTGCTCCTCCACCTTCACCCTCACACTATCCTGTGCCTTCTCCTCCTCTCCTCCCCTCTATAATCTCGTAATGTTCCCAAGCCCAAGTGCCCATGCCTCCCACGCTCTGTATGTATACTGCATGACTGCGCAATGTCACAAAGTGTCGGGGCGCTATGCTATTGACAATGACAGAGTGGTTACTGGGAGAAGAAGGGGGGCTTCTTAGAGTGCACCGAGCGCGGCGACGGCGAGGGCAGCGAGCGCGAGGGCGGTCTTCCTGTTGGCGCCGGGGGCGGCGGCCGACTTGGCGACGTTGGCAGCAGCGGAGGGCGCGGCAGTGGGGATATGAACTGATGCAGCCACGAAACACCTTCCCAGCACCTGAGCATCGGGGACAGCGCATGGCGCGCATGGCTCGCCCGGCGCACATAGCTGATCGCCCAGGCAAAGGAGACCCCCAAACTTGCTCTCCTGGCAACAGTCGCCGCAAATGCGAGAGCGCCGCGACGATCGGAAAGGCGCCCTACCAACCGGCTGGATGCCCAGCGTGCCCAGCCCGACGAGCCGACGAGCGCGCGAGCGCGTTGAGCATGCCCATCCGCCCATCCGCTTCTCTCGGGCCCGCTTTGGGCCTTCTTTGGGCATCCTTTGGGTCCCTCCCCGCCTTCTGCACGACTCCTTGGCCTCGCGCATCCGGCGATCTATTGTTCTGGCCATCCTTCGGTCAGTGGCTGGGAATGCGCACTGGTCCTGCGCCCCCGAACCAAACAAGTCTTGCTGCGTCTCGGCGCGCTCTTGGTATTGTCGGGGGCGCCATTGTACGGGTTGGAGGGCCTTGGAGGACAAACAATGGATGCTGAGAGGAGCTGCTGCTTGAGGAGAACGACAGAACATCTCTCATCACCTCTCATCACTCACCGTCTCATCGTCGTCTTGACATCAGACTCACATCACTCGCAGCTGCTACATCGGCATACCTTTCAAGGAGTGGACGGCGCCTCGTTCACGCTTCAACCTTCGTCTCCATCAAACCTTCCATCAACGAAACTCTCCAAACATTCCAACTACCCGACCCGACACGCCACCAGACAACATGGCGCCCACGTCGACGACGTCCGCCCCCTCAATGCCAGTGACAGTCCCGCTCCGCCCCGTCCCCGCCGTGGGCTTCTTCAACGCAACCCTCATCCCCCCCGACGCCATGATCAGCTACGCCATCTGCCGCTCGCTCAAAGTGTGGTACGCGCCCGAACGTCCCCGTCCCTTGGACCTGAAGAGCGAGCATTCGGACACAAAGGGGCATGTTGTGCCGATCGAGTTTTGGAACGGGCCAGAGTATGGACACCGTATCGAGCATACGGGAGACCAGTCTTGGCTCGAGTTTGAGGGGAAATGGGGCAATGTCGGGGATGGGTGTTGGTATGAGCCCTTCATTGGGATCTGCCAGTTGATCGCTGGGCCGCCGGGGCCAAATCGCGAGTTTGGCATTCCGCCGAGTGTAAGTGCAAGCTACCACCGAGCGCACAGCGTTAGGTGGGCAATGGAAGTTGTTCGACGCCTGCCATGTGTGCAACATCACTCCCAGCTCAGCGTTGAATCGGCTAGCTGACGCACAGTGTATCCTTGCGCCCCCCGCCGACGCCGGGTCGACGTTCAAGTTCTACCTCTCCAACTGGGTCGTGTGGCAAGCCCAGGACCTGAACGTGACGCACGTCCTGCTCGAGCAAGTTTGCACACGGCCCAGTATGGGTGCCTCGGCTCGAGACCCTTATTCTGTCGCCCCGCTCGAGGTCCACGACCGGCTCCCCTTTGACCCCGAGGATCGATTCTACGAGGCCACAGCAGCGCGGTGCGAGGGCGGACGATCAGCAGCTAAGGGATACCGACTCGCTCTGTACCGGGGCGAGGAAAGGGTCAGCACGAGCCCCGTGGTCCGTCCCGTTCACGCATCCGGTGTAGTTGGCGTCGTTCTCGAGCGTCTCGATGCGGCACGCGAAGAGCACGTCGTTCCAGACCCCGACGCCGGAGCAGCATCTCTGCGCTGTGCTCCGCGTCGCCTCAGAGACGTTGTTCGGCCGGTCGTGGTACGGGACATCGGGATCGCCATTCAGCACACACACGCGCGTGTCGTTGCTGAAGCCGGGGTTGAAGAAGAAGGGCTTGTCCTCGGGTGGCTGGGGACCGGACTTGGGACGAGGGTACAGGTCGGGCGGGAGGGGTGCGCCAGAGGCCGAGACGTTACCAGCGCCGGGCCCCACAGAGCTGCCCGTCGTGGAGGGAATGGGCGAGACGGACATGGTTTTGGTGTATGATTGGATACGAGTGGCGAGGGTTGCGGGCCGGATGGACTACTCTTATATGCATGCCGCGGTCCGGAGCAGGAGCTGACTCCGGAATGACCATACGTCATCGCCGATGCAGCGTCGATGGATCGATGGACTGCGCCGAAAGAGGCTGAAGCTAATCACGGCAGGCACCGGAATGTTTGTTCGTCAGCCTCGGCGATGCGGAGCACCGTGATGAGATAAGGTGCTGCACTACACCTCACCTTCCGAGGCTTGGGCATGCAGCACCGCACATTCAAGGGATCAGCTGTGCATAGAACTGAGAGATTATGATGCATTACGAGTAGTAGAATCGTTATTGGGCATGATATACTGGGCTAGATGCTTGCAGACTTATGCTACAGAGGCGAAGAGCGCCGTCGCGACGGCAAGAAGGGTGAAGCTCAGCGCGGTCTTGTGTGTCGCAGCCTGCCCGCTGTCAGACTTGACCTCATAATAGCGGAAGCTCTCCACCATGGGGAGGGCATTGTAGTCGGTGGAGAGGATGCACTCCTTGTACTTGTCTCCCTTGTCCTTGATGACCAAACAAGGCGAGAGTGCGTGGTTGCGGTAGTCGGAGAAGTTCGACGGGTTGGGGGAGTTCGCCGAGTAAGGCAAGTCCTTTCCAGTAGATTCGACCGGATCTCCGTTCACGATCATGCAGCAACGAGCACCCGTTGATGTTCCGTTGAACGTTCCATACGCAATTGCGATGCTGTGCGTGCTGTTGTCGTAGTGCTCGGGCCACTGCGGCTCGGCCCAGAAGGCCGACCGGATGCTCTCCTCGTATTCGCCATACGGTCTGCACTTCGTCTTGTTCTTGGAGGTCTGGTTGCCCTTGGCACGGGTCTCGAATACGGCCGTGCTGTTTGCCGTCTCGGTGCGGCAGGCGAAGAGGTCCTTGTTCCAGATACCGATATCGGAGCAATAGCTCTCGCCAATCTTGCGCAGCTCAGGTGGCGGCAGGTAGTAGGGTTCCTTCTCGCTCGGCGCCTCAACGAGGAAGTAGCAAACCTGCGCCTCGTCGCTGTGCGTCGGGTTGAAGAAGAAGGGCCGGCCAGTCGGAGGCTGAGGGCCAGAAGAAGGGCGGGGAGCTACATCGGTAGGAAGCGGTGACGCGCTGGCGGATGGGACGGCGCTGACCGTCGTTGAAGGCAGGGAGGGGACTGAAGAGGACATGGAGTCGGAATGAGTGACAAATGGAATGGGGATGGAAGAAGAGACGGTGCTCCAGCGCCGAGCTCCTTTTATACGACTTGAGTGAGCCCGGCGCCGGAGTTCTGCGGATATGCGGCTGCGGATCGAGATAAACGGACCTAATAGGACACCGAGCGTTGGTTCCGGGCGCCGGAGGCGTCAGACCCTGAAGGCTGTCCATGTGATGGGCCCCACCACCATTGCTGTATGTTTATAGGATCGCAGGCTGGTATGCATGAATGATGGGTAGCTGGCGGCGGTCTTGCAGTCTCTTGGCAAGAGTTTCGTCGGCTGCGTCGGTATCCTCGGATATGCTTTTGTTCAGACGACCACAAAACACTCACCTCTCGCCGCAGATCGGCTGACGTTTGCAGTTGCATCAGGTTGAGGCTAAACCAGATGAGGCAAAAATGTCATCGCCTTCTGACGGCAACTGGTTTGTGTGTCTGCAGCGTGACTGATGCTGTCTCAACGGCCCTGTCGTCGTCGGGAGATGGCCAACGAATGGAGCCGCGTCGCATGATGACAACGCCAGACATACCAGGACGCGTGAAAGAGCTTTGGTCGTCCCCACGTCTCCACCTCGTCGCGCGCCGTAGTCGAATCACAACAGGCTGCCCTGGGCGATGACCCTAGGCAGGACCGGCGCCGAGGTCCATGCACAACGTTACAACCTCTCACCAGCCTGACGATGCATGTAAAAGACGCAATATCATCCAGCCGGAATTGTCGCAGGTTGCATAACCCACTTGGCCGGCCGTTACCACTGGGATGTGCCACGCTGAAACACTATGACATCGAAACGCGAGGAGCATCGATGTAAAAGTTCGTTTCATCGCTTCATGACGGCGTCCTCCTCTACAACTACGCTCTACGTCTCTTGTGTACGTTTGTGAGCTCTATAATCTTTACGCCAGCGAGCCAAGAAGCGCCATCGAAGCCGCGAGCACCGCAAAGCCAACTCCAAGCTTGCGTGTCGCTGGGGCCGCCGAGCCCTGCCCGGGTGGTGTCCGAACCCGATTATACGAGGTGCTGTTGTACTGCCAGGACTCGGCCATGACGAGCGCATTCGGCGCGGTGTCAAGTACACACTGCTTGTAGCTGTCGGCTTGCTCCTTGGGAATCAGGCAGGGTGGGAACATGGTGCGGTTGTACTCGCCAAAGCTTTCGCTGTACCGTTTCTGGTGCGTCGAGTTGGAAAGAGAGTGGATGTACGTGCCCTTCGCCTGGGCGCAGCAGCGCTCGGCGGTGCTCGTGCTGTTGCTGATAGTGGGATTGGTGCCGTCACCGGCCATGCCGTTGGTAGCGGTGCCATTGCCAACGGTGCCATTGCTGTCGCGGGCGCCGAAAGCGGTGGTGATCCAATGCGTGTTGTTGTCGAACGCTTCGGGCCACTTGGCCTCCATCCAGAAGAGCCACTCGACATTGGCTTGATAGCCTTTGAAGCCAGTACAGCCAGCGTGCAGGGTCCCATTGGCACAAGTTTCGAACGCTTTCGTCCCATTCTGAGACTCCGTGCGGCAGGCGAAGAGAATGTCATGCCAAATGCCCACCCCCGAGCAGCACCTCTCGCCCGTGCTACGCGCCAGCGCCATCTCGGTGGCATTCAAGGTCGCCTTGTCGTTCTCAGCTGTCTGGATTGAGAAATAGCACACCCCAGAGTCGTCCGTGTGCGTCGGATTGAAAAAGAAGGGCTGGCCCACCGGAGGCTGCGGGCCTGAGGAGGGGCGCGGCGCCAGGTCGGGCGGAAGCGCGGTGGCGTTGCCGGATGCCATCGGAGCAGTTGTGGAGGAAGGAGCGGGGGAGACAGACATGGTCTCCAGGCTGGAGTTGGAGATGCAGATGGGAGGGGAGATGCTGCCCACCTCGTATCTTTATAAGCCTTTGTGAAGCCGGGGTAACTCTGATCCTACGGTGGCCGGCAGGATACCGAGTGTTGCAGGTCAGAGCTTATCTCGGAGGCACCGGCGCAGGATTTCCGCAGCATCAGGGTTCACCATCTCAAGTATGGACCTCCGCAATCCATACTCACGCATGCATGGGATCTCGGTTGCATCCTCATAGTCAACTACGGTTCCGTGCATGCTCAACTGATCGACACCGATGGATATCGGAACCCTTTCTTCCGTTGCGCAACCACCAAGGATAGCGCAGAAATGGGCTTGATGCCATCCTATTCATCCAGCCCTTGGACCGTGCCCATACCAGAGTGCGGAAGTGCATCCTAAACTTGGCTGAAGAGGGGATGACGTACGAGGCGGGGCGGTTTCAACCTCGATAGTGTCCAGCCAGAGCCCTCAAGGACACGTTGGCGATTACCTATTCGGCGGCGCCGTCCGACTTCAGCCCCCATGAATTGTTCGGAGACAGAGTCTTATAACTGCTTCGACTTCACAATAGCAGCAACGTGGTTCTCCTCATCATCCGGGTTGAAGCCGTGTAGAGTAAGCACCAAGCCATTCTGTAGGTCTGTGTTGGAGCCCCCAGTCTGCCCAGCCCAGTCTGGGGGTCACAAGCGCGTGCGCCGTCGTCGCTGAGCCGCCGCCATCGAAGTGAGATTGCAGGCTGGAGCTAGCTTGTCAGGATGCACTGTTCGACCTCACAGGTGTCGGGGAATCGCTTGTGCGCAGAGACCTGTGGGGCAAATGTCCTAAGCCCGTTGACACGGTAGCGATGAGAGTTAAGTTGCCGAACCTGACCTTACCGCAGAACCTGATAGGGTACAGCAATGCACGGACGGCGGAAAGCAATGATTTCCTCTCGGCCTGAAGTCGCTGGCGTTGGGAACGGCGGTCGGTTCTGTCTCCGCGCGGGGTGTTTGTACCTCGCATCTGCGCGACCGATAATGTCTCTCGTAAGGAAGTCGGGAACTCCTGACCGTTGATACCTAATGATGCTCTGTCCTGACTCATAGCATCATTAGGTCCAGCACCGGTTTCTGATGCCAGCGTGCCTGTTCGACTCTTCGCTGAGAAGCAAGCAAGGGTGGGGTGGCGATGACTTCCTTCACGTCCGAGCAAGCGACACCTTGGACAGATATGCCTTCAACCTCTTACTCCGAAGACGCTGTTGAGAACGCACGTCTGATCAACGCCCTCTTAGTCACCACCATGTCGATCTTGAGCTGGCTTTCCCTTGCCACGATTGTTACAGCGCTGTTCAACACTACTTTCGAGGTGACACTTGACAACTTCTCCCCTTCGTTCGCCACCGACTACGGTGACGGCTTGTACGGCCCATGGTGGGTATATGACCGCAATACAGGCTTCTTCCAAAACAACCCCGTCGGGCGCTCTTCGGGTGGATTGGATGTTTGCTTCGTGGCCCAGGCTTTCCGGGTCTTCGGGGAAGCCGAAGTACGTCCGGAGCGGTCGTCTCCAGAGACATCAAAGGGGTTTGTCGGTGCCGCTGCTCTTGTTGGTTCAGATAAGTATGGCCGCCATCGATTCGGTCCGGCAGAGGGGCTACTCGCCAGCTGGAACGCCTCAAAGGCAATGTCGATGATACTGCACATCAGCCACAGCCCATCTGCCCTTATCACGATTCACAACATCACCATCGATGTCCCGGTCAGGACCCAAGCGTACGTCAAGTTCTAGCTGAGCTGACGATAGGCCGTCGCTGAACGAGTGGGAGAAACAGGCGACCTACCGTCCAACGGTAGTGGGGTCCGGTGCAGCGATGGACATGCGCACATCGGCATTCTCGTCGGGTGACCTTGTGCCGGACAGTGGCAACCCCTGGGAAGTCGGCCAAAACTTGACGTGGCCTATCTTCTCGGGCGACAACATGGTGCTGCGTTCTTTGCAAGAGTTGACAGTCACATTGCCTCCAAACACCTCTCTCGCTCGCGTGCACGGGCCGGTCGGGCATTTTGGAGGCTTGCCCTCTGTCAATAGCTCAGGGCTGCTCCGAAACGGCATAAAGCTGCGCCGCTTCGACAAGACCTGTACGGCAATCCTCGACCCACTACCGCCATGGTTCAACCAGTCTGCGGGTATCGATGCACTCCCCATGGCATGGCAGTCAACTGGCAGAAACATTACCAACAGCACCTTGTTCCTCTTCCCCCTCGACCCAAGTGTACGATACACACTCAAAGTGCTTCCACGCTACAACACCTCGGTCTGCGCCGTATCAGGTATCACAACATATCCGTTCCATTAGTGAGTAGCCTTCTTCCATGGGCTGCTGCGCCCTGCTGACCCTCAGCGACTATCAGCGGGCCACGGAAGACATGACAACTGAGGTGGAGAATGGTGGAAAGTCTGATAAGACTGGTGCTATCATCGGCGCTGTCGTGGGTACAGTGGGCTGCTTGCTGGCTGTCGCTGTCGCTGTCTTCTTGACCCGTTCCTACCTCACGAAGCATCGTTCAAAGCCTGAAAAGGGCTTTGTGGTAGACCGCCCCGGATCGGGAGAAATTGTGCCATTTGTCCAGCAGCCGGGTGCCTCCGCCGGTGTCACCTTCCGCAAGGGTGGGGCGAGCGCCAACAACCCATCACTCCTGATCAGGTGGCGTGACATCGAACACGAACGGACGGACAGAATTGGCGATGATTCGATCTCTACGACCCGCTCTGGGTCCAGTCAACCCCTTTTGAGCACCACGCCCACTTCTGACGTGGAAGAGGGGGTAGCCATCTCAGGAGATGATTCCAATGCGGAGGCTGGCCCGTCATCCCGTCGGGCTGTGCATGAGGAGGACAACGAAGATGCTTCTGTCGATGTGCTTCCTCCACTGTATAGGGAGTCATGGGATCAGCACCGTCGCAGGCAAGACCTGGATTCAGGGGCGAGCGGAGTTCGTTTGGCGGAGGAGTGCCGGCGCCCCTAAGACGATGCATCGCAGTCGTCCCCTGCAAACACAGACAGGCAAGTTCGACTCAAAGGCAAGGGAGCCGCCCTTCTGAGAGAGATTGGGCGTTGCCACATGTCAGTCTGAGGCGTGACAAAACTCAGCGTCTTCGAAATTGTGATAATTGGGTCTTGGTGCCACAACGTTTTCGTAGATGGCGGGGACTACAGTTTCCCGCATCGCACCTTGCATTGCAAGTGTTATTATTTTTCGCATGGATCAATTTTAGATTGACCTTCCGGCCCACAAGTGTCTTGGGGATGCCCTGCCGGGTACTGGGCAGAGTACGACTCTGTCCTTCGTCGATCTAATCAGGGGGACAGGCTGGGCGCAGTCCACCTTGTGTGGGGCCCGACACACGGGCACAGGAAGCGTACCAACGGCAGCTGGAATGGCATCCCATACATCGCTCGGGTCCGACCAAGCGCTGAAGCCTTCATAAAGCCCAGCCACTAAACTCTGATCATGATATCAGAGCCCGTACCACATCTCTCTCCCCCTCTCAAAGCCTCGTCCTCCCATCTTATTGTGAAGCCCAGAGTAGACATGATCCTCCAACTTGTAGTAATACTGGTGGTTGCCATAGTCTCAGCCCAGCTCAACACGTCATTCCAGCTCACGTTCAAGCCAAACTCACCCGCCTTCGACTTTTTCAGCGACCAAAGAGGCATGTGACTCCTCGACAACACCACCAAACACGTGTCGCTAAGTGCCAGAAGTCGCAGTTCGGGCTCGTTCGAGCCGTCGTTTATCGGCACCCGGCTACGCCTCTACGGCAAGGCTAGCATGAGGTTGGAGGACGATCCGGACACTTCGTCCTGTTGGCACCTACTGACGATCTTGAACAATATAGCGGCGCTCCCCTGTGGGTGTGGTGAGCTCTGCGTTGTGGGTGTGATGCGTCGAAGTTCCATGTTAGCGAAGGGGAGGGGCATCACGATCAGCCGAGCATGTTCCGCAACCCATCTCGCCCTGCCGCTGATCAGGGCTCGATGGTTTAGCCGCACGCTCGGCAAGACGCAGCATACGCAGGTTACACACGGCTATTGATAATCCAGGTGGCCACGGGAGCGACTCAGTGAGAGCCGGAAAGCTAGGCGGCTCCCACTTGTTCGGACTGACAAGCCACTGAGAATCTTGTAAATATCAGCATTCCGCTGCCGTCCATACCGTTACACTCAACCAGCTTAGCCAGCCGCAATGAATTCAGCTTCCATGTATAGCAGTCCCAACTCCGCTCTTCATCTTTGACGATGCTCATCGTAAGTGGCGTAAGGCATGCATCCCTCAGGTCTGCGCTAGCAAGATACTTTGCTCAGTCGAAATGAGAGTCCTATGTTGCAGTCAGTTGCAGGAACTAAATCTCGCGCCAGGGCACGCCACAGTAGCGCACCATTGATTCACAACCTTGAGTCTCGTAGGGTGCGGCTGTGCTTTCGATGGGCTCAGATTATGCAGATCCCGAAGGGCCTTGTCAGAGAATGTCCTGTGGGTTCATGCGGTATTTGTGAATGTGTGATGTGCGCACTGAAGGATGACTAGCGGTAAAACAGAATAGCATCCGGGTGCAAAACTCCCGTTCCCATATCAGACACTATCTACATCTTCTCATTGCACACATCCCCTAAACCGAGCTCCCCATCGACTGCAAGCACATCTTCTACGCCTGAGCACGACAGCATACCTCTCATCTCTCTCTCTTTTCGATGCTCTGCCTCACCCTTCTCCTTGCCTTCCTACACTTCTCAAAAACAGTATGGGCTCAGTTCAACACGACGTTCCGATACACCTTCCCTCCCCGGGCACCGCACTTTGACCTCTACGAAAACGGCCCTTTCGAGTGGATCTACGACGACGATACCGGATACAGCGTGTCACAACCCCGTCAAGACAGAAGAGCGGTACCGTTTCCAATTTCGGTTGTGGGTGAAAACTTCACGCTTTACGGAGATCCTGTCACGGTGATGAATGCGACCGAAGGTGTTTCGATCACACTCCTTAGTCCCGTCACCGGTGATGTCAGGAGATTCCACAACAGCAGTGGGCGGGTGAACGTGACCGCTGAGGTCGCCGGGAACTGGACGCGGATGGAGCCCAGGGTCTTGAACATGTGGGCGGTGAAGCAGCCTGCCACTCATATCACTCTCCACAACCTCACTATAGACGTACCAGTTCGAACTCAGGCGTAAGTGAAGTCCCCAGCTTCTTCATAATCGAGTCTGACAGCAGCTCAACACCTGACCTCTGGGAGAAGCAATCGAAGTATTTCCCAGTGGCAAAGTACGGTGCCATGACAGTGGACATGAAGTCACAGGCTTCAGCTCCAGCGATGTCATACCCGATGCAGGTCAACCCTACTGGACGGGACGTTCTGGTGAAACCGCGGAGGTTTCGGGAGACGACGTTGTTCTTGAGTCCCTCATGGAACTGGTGTTTGCACCGCCAGCTAATACGTCCCTCATCCGCGTTCTCGGACCCGTAGGCCCAAGCCTGCAGCAGCTCAAGACAACGCCCTTCGCTCCTGAGCTGCCAGTTTGTGTCGCGCTTTTGGACCCTGCGCCGCCTTGGCTGCAATCAACTCTCAACATGCAATTGGAGGACTTTGTGATGGACTTGGAATACAACTGGCCGATGGCGTGGCAAACATTCCCTCGGAACTTTACCAACACGACGCTTTTCCTCCTTCCGCTCGATCCGACAGTACAATACAACGTCAAGATCCTACCCCGGCGCAACAACACGTTGTGCGTTGTGTCAGGGTTTCAGACCTACCCTTTCCACTTGTAAGTCTATTGCAGTGTCCCGACCCGCTGCTGAGCAGTTAGCAACTACACCGCTCTGAATGTGGAGAACGTCACGCAGCCTGGTGTCGACACATCAACCGACACTGTTGAGGATACGGACGGCAGTGGGCAGAGCTACCCAAGGCAGGGTCCGAACCGAACGGCCATCATCGCAGGCTCAGTAGCAGGCGCGGTCGTGGCACTGCTCGCAATTGGAGCCGCAATAATCCTGACTCGCCGCTGTCTGGTGGGCCATCGTACTCGGCCCGATCCCGGCTTTGAGGTCGATGAGGGTGACCACACGAGTGAAATAGCGCCCTTCCTTGGCGGCTTCGTCTCGCGAGTGAGGCACAGTACACGTGTCTCCAGCAAGAACATCGGCCAACCTGCAATCATCCAACCGGCGGCGGCTAATTCAAATCCTCCCTCTCAGGATCTCGTTTTATCCGATGCAGCTGGTCCTGCATTTGCGCTCCCCACAGCCCCCGAGGCTCGAGTGGTTCACGATCAAGACGCGGAGGACGCTGCCCTGGAAGTGCTTCCGCCCATGTACAGCGAGGCGTGGGCTAGGCGTCGCACAAGCATGGCGCTCCAGCACGGGGCGTCTTCAGTGACAGGGGCCGGTCAAGAGAGCCGCGCAGAGGAGAAAGGGAACCTCGGTCGTTAGGTTATTGAGCGCGTATAACTGTAACGCGTTTGTAGTTAGGGAGAGAAACAAAGGCTGGTGCATAGGCCGAGGCCACGATAAAACAAACTGGAGGCATCCAACTACTTCACTTAGTGGGATAGTGTGTCAGCGGTCGATCCAGTAGACTTGCGAGAAATGTACACGTGTTCCCGCGAGTTCTCTCTCTCTGCCTAGAGGAAAACGCGAGGCGTTTGAACGAGGTCTGCGTTCCTCAACAGAGCGGCACCATCAGAGCCACCATCAGAGCTTTCCGCCGAAGCGGCTGCTCGTGCCCAGACATGAGCATTATCTGCAGAGGTTCGGATGTGAAGCGATGCCCAAGGCGCCCGGCCCATGGACGCCCCTATGGATCCAGCAGCCCAAGATCTTGCAAAGAGTTCGAAGATCGCCGTGCGTGAAAGGGTTCAGGGTTTCTCAGGGTTCCGTGCCTTGACGATAAGATAAGAGTAGTTGACCCTGACCTTGAAGCGACGCCAGGGAGAGATCAAGGAAAGGAAACCTCATGCGCTCGCAGTGCATGTGTGTTGCCATCAGTGCAGCGCGATGGGCCGTTCAGACTGCAGTGAGGTCACCTTCGGGTCGCTTTGCCCTGCCCCTCGCTTCCAAGCCATGTCGCTGTGGCCTAGGCCCCGCGCCCGACACAATGCAGATCGGGCGCCGCCCAAAGCTGTGATGTTTGATATGCCGTATGCGGATTGCTTCTGTTGGAATAAACCTCGTCACACAGTGAAGAATCCTGTTACCCATCATACTGTAACACTTCTCTGGTACGTGTGCTGGGGCCCCTAGGCTCTGATTCAGTGGGGGAGAAGCCCATCACTCCCTCCGGAAAAGGCAAATTGCAATCAAGATGCACCTTCAACCTTTATCCCTGGTCCAGCAACTTTGACAGTGAAATGAGTGAGGGAGAAATGCCGAAGGTCGCACGACTATCGACGCACTCTGCCACCAACGTCACTCTGTACTGGATTCCTCTGAATCCCACGGTTCAGTACGTTTGACCATCGAGCCGGCGTGGATGAGTTTCAGAGTTACTGTGTCGTATCAGGCTTCAGGACTTATCCTTTCAACTTGTGAGTGAGCACTGCACTGGGACATGTGGTTCTAAGTGTCGGCTTCTTTGTCATCGTATCTGCGATTCTCTTCGTTCGGCACTATCTGCAGCTCCCCGTCCTCCGTTCCGAGACAAGTTCCCAAGTCGACCCGGAAGTCAGTGACCCGGAGGTGGAGCCGTTTCCACTGCTTAGTGACGCCGCAGCCTCAACTACTGCCGATTCAGCGAAGAACCCGAAGCCAATCCCCTTGGTATCTGGGTCGAGCACCGGCCCTGCTATCCAAACTGAAAAACCAGGGGTGACAAAGCTGCACGGTCTTGCTCCGTCTCGTCTCACTCGCGTGTATCATGATGAGACGAGTCCAGATCCACAGCAACCCGTGATCTTGACTGAGGCTCATGAGACGGAGCCCGGTCCCAGCCAGCGCCGCGCCGTGCACGAAGAAGATGCCGAGGACATCGACGTTCTCCCACCAATGTACCGCGAAGCTTGGGGTGAGCGTCACCAGATGCAGTTGCAAGAAGGAGCTTCCGGTGTCGCGCGCGACGCGAATGGCAGTCGTGCCGTGGACGAAGTAGGGAACCACAGCGTTCGGTGTTATGCAACAGCGCACTATGTCCGTGTGTAGTACAGATGCATTCTGCGAAGCGCATCACAGTTGAGCAAGCCCTGCTAATCAGGGTGGTTGTCCCCTAGACTGCAGGGTTGAGGGCCCGGTTTCAGGGGCCAATCTTCCGACCTTCTGAGGGGTGGACAGGGGGAGGGGTGGTTTGAGTTCTGAGTGCCCGGTCTCTGAGATCTCGCGGTTTCTCTTCAACTAGCCTGGAGATCATTATGGAAAGGCGAATGTTTGAAACGTGCACAGACAAGGAGTACCTCAGTTAAAGCTGTGTCTTGAGGAGACGAGTAAAGTAGAGGTGTCCAACGCAGCTCTCTGCCGCTTCTCCACTGCCCCGCTGTGTCCGTTGTCATCCGCAGGCGACACAGCTTAGGTCAGCAATCCACAGATAACAGGTCCCCCGCCGGCCCGCGAGCTCCACCAGCCTGATGCCAATTCAGACCAATAAGGGTCCTGCAGAAAGACACCGGCCTTTCGCTGGACAACGCGTGACCTGCGAGTTGCATTGCTTGATCTGATATGTGCTTCTCCCAGGGGTGACTCTCAGTTCAGATCCTCGGCCCGTCATCTAAAGGACGAACCGGGGAGGGACTTCTTTCAGAGATCTGAAGGCATGGCAGAGGCTTCACGACGCAAACCGGCATGAAGTCCCTCCATCGCATGATGTTTCAGCGTCTGGTACGGGAATGTGACTGAGCGTCCCAGCGCTGTCCAATGCTGCATGACGAACTTTTCAGTTCAAGCTCTCTCTCTCTCTCACACACACACTAAAGACTGTTTCTTATTCTCTCAACCGTTTCTCTCAGTTGATCAGAAACGACGCCATCCAAGGCAGTTCAGCCGACTGCCATGCCCTCCAACTTCTTCAACTGCGTGCTGCTTGGCTTGCTCACGCTCGAGTTGGTTATCGCCCAATTCGATAACACATTCGAGTTCACCGAAGCTCCGTTGTCACCAACGTTGACTTGGCACACCAATGAATCCGAGTTCTTCGGCGGGTGGATATACCATGACACAACTGGCTATCTCGAAAGCGGAGCACCACGGACCGATTTCCAGGCGAAAACCTTGACGGTCGATTTCATTGGCAGCGGCTTCCGCATTCATGGCGAACTGGACACGGGGGGCCGAGATCCTCTCTTGCTCGACCTGGGCTCGTTCTGGGTCGCGCCGAACATGTCCACCGCCTTCAAAATTAACAAGACCAGTGGAGTCATTGCCGAATGGGAGTTTCTAGGCGCAGTGAGAACGATGGTTGCTCATATCTGGATTCCTGAAGACATTGGCTTCATACTGCACAACGTCACCACGTTGATACCAGTATCCACGGAAGCGTATGTTCCACCTCACTTCACGGTTCTAACGCTAGTCATAACCCCGAAGCTTGGTCGAAGGAGGCTGTGTATCAGCCTGTAGTCGTCAATGGTAGTCTGAGCTCCCAGATGTCCGCCAAAGAACTCGATGACACTGAACTGCGATTCTTTTCGCTCTCTCAGTCCGAGAGACGCGTGGCCCCTGAGTATCTTCCTCCACGAGTCTTTGGAGAAACTCTGATGCTGGAGTCTGGCAATGAGCTCCTCTACCGATTGCCCCTCAATACCTCTCTTGTCAGAGTGCTCGGACCAGTTGGGTCAAACTCAGACTGGGATCACGCCATCAGGAGCAATACAATGAAGCTGTGCACTATCCAATTCGACCCTTTGCCCTATTGGTTCAATGAAGGTAGCTACCAGCACATAAGCTGGGAGTTGTCTTTTGTACAATCACAGCGACCCAGCTTTTCTGCCAACATGACCCTCTTCCGAGTCCCTCTGGACCCAAGAGTCCAGTACACGGCGAAGGTGATGCCCGTTTACAGTGGGCAGCCCAGGGTCTGCGTCTTCTCCGGCTTCGAAACTTACCCTTTCCATGTGTGAGTACCCCCTACACATCAACGCACTCGGTAGATCTAACTCTACAGCCGGAATGGAAGTTTTATTGAAGGAGGGGGGCACGGAAACCACAGTCACAACGGCAGTACGCCCGGAAACAAGCATCTCGGAGACAGTAACCAAACCAGAGAGGAGGACGGAAAAGAGTTTAGGCCGTTCAAGACCAGCACTCTCGTCGGAGCCGTGGTAGGGACAGCTGCTGGCATTCTGGCCATCGGTGTCGTTGTTTTCATCACCCGTCGATGTGTTTTGCGGCGCCGTTTGCAGTCGGAAGCCAGTATACCTGATTTCGAAGTAGACCATGCCCCCGCCATTCTGACGCCATTCGTCACTGAAGTGACAGCAGGATCGACAGCTGGCGCAAATGTTGGGCCGGTAGTGCCCCCTCCTGAACCTCGAAGCAGTACTCAAAGCATCCTCTCGCCACTCCTGAATCGGCTCAGCTCTATTTCTAAGACCCCCAGATCTTCTTTGGCAACAACGCGTCCTGAAGAGGCAGCAGTGTCATCCACCACGGCGGACCCTAGCACGCACCCAACTGAGTCTTCAATTGGCCACTCCATCGCCGGATCCTCTGCTCGACCTGCACGCCGCGCCATCCAGGCGGAGGACGCAGAGGACGCAGATATTGAGATCGTGCCTCCTGCATACCGCGACGCGTGGGCCCAGCGCCTGTCTCAGTCCGAGCTCCACGACGGATCTGTGGCGGTCACGAGGAGTGTGAAAGGAGAGCGCGCCCAGGATCTCGGGCCCCTTTGCCTGAGATGAAGTTCTCTGCGCTCCAGTTCGGACGGTTTTCCCAAACACTTATAATCAATCACTGTACCTATCGACTTATGATATGCAGCTTCATGTACATGGTACGACGCACACTGTCACCGCTACGGCCATTGAAGTTGTTGACCCCCCAATTACAGGTGTTGAGCAAGAATGAGACATTTTGGCACTGGAAGCGAGCGCCACCATTGAGACCCTTCGCTTCCACTAATTCCAGCTTTAGAATCCGGACATGTCACATAGCTAACTTGCATAAATCTGCTGCTCCCTCCACCTCTCTCTCTCTTTCTCTTGTAATCATCTACGGGCATCTTCCCGCCCCATATGCGGCTTTCTCAGGTCCAGGAACATGCCCCTCAGCCCACTCAGGCCGATACTGGGGCGGCAACAACTCTAGCCTCGCGGTCTCCGCATCCTCCTCATTACGAACAATAACTCGTGCTTGAGACGGGCCAGGATTCGTATCCATCTGCTCAGGCTCCGAGAAGAGAACGTCCTTCAGAATCGTGACGGCGCCGGGAGACTTGGGCGGCGCCGGGGTCTGCGGCGCATACAGATGTCGCTTCATCTCATCTCTCAGCTGAGAAGGAGGACGACACGCCTCTTCGGGCTCAGGCGGTGTGGGTGAGGGGTTGGACATCGGCACGATAGCTGCCGGAGGCGGAGAGGTCGGAATGGGGACTGGCATGATTAGAGGCGGAGTGGTGGAAGGAGCACGCTGAGAGCTGGGCGGGCGATAGGCGCTGGGCGGACTGGAGATCACGGGCTCAGGTGAGGTCGAGTGCTCAGTAGAGACAGGCCAGTTCTGAGGGTAACGCCAGCTCTGCGAGTCACGCTGTCCGACACTGAACGCTTTGTCGTCACCAGGCAGGAAGCTGTGCGGCGATCCGCCCCCGTCTTCAGTGACGTAGCTGTTCAGCTGGGCGGAGCCGAAGGTGCCGCGGGAGCCCTCGGCGTCCAGTCCTTCGGCCGCGAAAGGAGGCAGGCTAGAACCAGTCGAGCGGCTGTCCCTGACTGAGTTGTAGCTGGCGTGGTGGTCCGTCGCGAGTCGGCTGTCTCTGCTGGAACGGTAGTCGGCGCTTGCGCCCGCGTCACTCGTGACATGACTGTGTCGCGCGGTGCGACCGGTGTCGGTGCTGTAGCGGTCGGTGGAACGACCCGCGCTCACGTTGAGGGTACTGAGACTGTCCCGGACGTGGGTCTCCCTGACTCTACTCGGCCCGACATGCTTGCTGGTACGGGCGTCAGGTGGTCTTGTCAGAACTCGGCTATCACGAAGCGACTGTGGCCAATCGGAATGGGTGGTGCTGCTACTCTCCCTGGTCGTCGCGGTAGGCGCAGTGAAGGAGGCGGTGCTGGGCGGGCTGGGTGAGATCACGGCCCGGTTACAAGGGTCGACTTGACGTAGACCCAGAGACTGGGCAGCAGAGCTGTACGGCGTGCTCGGCCCCGGTGTGACGGTCTGGTCGAGCAGCTCGGCTGCGTCGACCTCGTCGGGGTGAATGGGGAGGGGACGATGAAGTCGATAGCGGCGGCGATACCACCATACAAAGGCTAAGGGGAGGCCGATGCCGGCGTAGACACCGGCACCAAGAGCGACCCATTGGGCAGGGGTGAGTGTCATGATGGGTGCCAGGAATCTGTCGTCAGCTTGACGACCACCTTGCTGAACCAACACTCTGAATGGATGCTGACTTAAGCGATGGGCAAGGCGGGCTAAACGATGAAGAGGTTGTAAGCGCAGAGCGTGGGAAGTCGTCCTTTGTGCCGCAGAGCCCAAAGGAAGTGAATGTGTGCGGAGAGCGATCTCTGTTTCCGGGGAGAAGAAAGGGGCGCCGTCGCCAGATCTGCGTACACGCTGGCTCCGCGCGTTGCACAGTGGACAGCCCCCGCAGATCTCGCAACGGCAAATGCGTGTAGATCAGGATCTGCGACCTCGGCAGAGTCACGCTCGCCGATTTGGGTTCATTGCAGCTGAACATGTTAGACGTCGCTGAGCGCCGAGCTTCTGTTCCCGCTCGAGATGAGCTCTGACCCAAGCGCATCCTCGCGGTGAAGCGGGAGCAGGTGAGTGGTTAACCTCACGAAATTGACCGAGATTGTCGGCAACCCACGAAAGCTCCACAACCATGCCAAGCAACCGTCAATCACCCGCGTCCACCAACAGTTCTCTTCCAAACCCCAATCAGCTGCCCGTCAACCTTGCATACAGCCCAGGACAGCAGCAAAAGAGTACATCCAGGGGGAATCGAACCCCCACCGCATCGAATCGCACGTGGCAACGATGCATGATACCATTTCACCATAGATGTTGTGGACGTCCTCGTCGGAGACGGGGCGCAGCGGCCGCTGACGACGCCGCGGCGGAGCATTCGAAGGCCGAGACAGTGAGAGAAGCGCTGAGAAATGAGGATCGATGAGAGTCCTGTGAATGCTTGACAATGCGGTGGTTGGGGCTGATGTGGTGGCGTCGAGTGGCTTGAATTCTGGAACGTTGCTTTGTCACCAGATGGACAAACGATACCGTTGTCTTATCTTCTAAGATCTAAGGCGCGGAAGTCGGGGCAGTACGGCCGTTAACTTCCTCTTGCAGTGCAAAAGGAACTCCTGCCTCTGCTTCTTCTGAGCAAGGTCGTAGTCTTGCGATAGCGCCAACAAAAAGAAGGCTGTGAAGCACCTGTGATGAGAGAATCTAAGACATTGAAGTGTTAGCGGCTGTGCTTTTCCACAGCACGCTATGTATTAGCAGGCACGACCCCGCTCATCGGCGGCCGCGGCGTTCGTGTCGGCGTCGAAGCAGTGTCAATAACCAAAAGCAAAGTGGCCGTCCTCGTCCATCGCTGGCGGGCTGGTGGAGGCAGGGTTACATAAGCGGTGGCGTTCAGTGCCTTGACGTCATTGGCAGCCCCCCGTCCATCGATCCACTTTCACTCCTCAAAAACAAGATGAGAAGCAAGCCAGCCTTGATCGCCGCAACGCATCTCCGACTTCACATTCGCACACTCTCCCACACATCCAGCAAGATGGCATCTTACGAATCTCTTGCTCCCGCGTCGACCGACGCGCGCGATGCCAAGCTCGTCATCCGCGAGGTGCTCCCCGGCATGGTCACCTTCAGTTTGCCCTTTGTGAGCTTTGAGGCCGCTCGCCAAGCTAACGGACAGGAACGCTTCGGATGGATTCCCATCGGAGGGCGCAGTACGGCCATCAAGCTTCCCGAGGGTCTGTTCGTCTACGTCTCGCACCCCCTCACGACCGCGACGCAGGAGGCTCTGCAGAAGCTCGGCGGTCCCGTCAAATGGCTCGTTACACCTGATGGCGAGCACGGCATGAACATCAAGGCATGGTCGGAGGCCTTCCCCGATGCTAAGTGAGTACATTGTGCAGCAGCTGACTGGTGATGATTGCTTGAGCTGACCGCAGGCCTATCGGTGTTGAGCGCTTTGCCCGCGAGAAGCCCGACGTGAAGTGGGCTGGACTCTTTGGTGCCGGCGGCGAGAACAAGACGTACGGCTTCGAGAACGAGATTAGTTTGCACAACGTGTCCGCGCACCGGAACGATGAGCTCGTCGCTATCCACCACCCGACAGGCACGCTGCTCGAGGCCGATCTGCTCTTCAACCTGCCCCCGACGGAGCAGTACTCGCGCTCGCACATTCCGGGTTGGTTTAGGGTCCTGCTCGGAAGTGGCTCCAGCATGTCTCCAGGAGGCACGCTGCACCAGAAGCTTGCCGGAGGTCTGTTCGAGGACAAGGAGAAGGCGAAGCGCGAGATGGCGCCTATCTTCGAGGCCAAGTGGGACCGGATCATTCCCTGCCATGGCGACGTGATTGAGAGCGGGGGCAAGGCCAAGTGGAACGAGATCTGGGGCAAATATGCCCCGTCTGTTTCCGTAGAGTAATCGTGTTTGTATCATATAATATAGACTTGTGTAGACTTCCTTATTCCGGTGCTTCCCGCTGTAGAGTTCTGCCGATGCGAGACTTGTGCTGTGCAGGAAGTCGCGAGGCTTGTAATCGTGTCACGTGATTCGCCACCATGCAACGGAGACAGCGAAACGCTTACGTCACCGCTCTATGTCCGCTCGTCAGCACTGCTCTCAACCGCAAGCTACATAACGACGACCTCGTCGCGCGGACAGTCCACACCACCCACACCACCACCATGGTTTTCGACAATAAAGAGTCTACCGAGCCCCTCCTCCCCGCCCCCGCGACGCAGCCCGTGCAGCCCGTGCGCGCGCGCCATGCGCTCATCACCTTCCTCGACGACAGCGGCGAGGCGGTCGACGGCGTCGCCGAGCAGCGCCGCGTCGTCATTTTCGAGGGCGCCGACGCCCAGATCGGCCCCATGCAGCAGCCCAAGAGCATCCTCTCCGTCCTCCCCCAGATCGTCATCATGATGGTCGTGCTCTTCGTCACTGGCGCTGCCCTCATGACAGGCCTCGTCTGGCTGCTCTCTTACTTCGACGCCTTCGACGCGTAAGCGCCAAGAGCCGGACAGTTTGAACCACGTGGCAAACACCCACCCTCCATGCATCACCTTTTAGTAACTGTAAAATTGCCGTAGTTGCGTCAGCTGACGCGTAGACATGCATAGACACGTAGCATTGTACGAGCTGCGATCATGAGGACTGGCGGATCGGGTGGCTGAAAGATAAGATAAAGATTGCTAGGCATGTGGACTAGTGTCGCCCCGCTTCATGGTGTCTGGCTGAGCGTTCGTCAGCAGTCGCTTTCCTTCATCTTTCTTCGGCCGCGGAACTGGTGGTGAGCACTAACTGGAGCTAGTACCCGCGACGGCGTTGTCGTGAGCTAGTTGTAGGGCCACCCCCAGGCTTTCTCCAGCTCCCGATGAGGAGCTCACATCCGGCCCGGAGCATTCCGCCCATCCAACGACCTGCATCTCTATAAACCGCACACAGAACAGCTCCGCTCTGTGTCACCCCTGCAGGAGATAGCTGCATGGAGCGTTCAGCATGACATGTCATACGACGGACTTTGTACTAGGCAGTGCAACCCTCTGTCACGCAGCTCGCACGTTTGTGGTCGACGAAGTACGAAACAAGAGGTGCCTTACTTTCACAGTGCGTCGCCATCATGTTGAGAAGGGTTAGCCGCTTGCGCGCACGACCTGAGCACACGAGCTTTCGCACACGAGCAGCACACGACCTGCGAGAGTCGGTGTCAGTGTCAGAGAGTGACAGTCGAGAGTTAGACTAATGTTAGGGGTTCTGACTGGATGAACTGCTTATCACTGCATACGACTATTTTCACTTAGACCGATCGCGTCGGTTTACTTGGCAGAGGCGGCGGCAGCCTTGGCAGCGGAGAGGATGAGGTCGGCGATCTCCTGGGGGTGCGAGTTCATGGAGGCGTGGGAGGCGAGGAGCTCGATGGTCTTGTTGGTCGGCATGCGCTGGACGAGCTTGTACTGCGTAGCGGGGGAGACGAGGTGGTCGTCCTTGGAGACGGCGTAGTAGCAGGGCTGATTCTTCCAGGCAGGCTTGTTGCCCGACTTCTCAGTGACGAGGCCCTGCTTGGGGGGCTTCTGGGAGGTCGCGAAGGTGAAGGCCTCGTCGGCAGTCGCGTCCTGGCACATGGCGTGCTTGTACTCGTTCGGCGGGATGTAGAGCAGGCCCTGGGACGTGGGCTTGATCGCGTCGGCGCACTTGGCGGGGTCCCAGGCCAGAATGTCCGAGACACTCTCGCCAGCGTCGGGCACGATCGCGGCAATGTACACCAGGCCGCGCACCTTCTTGATGTCCGTGCCGGCGTAGGAGATGACAACTCCGGCATACGAGTGGCCGACGAGGATCACGTCGCCGGGAGTGGCCTCGATCGCACGCTTGACGACGGCAACATCGTCCTCGATCGACGTCAGAGGGATGTCGACGGCGTTGATCTGGTCGATGCCGTAGCCCTTGTCCTTGAGCGCGAGGATCGTCTTCCACCAGTGTCCACCATTCGAGAAGAGGCCGTGGACGAGGATGACAGTCGGGTAGTCGGAGAGGTCGTGGGGCATTTTGTCTGTTTCGCTGCTGCTGATGAGGGAGGGAAAGGTAGGCAGTGGAAACGGAACATTCCCATATATACTCTGACGGAACGGCTTCCGCCAAGGTCTGGGTCGGGTCATCGGTCCAGCATGTCATTGGAGCAGGGCGGGCAAAAGCCCACGGACGTATGAGGTCACGCGTGCTCCATATCGGCTGTTGGGAGGGAGCGGTATGCATCGCTCGGTGAGCTGCATGAGCACGACCAGGCGAGCTCGGCAGCTGGTGCAAGGGAACATTCGAGACACCCGGCCCTGCTGCCTGCAGTATGCAGGCAATCGAGCGGCATACGTGTGAACATTGAGCCAGGAACCGATGACGCAACCAACCACCCCTCCAGCCTGAAGACCTCGGTCAACCTCTTTCTCAAGTATCGGCCAAGCATGTGCCCAAGTGTGCGACCCTACGCTACCTCAGCAACTCGGACATCCGCGCGAAACGCATGACCCTGCCTACGTTCACGTCCTGAGACGTGTCGGACTCTTGTCGGAGAGCTGAGCCAACCGTACTAACCTCAATTGCGGGCTCCGGATCAAGTCGGTTTCGGGGCTGTCTGTTCTATTTCCGACCTGCCATCCCCTCCGCCTGAACGGTACACTGTACGTGTCATGGACCGCAGTCGTGCGAGCAGCGGTTATTCCTGCTGCATACCGAGTGCCTTTCGGGCTTGCTTTCGCTGTTGGGAAGCATGAAAATTGCGAGGGAATGCGTGTCGGTCCGAAAGATAGATAAGCCTGAGGCACGTGAAGAAAATTGGCCGTATCAAAAGGCCGATCGAAGCTTGGTCTTCGAGTCCTCTGCACGTTGCTCTCCCTCACCCACTCCGGCGCGGGTTGATATGATGGCTACCTCCCATCTGCTGTGAGATACCGGCACTCGGGTACGATCTAAGGTTCAAGCTACGAGAGCGACGAACATGGGTGCTCATGGGTTCACATCGGCAGCTCCGGGTGGCTTGGAATGCGGCTAACGGTGGCGTCGCGATATGCCAGAGATAACAACGTCGATTCCTGGCTTCGTCCGACATGATGATGCGTCATTGCCTGGAGGATTCACCTCTTGCAGACTGCTGTCGTTCTGATGAAGGTAGACTGCGTGGAGGTGTCACCGTCCCCGGCTGGGTTGCGCTCCAATATCACCACAAATCCACATCACCACCATGCTCGCATCTCATCAGCGGACCCTGAGCATCGGATGCTTGCAGCTGTGGCTGGCGCGAGATGCATGAAAAACGCTACCTGGACAGTTTGCACAACGATTGGGGATGGTAAGCTACACTAGTCAAAGAAAGACAGAAGAAGGTCGCCTGCAGGAAAGCATGGCATTGTTGTGCGGCACGCGCTCAGGTTGATGCACTCTTGGACTTCCCCAATGGACATCTCGTAGTGAGAGAGATGCGCTCTCTCACTCCACATCTCCTGCTCCTTCTCCGTCATCACTCCGGCGTACTCCTTGGAGCCCATGAGCTGTGTCATTGAGAAGATGCGCACTGTGCAGATCCCTTTCTGACGAAACTGTTCGAGATGGAGGTCAACCTGGTCTTGGAAGTACTTCTGGCACACGGAGTCCAGCACTCCGTCGGGGAGGACAACCGTGAACGTCTCGAAGCCCTTGGGGAGCATGGACCTGGTCTTGTCGCTCCGCCCGAGGTCGTCGCACATGTCGAAAATTGCTGTGAGGAGCTCATCGGCAGGCGCCATCATGTGTTGCCCATATGCGGAATCATTCTTCTGGCCGATCCAGCTGTAAGAGTCGAGCTGGGGTGATTCAAAGACAAGCGTGAACGACCGGATGTTGTCAGGCATAAAGCGAGAGAGACACTCCCAAGAGAGGCCTGTCTCAGGACCTGAGAACATGTCCGCGTCGTCTATAGCACGAGGGTCGTAGCCCTGATGAGCCTTCAGGAACAAGACCGTTGATCTGAGGCTGCTCACGGTAGTCGACGGGAGCAAAATCTTGATTCCTTTCTTGTAAGAGATGGTCTCAGCAACGACGAGCATGCTGGCGAAAGGCACGTTCAGGAGGGGGCAACGAGGCTCCTCGTAGGGACCTCCAAAGAAAGGCGTGGGCGTTGGTACATCGCTGTGGAGGATGCGCCAGTGGTGTTCGTCGGGGAGTTGTTCGGCGAGCTGGAGACGAATAACGTCGACCTTCGGCATATCGGGGACATCGAACTGGGAACACCAGTGATGGGCGTGTGGGTTCACCGTGACAGAGCGCACTTCTGAAGCGTAGTCCTTGTTTGAGAAGCACGGATTGAACGGGAGATGGGAGTTTGAAGTACGAGTTGACAGGAAGTTCACTGACCTTTCGGGTCTCAGTAGGACAGCAAGCCCGACCCGGTGAAACGTCAAGTTGACGCGGAGAAGATTCAAAAGGGAAGAAACCGGAAGCAGCTCAGCAATCAGCAGCAGTATCTCCTCCGGTAGGATGCTAATGGGCGGGCTGGTTGTCGACGCCATTGTGGTTGGGGGGACGAGAAAGTGAAGACGAATTGTGTGTGACCGGGATACCAGGGAGGGTTGACGGTTGACGCTGTTGCTCCAAAGGAAGGGCACATGGGGTCGTTTCATCGGCGCCCCCATCTCCGTTCTCGACCTGCAAGCGCTACCCCATCGCAGTGGACTAGCGTATGGTATCGTGAGCAACTCGCGACAGCCCAGACAGGCAGCAGATGGTCGACTGCCACTGGTCTGTTGCTATTTCGACACCACTTCGTCGGCATGCACCTACTGCCCATGATCGACATTGTTGAAGATGCCTCTGTGCGCTCCGTCGCAGACTTCCCATCAGCCTGTGGTGTGCAGCCCCTTCTGGGACGGCCTCTGTTCGAATCTTCGTGGTTCTCGGCGTGGAGATCCTGTCCGCCATAGCTGCAGCCGTCCAAGGGCAGACTCTTACATTCATTGAAGCAGCCGCTCGGACTCACCGCAACCTGAAGTCTCGCTTGGCTGACCGCCGAGCCCCTTGCGCTCCGCACGGGGCGTCGGCCTCGAGCGCTGCTTCATCCTTCACCTCCACTCAGGTGGGTGTGCGCACCGCACCGTTGCGCCGTCTGCACCGCACCGTTGCGCCGTACGCACCGGCCACGCGTCCACTGCATCGCATATCGTGCGCAGCGATGAGCCCCTCTTCCATTGGCAGCCTGTCTTGCACCGCTCCTATCACACCCTCTTCGTCGCCTACCGACTCACGCTCCTTTGTCCATCACATTCACATCTTCGATACCCCGTAACCATAACAAACGTCAAAGTAAGCCGATGTGGATCGAAGTGAGACTGCGAGCGAAGCTGACGACAGCTCGCACAGCCCCTTGGTTCGTGCTTCTATCGCATACCCTCGCCCGGAACCTGTCATCAGCCTGCAACGTCATCGCGACGCTTAGTATCTGTATCCCTGTCAACGGTACCAGCTAGACACCAGCCTGCAGCGCAGTTCGGAATCGCCTTTCACCTGTTGACCTCCCGATCCCGCAAATCGAAAACCGCAAGCCTCACGCCATCGAGCGTATCCAGGAACCCTTTCAGCCCCAGCCCTGAAGAACCCCGAACCCGATGTCGCCAGAAGACAGAGGCAAGGTGATCGGCGGAGTCGTCGGCGGCGTGCTGGGCGCTGCACTGGTGCTAGCGTGTGCCTTCCTTCTACTCCGGCAGAGGCGGAAACGCACCTCAGAGGAGGAGGGCACGCCGGCGCGCCTGAAGTGCTCCCTCGAGTCTGAGCCGACTCGCACCTGGCTCGACAGGCCTCCGACACTGCCTCCGATCCCACCCTCGCCCCACCTCTCGCTCGACGACGGAATCGGCCGCCCCTCCCTCTCGCCCTCGCTGTCGCCCGACATCCGCCCCTCGCTGGCCGAGAAGCCCTCGTTCGCGGATCGCAACTCGCTCGGCCCGCCCGCGAGTCCGAACCCGCCCTTCGCCTCCGCATTCGGGATGGGCGAGTACGAGCGGCCCGGCTCCTCCAATGCTCAGTCGGCGCCTAGTGTCCCCAGTTCGAGCGGCCACGAACGACCCACTAGCAGCCAGTACACGCCGCATACTGGCGTCAGTGCGACTGGGACCCCCCACCTCGGCTAGTATCACGCCGCGCCCGGCGCCGGCCGATCCGCACCGGAGCGAGAGCGCTGATACGATTTCGACGCTCGGAGCGCTCAAAGATGCTCTCTTCGGGAAGAGCGACAGACGCTAGACACTGGTTGGACAGCGTGCGGCGGCGGCAGCTTGTAGCATAGCATAGATGATTTGTGGGTGTAGTGCTGATTGGTGCGAGCTTGGGTGTGAGGGGTCGTGGGACAGAGGTTGGAGAGTTGATCCATGAGGCGGTCGACTGTAATGGACGGTGCAGGACAGAAGCAGGCACTCGGTGTGCTGCGGCTGCGGGCGACGGGGTGCTCGCTCCTGGGTGGTTCTCTCACCGAATGTGTGTTGTGCAGAGTCACAGCCATCAGTCCGAGACACGCCGTTCCGTCGACGCGCCGTCCGCAGCTCCGTTTCGCAGCACGTTGTGAAGAGAAGTTGCGAGCTGAAACCGGTGACATGTTGATAGAAGATTGAACGGCGAATAGGATAAGGAAGGGGCAAAAGCAAAAGGGAAGCACAGCGTGAGGGAACACCTGGTCCCAGGTGTGCAACGATGGTCGTATCGGCAGGCAACTGCACGGCCGATATCGTGAAGGGGACGCTGATTCGGCCACTTTCCATCACGCAAGCAAGTCTCGGAAAGCCCCTTCTACAGCCACCGACCGCCAAGGACACCGCAGGCCGCGGTACGGGGGTGGGTCTGCTTGCAAGCCATGGCGACGACCGGAAGACCTCGGACCTCGTGGAACGGCTTCAACGGATGTCTCACGAGTGTCTTCCGTCTTCTCTATGACGCGTGTCTGACTCTCCGACCATCTCACTCGGGGCGGTCTGAAATGTCTATATGAGACGCGAACAGTCTGATCTCATCTTGGTGCGTCAACGGGAGCTTATCTCGCAGCGCTGTCTCCCTCTGTGCTGCGCGGAGAAGGACCTCAAGAGTGACTTGCCAACGCTCTCAGCCTCGCTCAATGAGGGAGATCGCACATTTCCCCGACAGGACAGCCCCTCGCCGCAGCTCGTCAGTTCTTTCGCATTCCTCACCTGGTCATCAGCCTGGCGGCGCCTCAACAAGCGGAGGCACGCCAGGAAGGTCCAAGAAGTGTCAGAACCGATCGCATGTGCGTCTATCTTATCGCGGGTCCATGTGATGTCATCGACCTCTGTCAGGCTTGGGTCTCATGGCCCTGCCAGGCTAAAGCGTCATGTGACGCGGAATCGAATCTAATCTGGCTTTGGTGACAAGCCGGTCGCAGAGATGTTAGGGTACCGGCGCCAGGCGGCCGGGTGGGCATGTTGCAAGCTCACGCCTGATGCAAAAAGAGCGGAGGCGCAGGCGTGACGGGCTTCAGTTATGCACAGCGGGCGCGCGCGGGGCGCGCGGGGAAGGCAACGACGAGAAGCAGCGTTGATCCAATCGCAACCCCGACTAGCGCCGTTCACACGCCGTACGAAGGCGCGGCGCCAAGCACATCGCCCACGCGCCCACGCCGTCGACAAGACGTGACATCTAAGGCGTCTGATCGCAATGGCTGAGGCACGGAATGCAAACCTACCCATCTAGACGGAGGGAGGCGCCCAAGACGCCTGACTCCCCCGAAAGCCTTGCTTCGTCCGCCTCGCACCTCGCCGAGAGACGGAACGGAGCGACGAAGGGCGCTATGCAGCCCGTTCTGCTTCCGTGATCGCGAGCTGGGGTTTCACCCCGCTTCATGCTGCTTCATGCTGCGGACTGGGGCGTGGGTCCGTCCCCGATTGCCCCCCCGTCATTTGCCTTCCGTCTCGCGCCCCGCCCGCCCATATGATACCGCTCAGGCATGCCACCCCAGGCCTGCCAGACGCGCCAGACGTGCGCCCACAGCGAACGCATCGGACGGTGACTGCGAACAGAGGTCGCTATCATGCATAGCTAGCACGAATCCGGGTGCGCGATTTAGCGGCGTTGCCAATACCTGCAACGGAGCTATATGCCGAGTGTTGGCGGTGCTGTGCGGTTGCAATATACGCGGGGTGGGTGGGGTGGACGGGACGCGCTCGCTATATAACTCCGTCCCATCACCCACTCTGCACTCCGTCCCTATCTGCTCCCACGCCCACTCGCTCCTCTGCTCCGCTACATCGCTCATCCACTCGAAGCCCCAGCCTCGTCCTCGAGTGCCCCAGCAGACTAGGCCGACTTGCAGACACCAGGTCCGACGCCATCGCTACTCGCTTCTTCCCATTATCTTATCAAGCGCCTCCACTTCCCCACTTCCCCGCACTACCCCACACCCCCCTGCCCACACTCCCCGCCTTACTCGACCACCTGACCCCTTCTCCATTCGCTCCACTCCACATAACCAACGACAAGAGCAACAATGCCCGGCGACTCAGCCCCCCAGCATCCCGCCACCTCCTCCGGCGGCAACCCCCACCTCGCGGCCGTGTACGCGCTCGGCATCTCCGGCAAGCCCTCGGACTTGAAGGGGATCTACGACGAGTGGGCGGCTTCGTACGACTCTGACCTCGCGCTGCCACAGCAAGGCTACGTCGGACCTGTCGTCGCCACACGCGCGTTGGCGAAGACGGGCCTCTCTCCCGACTCTGTCTTGCTCGACGCGGGGTGCGGTACCGGCCTTGTCGGGAGTCAGCTCAAGGCCCTCGGGTACGGCACCGTCGACGGCGTGGACCTCAGCGACGGCATGCTGCGCGAGGCGGCCAAAACGGGCGCATACCGCCACCTGGCCACCGCCGACTTGACCCAGAAGCTCGACTTCAAGGATGCAAGCTACGACGGCGTGACGTGCGTCGGCACGCTCACGCTCGGGCACGTCGGGCCGCAGGCGCTCGAGGAGCTCGCGCGCGTCACTCGCCCGGGCGGGTTCGTCGTGTCCACCATCCTCGAGGATATCTGGGCCATTGGGGGTTATGCTCAGTACGTCGAGGCGATGGAGAAACGGGGCACCGTGACTGTCGTCTCTAAGGAGCTCGAACCGTATCGTGCTGGCGCGGGGGTGGAGGCGCGTACCCTCGTGCTCCGCGTTAATGGGCTGCTGAACTGAGACCGAGTCCAGCCTGGCGCTGAGACAGAGCAAGCCTGCAATCGACCCTGGGCCACAGCGTAGTCCCCTGGCCGGCGGCACTGTGCAGTCATTCACGACCCTCATGAACAGAAAACATAGAAAAGCAACAGTGTGTAGTATACCGTCTCCATAAAGTGTAACTGTGTATGCAAGAAAAGTTGTCTATTGCGACACGGAGTGCTTCCAGATGAACTCGGCCGCGCGACGGACCATGGGCGGGGAACAGACGTGTCCTCTTCCTGGCTCCTCATACCGCTCCGCCGCAGCCGTGTGGGGCGCGAGTTTCTCCCAATTCTCCGCACCCAGGCGGAACGGCATGACGTTGTCGAGCTGCCCGTGCACGGCGAGGATCTTCTTGCCCTTGTATCGCTCCCAGTGGTTGGGTTCGTGGTGCGACTGGGAAAAGTAGTGCACGACTTCGGGTGGTTGCGTCACTTCTGGCGCATTGGGGGGCAGGACCTTTGCGCGGAGCAGATTGCCGAGCGACTCGGAGGGCGTGGAGCAGATGGGGATGCCGAGCTTGACTTGCGGACACTCGCGCAGCAGGCGCCAGCACAGGTGCCCGCCCATGCTGAAGCCGACTGAGATCCACTCCGAGATCACCCGCGAGCCGTCAGCCCACAGCCGACCCGAGAGGAACTGCATGATGAGCTCGTGGTCCTGCTTGCCCCCTACGAGCGCCGTCGACATGTCGATGCCACTGTTGTTAGCTGGGCCGAATCCGCATAGATCATGTAAGGGGTGCGGTCAAGGAAGGATGACTCCGGTGGTGGACTCACAACTGCCTCGGGTTCTTCTGGAACGACTGCAGGCTCTTGTTGACGCGGCGCTCGCCGTGGTTCCGCTGGTCGAGCGTCGCGACGATCACGTCCCGCTTCCGTCCTCCCGACTCGGCTTCCAATCTTCGGAACTCGCCCAGCAGGCCCGCGGCCATCGGTTCCATGTCCTTGGCCTTGTTCGCCCAGCCGTGCGCAAGGATCTGTTGTCAGCTCCGCGTACCTCATTTCCAGCTGATACAACACCGTCTTGGCTCAACTCACGATACATGTCACTGGGAGAGGGCTGCCGGCGATCTCGTCCACTCCCCACACGTCAACCTTGAGATCGACGAGGTAGATTGTGCGCTGGCTGACTTGCGCGTGTCCGAGATCAAGCACAGACCAGTCCTGCGCGTGCGCGTTGTCCATCGGTCCGACTCTGCGTGCTGGCTCGGCCATGATAATGGTGTCGTTTGATGGAAAGACGAGTGGGCGAAGAATGTCTGATATCAAGATGGCGGTGGCCGTTGGGACCGGAGCGGCGAGGAAGGTTACCGGAGGGACCTGGTGGAGGTGTCCGCCCACGTCGGTCGGCGTTCGCCGAAGGGCCCTCTGGTGACGGGATGGTCGATAACGACTGCGGGCTGAGACATGGTGACAGCGGCGTTGGAATAGTTGGTGATAGAGTGATGTCTACACAGGTGAGAATGATGCGAATGTGACCTAGCTAGTGATGATGGGCTCGAGGAAGCGGACTAAATGCTAGTGGAACGGGGAGGAAGACAGATTGTGATGACCGCGGTCCGCTTCATCTGCTTCCGTCGGTCGAGACGTGTGTGCGCTGTCCCCTCAACTCTTTGCCGCATTCTACACCTATCCCTCATTCTCTCACCCATTCTCATAGTCGGGTTCCGGCAGAGACTTGGCTGACTGAGAGCCCGCAGTAGTGGTGGTATGAATCGAGTTGAATGGACTGCACCTGACACATGACACAGCCGGAGACCCACGGTCGAACCAAGCAAGGCACCGGCCCCCTTGGTTCTAAGGTTCAGGCACTTGCCGCTGGGCCAGAGAGAATCAACCGAGCTGATATCTATGTACGATTGAAGTACGCTTCCCACATCTCCGGCTCCCTTCTCTTGGCCCCGATATCGTGTGAATGGAATGCATGCCTCGCATTCGTCAGTCGTCAGTCCTCTGGGCTCTGGGAGGTGTAACGCTTTGCTCCAACTTTTGGTGGTGTCTGTCCATCGAGCTATGGCGCCCATTTCCCCCTGTCGAAGATCCGCATGACCAAGCGCACACGGTCAAAAGCGGCAGGTTGGCGTCCGTAGCGCCATCCCCCAATTCACCGGTCAGGACCCCGTACAAAGAAAGGCTCTGAACCATCCGATGGGCCGTCTCTTCACACACCATCGCCCAACCCGCAAAGGACATCGGGCATCGGGGGCACCAACATGATGCGTTAATGAAAGATCTCCAATAGAACGCTGCGCCCACAGTCCGTTCCCAAGATCTCAACGACAGACTGTCAGCGCTCCTTCCGTAGGACAGCTGGCGACATGACGAGCACGGGCGTGGAGGGCCAGGCTCTGGGACGCAATTCGGCTGCACTGTGTTAGGCGACAGAGCTTCCACAGCTTTGGGCGACAAAGCTGTTGCTTCTCCCAAGGAGTACCTATCCGAGACTGTAGCCATTCAGCATTCAGACTACCGAGCCCATCAGCGCGCACTGCTGCATCGCGCATGCCCAGACATTCCAGTGACCAGAAGGCAATCAGCCTTGCCCTGTGTGTCCTGCCGCATCAGCCTCTCCAGCCTCTGCAGGCTGCTGTGGGCTGCAGCCTCGAGGATGTGCTTCAGCCTCAGTGCCTCAGCCTCAGCCCCAGCCAGACCACCCCCTTGGCGCATCGTCTACGGCCAGCGATGCGATCAGGCGAGGCATCAGCGCAGAGCAAGCAGCGAAGTAATGCGGCCCATGCGTGTCATGCAGATCGTCCAACTGCGCTCACACCGCCCTCACTGCCTGTGCCCCCGACACACGACAGACCCCGCTGTCGCTCGCATCTGCTCTGGACTCACTCCTCACGCCCGTGCTCCAAAAGCGCGCCGTGCCCGCATGGTCGCCGACGGGAGAAAGTCTGCACAAAGTCGCCCGCTCAGAAAAGAACAGCGAACACAGCGGACGGGTTAAAATGGCTCGACATCTTCTCCACTTCACCTGTTGATAGACAACCCGCACGACCGAGACCCCACCTAACGTCAATCTCGTTCCGGACCACAACACCACCAGAACACTACCTCTCTCCGCAAGCACCCACACTAGCGAGCGCCAGACCGAGCCCAATCGTTAGCGGCCGACCCCTGCCAGTAGCGCGGATTCCACTAGGGCCAGGCATCTAAGCATTCAAGCATCCACCAGACACTCCGCCCAAAAGACGAAGAGCCTCTGAATTGGATCATTTCAAGATAACGTCACCTTGCCGGCGATCCGCTCTTGCGCTTTCGTCCTTGCGACCTTCCCTCATTAATTCGGCCTCCTCGCCCCTCTCCAGGCCATCTGCTGCCTCGACTCCCCTACTCATTCCCTCTGCCCCGACTCTTCTCCCTCATCTAACCCCTGCGGACACTTCCCACCTCGTCGCAGCCCCGGTCCAGGCCGCCGTCTCGACAGCTCCAACGACCCTTGCAGCCCGCACGCAGCCATACTCGACGGCATCGATCCGGACACTTTCATCCTCTCCTCTGCCTCCATCCCAGCTTACATACTCACCGACTCGCCTCTTGCACTCTCGCCCCTTCGCCTTTCGTCCCCACGCACAGTGCTGCGCCGCTGCTCAGCACACCGCGACGACTCACCCAGCATTCTTGTCCTTTGCACTCTTCACCATCGACTTTGCCACCGAACACTACCCGACCGCTGCATTCGCTCTCTCCTTCCCACCCGCCAAAACCACGCATAGACCAAGATGACCATCATCTCGAAATTACTCCCTAGCACACCCAAAAAAAGGGCGCCCTCGCCTCCACCCATCCTGTCCCCCGCGCCAAGATCGCCTTCTCCCATTCCAGAGCAGGCTGAGCGCCCTGCGGCGCCCGCCTCGCCTCCGTCTGAGGAGGATCCGTGCCCGACGACGCCTCCCATGTCCCTGGAGGAGGTGCTATTCTCTGGACTCGTGTCGCGCTTGCACGCCGAGAACCGTGCGCTGAAGGCGAAGAACGAGACACTCACAGAGAAGGCAAAGGCCGCGAGGCGCGAGAAGGAAGACGCAGTTGCGGACCTCGAGCACACGAAAAAGTCGCTCGAGAGCAAGATCGTCGCCCTCGAGGAGAAGAATGCAAAGCTCAAGATGCGCCTGAAGAATGCCGACGCCTTGCTCAGCAAGACAGAGTTGTGGTTTGAGGCCTATGTCAAGCTCAGCAAGGAGGCGACCATCAGGTAGCTGCTACTCTTGACTTCTGAAGCTGACACCTGCAGCCACGGCATTCCCAGCCCAGGCTCTAGTGAAGCCGCCGCGCCGTCCTTACCGTCGAGCAAGTCTGGACGCTCGTCATCTAACGGACACGCGTCGGACACCGGGCACCACTACCCGCACGCCGCGCATGCAGTTTCGTCGCCCCCAGCGTCGATTGCTGCAAACGGATACACGGGGATCTTGGACAAGTGAGTCGGCGCGTCCAGAAGTTGGGCTCATAAGATCTGAAACTGACCACCAGGACGAAAACACGGCGAGTGACGTCAGAGCCCCTGCCGGCATCGACGGCAACGGCTTCCGCGGTCCCTAGAGTCCACTACTCGCCCTACTCGCCGCACCCTACTGCTCCTACTGCAGCAGGAGCTGGAGCTGGAGCTGGAGCAGCATCCCCGCCGAGCGCCTCCGTCTCGCGCCAAAACTCGCAACAACAGTTAGGCAAGCGGAACTCAGTGCAGCAGCTGCCGGCCCAGTACACCCAGCAATCGCAGCCGTTATCGCACCGCAACAGCCAGCAGCAGTTATCCCACCGCATCTCGCAGCACGAGTTAGTGCAGCGCGCGAGCCAGCACCAGTTAGTGCAGCGCACGACGAGCATTCTGCAGCGCCGGCCGACGGACAAGTCGGCCAAGCGCAACAGCGCCGACCAGCCCGTGCAGGGCGAGTATTGGCGAGCGCGTTCGACGAGCGCCTCCAGACCGTCGGCGGCCGCGAGAGCCGCGAGAGTAGGGAAGAGCGCACGACCGAACGCCGCGCCCCGCCCCCGCCCTCGACCTACTACCCGCCAAACCAGATGCGGCCCAGGCGTGAGTTCTCCCCGGGCTCGCGCCGTCTCTAATTGCCGGTCAAAGCGGCTGACAAACCCCAGTCCCCGGCGCAGGCTCCGTGAATGAGCACCGCCGGTTGATGAACCAGGCGCCCCGCCCCATCCGCCAGGCGGCCAAGTAGCACTCGGCCGTCTTTGGCGGATCCGCTAGCTTGTTGCCCATCGCCGTTCGGAGCTCGAGCGTGAGGGCCCCGAACGCCACGGCCCCTCGCCCCATATCGCCCCATACAGCACGCACCACACGTTACGTATAGACTATGACCCTCCTCCCTCTCCTCACATGTATACTTCGTCCCCTGTGCGCTCTAGAGCTACAGTTACAGCCTGTGTATGCATTACAACATGACATGATCAGCTACGCCAGTATCTGTATCTCGCGCACGCCGACGCACTACGTCGAGGCGCGCTTGGGGTTGAGCCCGGGGAGCTCGATCGCGCTGATCTCGGGCACGGGGGGCAGGGCGAGGTCAATCTCGCCAAGCTCGACGTGTTTCTCCCCCGGGCTAGGCTCTGGACTGTCCATTTCCTCCGTCTCAGCCGTCTCAGCCATCTCAGCCAGGGGCGCGAGATGGCTAACCGTCACCGAGCCGGGGGCGACATCGACGGTAGCTCGGCGCGCGGGCGCCCTACCCTCAACGAGAGGCTTCGGCTTGACATCGAGGCTGGGCCTCTCCGTGCCAACGGTCGCAGCGCGCGGCCGTCCCTTCTCCACGTCAGCCGAAGGAGGGCCCTCAACACCCAGCGCCCTGGACAGTTTATTCTCGACCTCCTTCGTCTTCTTGGTGCGCACGCCCCCTTGCCAGATCAGGATCGCGGCGCCGATGCCACACAGAAAGCTCAGCGGGATCAGCGTGCCGGTCGTCCAGGGCGGGCGGACGTGGTAGTTCATGCCCCACATGCAGCCGCAGAGGATGCACTGGAAGAAGGAGTTCAGGTCCATCAGGATTGTGTTCCACAGCGCCCACGCCATCGGGAACGCCGTATGTGTTGGCGTGGCATGCGGCCTATACCACGTTTGTGACGCTTGGAAGGCGGATTGCTGGTGTTCCAGCTCGGCCTGCTCCTTCTCCGAGAGCACGTTGACGTACCCCGGCACGGTGGCTGGATCGGGCAGATCGTTCCAGTCCTTGATCTCCGAGAGGCCGAGCTTTGCGCGCCGTTTCCGCACCCGCGAACGCAGCATCCAGATCCGCGACATGCGGTACGTGTCTATCGCGCGCCAGGGGATCAGGCCCACGCCCGTGACGGTGAACAAGCCGTTCGTGACCTGGGACGAGATCTCGACCCACTTGTCCTGTGCGTGTTTTGACGAGGTCGGGATCCACCCCAGCAAAAACAGCACGATCGCCGCACCCCAGAACGCGACGAGAAAGCCGTAGATCGCAGTCACGATGCCCATCGGCGTCTTCAGGTACGCCCACAGGCCGCGCAGGGCGGATTTCAGCTTGTCCCGCCGCTTCCGCCGGAGCAGGACTTTGCGCATGTGGGCGTCCAGCTCGTGCGTCATGTCCTCGTCGACGTGGGCACGCAGCTTGTCGTCGGCGTCGAGCTCGACCTTGGCTATTCCCGCGTCCTCGGTCGCGGTGCGGTGCAGGTCCTCGTCGCTGCTCTGGCTCGCCAGGGGCGGACGCAGCGAGACGGGGGCGCTCTCGGCGCGGTGTCGACCCAGTCGCAGCTTGGACTCCTTAGCCGGCTTCGGCTGCGACGCGAGCGTCGGCACCGTGTCCTCGTCGTCGTCGTTGGAGAGGCACACATTCGGCCGGCGCGAGTATAAGCCAGGGATGGGCGGGAACATGATCGCGTTCGTCATGTTCTGCAGATGGTTGACAGTGCCGACCTCGGGGTCGACGCAGTCGAGTAAGCCCACCACATCGTCGTGCAGCTCGCCCCTGTTGTCTGCGACGTCGTGGTGGCTGTGGTGACTGTGGTGACTTCCCGAGCGCGCTCGCGGCCCCACCGCCGTCTCAGGGTCGTCCGGCAGCGGCGCATAACCCCTCCGCCACGGCATCGTCACAGAGACGGTGTGCGCGCGCCGCCTCCCCGGCTTCAGGTGGTCGGGAACCGCAGACGCCTTTGGCGGGAATAACGGTCGTGACTGGTCAGAGTTGCGGTCGGACTTGACGCTCGAGCTGGCGCGGGGTCGAGTCGGGGAAGACGGCGGCGATGGCGTCGAGAACGCGACCGGCGATCCGGGCTGCGGTTTCGTCGGCGAGGCATCCTCCTCTATCCGGTCTAATGCGGGATGCGTGGGCTGTTGCGGTCGGCAGACGTCTAGCGAGACGCAGCGAACTGGTTGTCGCGGCGGGCGTGGTCGTGGGGGCCTGGTGGGCGTTCGAGGAGATCGGGGAGGGGTGGAGGGGCCGGCGTCCTCTATGTCCTCCTTCCCTAGCGGTGACTCCGGCGGCGGTGGAGACACCATAGTCGAGTTTGAGTCAAGGTAGCTAGCAATTAGGAGATGAAGAGAGAGGTGGAGCGTTGCTGAGAGACGTGTTGGTCAGCCAGCAAGAGCGGCCACCTTGTTTTCCCATTTACCATGCCTCAGGGACCGAAGCCCAAGCCACCCCACTCCCACAGTTGCATTCGGCCAAGCGGCGGAGCCGATCAGGCACGAGATCGGGGGCACGTTGCTCTTGAGCAAAGACGCCGCGCCATGCATTGACGCTGAAATGCTCGCGACGCGCAGTCGGACTGCACCGCTCTCGGCGCACAGCAAACGCAGTCATGACATCGCCGTTGGCATATGACATCGGCGGCGCACCACTGCGCATTGCCTCGCCGCACTCATACACACCCGCACACACACGTACGCACACAACGCAGATCCTAGAAGATACATCACTGCCAAATCTAATGCTCTATCCTTCCAAACGTTCGATATCTTCTGCAGCGGCAGCCAGCTCGTCTGCCTCGTCAATGGCCTGGGCGCGCGTCATGCGCGCCTGCGACCATGCCTGAGCCTGAGCAGCGCCAGTGCGCATACGAACGCGCATCATCACTGGCAGCGGCAGGGCCAGCATTGCCGTCAGGAACAGGAACCCGAGTCGAATGTTGCCGGTCTTGTCAGAGATGAGCCCGACAACCATGGGGCCAATGAACGAGGCCGACTTGTCCGTCAGAGAGAAGAGCGAGAAGAAGGACGACTCATGCCCAGGCGGCACTAGCTCTGCGTACACTGCCCGCGCGTACGAGTTGAACGGTCCATATAGCTGGTGTGTCAGCTCGGTCATAGGGTCGGTGATGGGGTATGTTGGAACTCACGAAGCCGAACCACACCGCCGCAACGTACATCTCGGCCTCGGTGCGGAGACCGCCGAAGGGAAGAATCAGGCCGAGGCACGCGTATATCGGCAACACTTGGGCTGCGAGCACGATGCGGATCAAGAGGCCGAGATTTGTTACACCAAGCCAGCGCTGGAAGCGAGGCGCCATGATCGAGCTGCCAACAGCGGCGAGTTGAACGAGGAGGCCGATGACGATGACCTTGCTGGCCGACATGTGCAGCGTACTGCTGGCATAGAGAATGGCAGTGTAGGTCGTCGTGTGGAAACCGTCTGAGAGGAACACCCAAGCAAGCAGGTATTTGAACAGGTTTGGCAACTCTTTCATGTGGCTGGGCTGGACCATGCTCGCGACCTGGGCCCATCCCCTCTTCAACCAGTGCTCGGGTGCCGGCTCGCGATGTCCACCTGGAAGTCCCCAGCCAGCCGGAATTGTGAAGACGGCCCACCATACACCGCTCAGACCGATGGCCAACTCGAGTGCAGATGTTGATCCCTTGCCAAGCGACACCGGCACGATGAGCAGCGCAAGCATACTGACGCCGGAGAAGAAGCCGATGGCGACACCAGTGGAGCTGAGCCGCGACGTCGTGAGGGACAGTAGCTTGTCGTACTTTGCTTTCGCCTCAAGTTCAGCGTCAGGCAGCAGTTGCCGAACTTCATCAACTGAACTGCGTGGTGTCTCGTCCTCGAGGTCCGGCACTGATGCCCTCAGTGTCCGCCGGGCAGCGACGACGGCGGTGTCTTCCCTCGCGAGGCCGGGGAGGAAGGCGTTGGCGCAAACTATGCTCGCAGCGTACGTCATATTGCCGATCAGCGTCAGGAACGCAGCAATTAGCGGAAGCCACGCAGCTTTGGCAGGCAGCACGAGGAAGACACTCGCGGTGATCGATCCGACGGCGGCAAACAGGAGCAACAGGCGTTTGCGCCAGTATGTCGAGTCTGCGAGCTTGCCGATCGAGATAATGCCGAGGGCCTGCAACAGAACTGCAGCCGATTTGACGTACATGCTGCACATTAGTTGACATACACGGCTGCCCAACTTACGAGAAGCTCGCCGTGTCGACCCACGAGCCGAGAATCTTGGCTTTGCACACGGCTGCCTTCTCACCCGGCAACGGCGGTTCACGAGAGCACGGCTTGGTGTAGTCAGGCGCCTCAAAGCCAACTTCGCGAGCCATCTGCTCGAGGGTGATGGGGAGGAAGATGGCCTGTCACGTCAGCTTCTGGGGTCTGCGACCAGCTGGAGAAGGCTTGACTCACGATGGCACAGGCGGCGAACACCTCTGCGGCGAAGGCGTACCAGTACCAAGCCCGGACATGGGGCGGGGGGAGGACGACCCCGCTCATGGTGTGTGCGGTAGTCACCAGTCGACGAGTGCGAGGTGAGTGTGGTGAGTTGTGAAACGTTGGCCAGCAAGGATGCTGCCCGCCTTCCCCTTCCCCAGACTGACGTCGCCCGTCACGAACCCACCTCCACCAGGCGGTTCCTGGGTGGCGACTGTTCCCAGGCACGTCACGTGCAGCCCATCTCGCGGAGTCTTCACGCTCTCCATCATATTCAGGCACGACGGACATTTCAAGCGGACATGACGGACGGAGATGGCCATCATTTGCGGGGCATCGAACGATCGGCAAGCACATAGTGGTCGCGGGCAGCGCCGTCGGCGCCTGTGCGACGAGCAGGCATCCAATGGCGGGAGGTTCAATGGACCGTGCATGCTTGTCCGTCGTCGCTGATCGTTCGAGAAAGACAGCCAAGCGTTCTGCAGCCAGGGCGGGAGAACCGGTTTGTTGACAACGGGATCAAAAATCGCTTATCGAACGATACTTTTCTTTGAAGTCTGGGTTGGTATCGCGTCTCCCCCGCCTGACCTGGATCCTGGGCTGCTGGCTCGGTCGATCGATCGCTTTCGTTGTTGACCCTTTAAAACTCGGCTTGCATAGCTGTCACTTGTCTTTCTCCACCCCCACACGAAACGGACATTGCAAACATGGCGGTCAAGAACGGAAAGGGCAAGGCTAACAGTGCCACCAACGGCCATGGCGGATACGACGCCTGCAAGTCGTCCTGCGCCTCCAAGCTCAGCGTGTGGGCCGTCATCATCGCCGTCGTCTGGGGCCTGTGCAAGGTCGCCGACAAGCTCAACGTGAGTGTATTTTAGAGAGGAGAGTCTTCGCCCGGGTACCCCTGCCCCACTTCTGCTGCAGCCGTTGAGCTCTCCGTCCTCTCGGTCGCCGACCCGGAGGCGACCCCAGTTTTGGCGTGGAAGACAGCTACAGGTTCTTCGGATAGCTGACAGACAGGACGGTCGCTTCTACATCTTCGACCCGACCGAGCTCCACCAGTGCGTGAACGCGTCGCTCGCGACTGCTGCGGCCGCGGACCAGACGCAGAACGCCTCGTTCATCATCGAGTCCCTCCTCGACAACATGGTCAAGCAGTACCCCGACGCGCACCTCCTCACCGACTACACCGACCACCACGAGTGGGTGTTCAACAACGCCGGCGGAGCTATGGGCGCTATGTACATTATCCACGCGAGCATTACCGAGTGAGTATGAGTTTGAGCGGGCTGGGCAGACCTTTCTCCGTTGTCTGCTGCCCCTGTCGCGGTTCCAGAAGGCGGCGCGCACACGGCTGCTATAGGGGCAATGACTACTGGACCTCTGGAACCGCAATTGGGAAGCAGAGATGCTACTTGTTCGACGGACGTAGCTGACGGACAGGTACCTCATCATCTTCGGCAGCGCGACCGGCACGGAGGGCCACACGGGCCTGCACACTGCGGACGACTACTTCCACATGCTGACTGGCGAGGAGTGGGCGTACGAGGCCGGCGCTCTGACTCGCGAGATCTACAAGCCCGGAAGCGTGCACCACCTCGTCCGCGGCGTCAAGAAGCAGTACGTCATCACCCCCGAGTCGTGGTCGCTCGAGTACGCCCGCGGCTGGATCCCGCCCATGCTCCCGTTCGGCTTTGCCGACATGATGTTCTCGACCCTGGATTGGGGAACGATGTACCACACCACGCGCATTACCGCGCGCGAGATGATCTCGAACCTCCTCCGCGGAAAGCTCTAAGCGTCGTCGTAGAAGATAGATTCGTAGACTGGTTATCTTGCATATCATACCCACCCCGCTGAGAGTTGCACTGCTGTCCCAACGTGGACCGATGTCCATGTCTGTTGCACACCTGTGCTGTTTCATGCTTCGCAATTCAAAGCAATTCAACACCCGCAAGGTCGTTGCGTCAGTAGACCGTCCGGTGAGTGACCTCCACGCAGCCACGTTCCATGGTCTTCCCACGACGTCGGTACCCGGTTGCCGCACGCCGATCCCTCCGTCGTCATCAGTGACGGTGCCCGAGCTCGGTGCTGGCCGGTTGCGTACTGCGTCCCACTTATATCATCTCAACTACAGAGGTACTACGCTTAGGCGGCGGCTGGGGATGTCAGTTCTCTGTGCCCTATTCCAAACTCACCCTCGAGCTCGGCAAGCGACTTCTTGGCGACCTCGTCGTTGGAAGCCTCGAGCATCTGGATGTCAGCTACCAACTTCTGATGCAGCTGTCGGCGCGACGTTGCGCGAGCGTCTGCGGCGACAGCAGGAGAGAAGAGGGAAGGAAGGGAGAAGACTCGCCGCTCGCTTTCCGCTCGCTCGCTGCCAAATCATGACACTTACACCCTTGAGGAGAGCGACGTACTTGGCCTTGGCCTCGTCCTGGCTCATGCCCTCGAGCTTCTTCCAGGCGTCCCACTTGTACTTGCCGGCGAAGTTGAAGGCGCCGGGGCGGTCGCCCTTGACGTCACCCTCGGTGGCCTGCTTGAAGAGGCCGTAGAACTCGAGCTGCTGGTCCTGGGTGGGCTTGACGGATCCGTCAGGGGGCAGGGAGCGGACGATGGAGACGGCCTTGTCGAACTGGGCGGACATTGTTGTTTACTTTGTGGGATGGGTGGTGTGGTGAGGTGGAAGGAGGCAAGTGACGTGGGGTCTTTATGTACAACGAAGCGAGTTGGCTCACCAGCCAGCCAGTGACAGGTGACCGGAAGGCGCGAGAGAAGAGCCGGCGAGCCCCAGGGCGAACAAGGGCGACGCGCATTGAACCGCTGCGCGACGCTCAGGCACGCAATCAGCCCAGCGAGCGGGCACAGCGGGCACAGCGTGGGGACGTCTCGGATCTCCCCAATTCAGCACAGGCGGGCCTATCATATTCCGTCCACGTGTCACCGCTTTCACACGCCTAGTCATCGCTCTCTGTTTGGTTCCAGTCCAGCGATGCTGGGTTGACGCGATTCTTCACGATGATGATCGAGTTCCGCTCCAGAACACCCACCATATCACACGCTGGCTGGATCTTCTCCCGCGCAATCACATCGAACTGCCGAGCTACTGATGTCCATGTCGACGCCGCCTCAGATAGGGGAACTTCGACGGTGTACCATGAAATGACGACAGTGCAAACGTCTCCGCATCACGGGCTATCAACTCTATATCAAGTTTTGCTTACGAGGAAGGCCAAGTTGGGAATCCTGGGCGTTCGCAAGACAAGCGTGGCATCCTCAAGAATTGTCTGGCGGGGCCTGTCTACGGCGACTATCTCTTGGCACAGCCCACCGCTTTGCTTGAGAAGATCTCGATGAGCCAGCGGACCAAGTCGGTCTCCGGCGCAGCGTCATGGGAAGGCCGCCGGTTTACAGTCTGTCGAATCTTCTTCGTGTTTCCAAGTGCGAGCCCGAGATCGAACATGAGTGCACAGTGCAAGTCCTCGACCTTCGAGTACGAGTTCGCAATATCCTCGGCACTCGCATCGGGCTGGAGGGAAGCCCACGACGTCGCCTGTGTCCGGAGAGCGGTGCGCATGTTTGCAAGGGTGTGGTCGAGCTCCTCGAGCGTTCGTGTGACTTCCTTGTGCGCTGCGACGACCGAGGCAGCGTCTCGCTCCATCACGCGTAGTCGCTCGCGGACTTCAGCCTCGACCCTGTTGCGCCGCACTGTACTGTGCACGCCGTACAGGAGCATGGCGGGGGGGAGGGCGAGGAGAATGCCTTGCGTGACGATGGAGCCCTCGGCGCGCTTCCAGAGACGCGTGACGAGGTCAGAGGCGTAGTCGGCGACGGGTGTGGACATGGCGGCTAGCAAGGTGGTGGGTGGCGATCGTGAGGAGCAGTCACTAAGTCGCTGTCGACAGAAATACTGCACGCTAGGACATGCAGCTCAAGGAGGTCGTCGGTGCGCATTGCTCCGAGAGTATCCCCAACGGCGTAGCTTTCACCCCAACGCCTGCGGTGGAGGTCGACCCTATCTCTCACTCATGAATGGTCAAGAAATCGCATCACAATTCTGAAACACAAAGAGGCTTATCTGCACAGACACTGGCGCTATGAACATCCCTTGTCGAGAGCTGCGAATCACCGCTTGAGCGAAGGACGCGAAGTACGCGGGCCGCGGGGTCCGCGCACGCGCCCCGACCCACCGACGCTGCGCTCGGACCGCATGGAGCTCGAGCTGCTCAGGCTGCTAGCCGAGCCTCGCCACTCGGACTGGTACTGGGGTGGAGCGGCGTCTCGCTCACGATACGACGGGGCACGGCTGGCAGCGCGAGAGGGCTGCGGGACGACGATGCTGGTGGGTCCGGGGTCGTTACGGCGATATGCTGGCGCTGGCATGGTGGAGGGCCCGGGAACATCCTCTCGCTCCCGGTACGATGGCGCACGGCTCACTGCCGGAGGTATCTCCGGGATTGGCGAGCTGGAGGGCGGCTCGCGGGCTCGATAGGTCGGCGCGCGGTCGATCTCTGCGGGCAGCTGAGGGGCCTCCAGACCATCTGCAGTCGGTGAGTCCAGGTTTGTCTGCGGTCGCAGAGCCTGGGTCAAGACTGCGATGGCCCTCGATATCTCCTCTGGATGCGGTGTCTGCTCCGCCGCGGATTCCGGGGACTCGTGGGTGGATGACGACGAGGCTACGGCACCCCAACCCCCGGATCCTTCGCCGATCTCCGCTGCAGCCTCGGCAGCCTTGTCCATTTTCACGTCCTTAGGCTTGCCCTTCGGCTTGTCTTTCGGCGCGTCCTTGGGCGGCGGTGCTGGCGGCTGCGGCGACCTCGGCGGCACAGGTGGCGGCGGAGTATCTGTCCTCCGGTTTCCTGCTACAGGCTCGGGATCCTGGGGACTAGTGCTGGAGCTGGGGGCAGGGAGCATCGGCGCCGTCTCCGGCTCGAAAGGGAAGGGACTCGCACTCCTCACCTGCGTGCATTGCTCGATGTCGGCTTCTGCCCGGCGCGCCACGCCGAGGCGCTTCCGGCGCTGCCACCACCATCTCCCAAGCCCGATGGCGATGCTCCCGGTGCTCACGAGTGCGAGGGAGGTCCAGCCCACTGCCCTCATGCTGCTGTCAGCGACGGACGGCTCACTTACCCACACTAACTTGATCACAGCCAAGGAAGAGTTTACCGGACAGACATCAACGCTGATCACCTTACATCTGCAGAGATGCGAGCAGGCTGACTGCGCGACGGCCCACTCGGACCGAAACCCGCGGTTCACGCGAGCCACGAGACAGCGTTGATGCTTCGATCGCCCTAGTCATACGTTTCACATCTTTCAAACACGCTACACAGAGTTCGCACTACGGGTGCTCGCAGCACGGAGGAGGGCCTTGGCATCACTTCTGGGAAGTCGGCGCGGGCCGCCCGGGACGAGGCGGCGTTCGCGGCGCTCGCGCTCCGAAGACGTGCGAGACACCGAGTGCGTCGAGCTCGTGTCCGAGCGCCACTCGGACTGGTACAGGGGCGGGAGGGGCTCGAGGCGCGTGTCGAGCCGCGCAGCGTCCGTCTCGCGATAGCTTGTTGCACCGTCACGACCCTCGCGGCCCTCGCGCACCGAACCAGCGGTCGGCGTTCCGGGCCGGTCGACGGTTTGCTGCCGCAGTGCTTCTGCCAATGCGTTTATGGCACGGGTCACGTCTTCGTTCGGACCGGGCGGCAGAGAGGGCGTCCTCACCGGCGGAGGCGAGGGCGAATGGGCAAGAGCCCCGAGCCGTGATGGCGCCAATGCCATCCTTGGCACCCTCGGCGTTGGCATCTCCAGACTCCCCCGCAGATCGCCGTGCAGTTCTTTGCCGAACTGGTGGGTTGAGATGTGGCTGCTCCCCATCGGGACAGGCGTCGTCGGCGTGCTAGGCGGTAGCATTGGAGCCGTCTCGGTCACGTCCGTCAGGTCGTCCGAGGTCGGGAGAGTGTACGGCGTCGTGGGCTTCGTTTCGACTTCGGCCTTCAGCAGATCGCGCCCCATTTCTGCGTCTAGCCGCTTCTCTCGTTTCCGCGTTCGTCGACGGTTCCAACAGCATCCAACCCATACGCCGACCCAGAAGAGGATGATGGAACCGATGATTGGAATGCCAATCGTGATGAAGTACCAGAGGACGGCCTCCATATCCAGCATGGCCATCTTGCCTCTTTGCAACCTGTTGTCAGCGCTGAAAGATCGCCAATCACTTACGGCCTGCACGACTGCGATGAACCTCAGCTTCCTTCGCGATGATTGTTGACGAAGGGTGCAAGCGAGTCATGAGTGGATGGTGGTGCAGACACCGGGCAACGAACGACAGGCGGAAGCTTTGCATTGACACGGACTTGTGTCATACTTCAAGCTTCCTGGTAGAAATCTAATGGCCCGGAAGCCTGTGCAACCCAGAGAACCTCCGCTCGGTTCAAGCTCACGAGTTTTCAAAGGGCAGACCGCAGTCTAGGTCATAAGCGACGGACTGGAAAGAGAAGACCATTGAAGGATGTGACCCGGATCTTGAAGCAAACCCCCGGACCAGCACGACTGACCACAACGGCTTCCACACCCAGCACTGCGACTATTTGCTGCGGCACGGTTGTGGCAGCGACTGTTCGCCGCTGCCACGTCGGGCCGGAACTGAGCTCACATCACTTTCGGGCCAAAGTGCCCAAGCTTCAAGCTGTCAGCATCCTGAACCGGAGAAAAGTTCACATGAAAATCAAGCCTAAACATAGCAACTATCAACATCTACACGGGGCGCACCCCTATCCCCGCTTCCTTCTCGGTGGCCGAGCCGGACCAGCTTCTCCTTCGACGCTACTCGAGACTTGTGACTCGCGCGAGGAGCTTGAGGCAGCACTGCGCCACTCAGACTGGTACTGGGGCGGAAGGAGAAGTCGTCCGCTGTCGGCTTCGCGCGCGCCATGACCGTGCCCCTGAGTGACACTCGGACTGGCGCCTGCCTCAACGACCGGAGTGGCTCGTCCCGAGCCAGTCTGATCGAGGTTCAGTCTCAGCGCGGCTGTCAGAACGCTGATGGCATGCGAGACATCCTCTGGCCGAAGCGCGGGGGTGGAGGTTCGTCGTTCCTCGCTCGTGATCATCGAAGAGCTTCCCTCGTCCACAAAGAATGCGGGGCGGGGCTTGACCACATCGTTGCCTACAGCGTCGCGCAATCTTGAGGGTAGTTCCGGTAGCGGGCGCTCCACCATGATTGGCTCCGTCTCCGTCTCCGTTTCGTATGAGGTACGAAGAGGGAACGGCGTCACGACGTCGAGGCCAGAGTTCTGCTCCGGCGTCGTTCGAGGGCGCGCGATGTACTGGTCGGGCAGGGAGCCAATCTCAAGGTTATGCTCCCGGCGCCAGTTTAGACGCCCGATATACACCCCGAAGAAGAAGGTGATGAACGACGCCATGATTGGAACGCCGATGAAGAGGAAGTTTTGAAGATCAACGCTGTATTCGTTTTCGCAGAAGTGGGCCATCGCTTCACGAACAGCTGCTTTCAGCGGTCAGCATGTTCCTGAGAAAACTAGATGCGAACTGTACCTTGTGCTTGGATGTTAGTAACGACCGCCATCAGTGATCATTGCGATCTACTTATAGTCAGAGAGAGGGGTCAACATGGCAAACGCAGGGAAGCACAACGCTTTGATCCGGCGTCTGCCGACCTCTGGGAATCTGTGCGTAAGAATCACTGCTGAGAAGCCCAATGTCTCATAGACGGGACTTGGCATGGAAAAGCGCAAGCATCGGATGAACAGTTTGACTACTCATCGAGTACAGAGTTGGGTACGAGTCACGACTCCTGTGGACGATGAAGTCTGCGGTTATCTGCGGAGGCTGCGGCGTACAGGCGGCTATCTTATCAGTCTGACCCTGAGCAAGGGGTAGCCTTGGTGCCCCATCCCGCCCCTTGATGGCCTTAGCTGGTTGCGGAGGAGCGACAGCAGTACCTCATGTTCGCACCTCGTCTGCGACACGCTGTCGGTGGGCATATTGATTCTACCGTGAGGTGACGAGGCTTGCACAGGTTTCCGCAACAACTTCAGCCGGGCCGGGACCCGTGATCGATAATAGAACTGAGCGTACAGAACGTGCCTGGCCCTCGCCATGGCATCAGGGGCTTGATTTTAAGGTTGAGTTTGCAGCGTCGTTGACAGGTAAACTGCATCGCTCATTCCATTTGTGCTCTACATGCTGTGCCGTGCACACGCGTGAAACTTATCATGTGCTATTATGCGAGTCCTCGAGGGATACTGCGATTCTGATCTGAGCATCGAGGGCCTAGATAATCAGCGACATGTTCCCCTGAGTTCCCCCTCCCATAAGCAACTTTCTCGCATCACCGTCTTACAGCTTCATCCCCATCAATCAGCTCGCGAACGCTTTCGGTACACATCGGCGGTCTGCCCTTACCAAAGGATGCCTTCATACCAGTGGTTTTGTGCCACTTGGCTGCTGGTCGCACGAATTGTCATTGCTCAATTCAATTCCACTGTCTCCTTCACGTTGACATCCCTGGACGGCCCCGTCGACGTCGATGCTGCGAGAAGCTGGTATGGAGGATTGCCATTCACCGTCGACACCGACAACGGATACCGCACCAGTACTGGCCGTTCGAGTGGAGTATGGGGCTCTTCTTTCGTAGGCACTGGATTCGAAGTTCAGGGCTTCGGACTCTGGAAGTACGGCAGCGGACCGTCTGATTCTGACGACGACGGGAACCCCGGAGCAGTCTTTGCCTACCTCTGCCCCTCTGACCGAGAGTGGCAGGAGGAGTCATTGCTCGAGCTCACTGGGAATGTCACCGACGATCCTCGCCTTTTCGCGGCATCAAACATGCCCCTATCAGCATACGATTTGAACTGGGTTCTCCGCGCCGATACGCAGTTGGAGTTTCACAACCTCACGATTGACATTCCTATCCGCACTCAAGCGTGAGTTAAGAAAGGGCATGTCCATCACAACTGACAGGATAGACCATCGCTGGTTGATCTGCAATCGCAGGCTACATTTGTGCCGACTGCTCAAAACGGGCAACTGCAATCTACTATGAGTCTGGGTTTCAGCAGCAAACTTCGGCAGTTCCGTGACATGTTCCGCGGGAGGAAGGAGATTTACCCCCCTCGATTCAGCGCAAACGACACTGGCGTCATTCAATATGAGAAACGGAAACGGGGTGTCACTTACCGATTGGAGGAGGGCCACATCATGCTTAGGAACATGACAGAGCTCTCCTATACGGCACCTCCCAACACGACCTTGATTCAAATCTTTGGACCAGTAGGGCAGCTTAATGAGTCTTCGGCAGGAAGCATGTGCTATGCCGACCTTGACCCCCCTCCGCCGTGGTGGAAGAATACCAGCTTTCCCATATCCTCTTCAGAGAAGGAGATCAATGGTGTCAATCGCACGTTGTTCCTACTCCCAATCGATCCGGGCGTACAGACTACAGTCAGAGTGGGGACTCTGGGACTTGATTCGACATGTTTCATCAGCGGCATCTCCAGCTATCCATTCCATTAGTGGGTGCATGGGGAGTTCCAGCGCTTACAATCAAGTAATTACACCCTTGCAAACCTCGCCGCCGTCGACTCTGGGAGTGATGGCGGCGGCATCGAAGCGAGCTCGGGAGCTTCGAGTGCGGAGTCAAAGCACCGGACAGATATCATTGTTGGAGTGGTGGTGGGTGTGGGGGGAGCCCTCGTGCTGACCGCAATTCTTGCGTGGCTGTTGCTCCGACGCAGAAAACAGCAGAAGGGGAAGGAGTTGGGCGCAGAACCATATGATGTCTCTGAGAAGGATCTGTACCGGACAGCGAGCTGGGCGCCGCACAATGCCCTTGATTGGCCCGACACGCCGCCAAACCGCTCTGGTCCTGCCCCAGTCGGCAGCACTCGTCCCCGACCACGTCGCATCGTCCAAGAGCAAGACGCGGCGGAAGGATTGGAACATTCCCCACCCGTATATGAGGGTGAACAGTTGACCTCTGCGGTTGACGGTTCCACACCCGGCTGGAGCTCCCCAGACGACTCTACCAGGCCCCTGGCGAATGGAGCTAGAGAGCGGCCAGGACAGCCTTCGGCCCTCAAGATTGATACGAAGAGAGTGCTAGAGTCGGGACCTGACTCTCCTAGCCGGTATACTACCCACGTTACCACCCCTCAACTGAAAGAGGAGTGTGCCAGAGTCTTTGGTGTGCCCCGTTCGCCGGCGGAGCGCACGGCTCGCACTCCTGAACGTACTCCTCCGTTGAAGGAGGAGTATGCCCGAGCCTTCGATTTGTCGTAGTGCATAGCAGCCACTCTCCAGCAATTCCCCGACTGTCTCTGAGCCTCAACTCAGCCTCACGAGCTGGCACCAGCCCTAACCTAGTGCGGGCACCACCCACTCAAGCCGCAGTATCCCTATCGGTATCTTATCGGTCCCTGAAAAGCCATGCCGCCGCCATGCCTGCCCCTTACTGCCTCCCAAGCCACCACTGAAAAGCTTGCGATCGATCTAACACAGCTATTCATACCGCCGCAGATGCATCCACTTTCGTATACATCCTCTTGGTTTGCTGAGTTCCAATCCTTGGAGTCTTCGGAGATGGCGCTCCTCACGTATTGCATGTCTATATACAGACCAGGCTGTGCAGTGTTATCGAATGTGCAACCCGGACCCCCAAAAGTGATTGTTAAGGAGCCGCTCATGCAGACAGAGTTTAACGCGAAACGAACAGGCACCACTCTCCGCAACTTCTACAATGCTCCGTGCCAGTGCACCGGGAGCGGTCTACGTAATCTGAACTGCTTCAAACTTTGTTCTGTGCATCTGACCAGTTCGTTTTTCCGAGGAAGCCATGACCGTCTGCTCTTTCACATTTCTGTAGCACCGCCATCGCACAACTCTATCGCAAGTTCCCATGGTCATCCAGCGATGCCCGCAGCTGCTAGAAGATAAGATTACGGTTTCCATGATCACGTCGTTGCAGTGCTCACCGTGGTTGGAGCTGTGCAGTCCCAGCTTTTGAAGCAGCGGAAGAGGTGCTGAGGATGCCGTGCATCCGTCCTATTCCATGTTGCAACCCCAGCAGGTGGGCGGCTTACCATTGAGAAAGCCGGCAGGTTGCAAGCAGAGCCTTCTCTTTCAGTCATCTGCCAACTTCACAACTTTCTGCATCTGTATCCCCAACTCATCCTCGCTTCTAAACTAGACGGAGCATGCCACAACATACGACCAAAGCACTCGACGGGCAAACATGATATTTCCACACCGACTCTCGTGGCTGGCATGGCCGCTCTTCGCGCTGCCGACCGTAGCGCAATTCAACGACACTTTCAAGTTCACGGTGGATTCGCTGGACGGCTTGGTCGACGTCGATGGGGCCTCAGAATGGTGGGGTGGCCCGCCCTTCACCATGGACAATGCCACAGGTTATAGGACCAGCGCCGGCTCTGGTGGAAGTAGCGGATGCGCTTTCGTTGGAGTTGGGTTTGAAGTCCAGGGTTTTGCTCGATGGAGGAACGCCAATCACCAGGTTAACCAGGTTAACAAAAGTGACCCCCAATCCATCAACCCTGTGCTCGGCTTCCTGCAAAGGCCGACTGTGGGTACAGCTGGCCCCAGCACACAGCTAAATGGAACCGTCAGAGAGACACCCGATTTGATGTCTGCATCGGGTTTGAATCTCTCAGCATACGAACTGCGATGGTCATATTCTCCCGATGCGATTTTCGAATTCCACAATTTCACGATCGACGTCCCCGTTCGGACTCAGGCGTAAGTCCTCTCGATGACAGTCACAGCTAACGGCAAGACCCTCTGTGAAGGAGCTTGAGTCACAGGCCACTTTCGCTCCTGCAGTCTTATCGCAGAGGCGTATAAACCCGAGGATGAGTTTCGCATTCAGCCAGAAGACAGACGAGTTCCACATGTTGCAGAAGCCTTTGCAACTTCGCGACGTCCACCAAGCCCGACACTTGAAAAGGGACGTCAGTGCTGACATCACGTGATCTCCACCACATGGTCCCACCTGGACTAGCTCGTAGCCTAACCTTTGTTTACATCGTTCCTGTTCTCTCTCTTTTCTTCTTCTTCTCTATGCACGTCTTGACTACAGCAGATTAAGAGTCACATCTATCTGCCCCGGCACGACGACTCAACAAACGCCCCGCACGCAGTTGAGCAGTCGCGCCGGACATCACACTCCCTCCCCTCCTACGTGCTATACATTAAGAACCTGGTTTTTGCCACCCTAACCATAACCGACCCGCCCTCCCTTCCTCCGTCCAATCCGACTACCGCTTGACGACGTCTCGGACAGCAACATGACGGAATTTGAGAAGATAGGAGGCGGTCTCCCCGTGATGCGCTCGGAAGACAAACTTTCGAGCTCGAACAACTACCATGAATGGCGCCGTTTCATGACCAACTACCTCAATGTACGCGGCCTCGCGCAAGTCGTCGATGGTGACATGCCTATACCCTGCAAGCCCAGCAAGGTGGCGAACCTCAGTACGGAGGACGTCACCACTTACCGTCTGTGGTGCTCGGCAGACCGCCAAGCATATTCCATTATCAACTCCGCCCTCAGCCCAACTCTCGCCCAGTGTCTTCCCCCGGACCTCCGCGTGTATCAACCTCCCGCACCGGAACATTCGTTCACAGCTCAGTCCAAGCGCCTGTGGGACTTCTTGAAAGGCCACTATTCTGCGGTGCGCCTGGCCAGGAAGATCGAACTCCTGCGGGTGCTGGTGCGTGCCGACCTGGAAGAGGGTGGCGACGTCAAGGCACACACTGGTAAACTTGCCAGTGCCCACAGCGACCTCGCCGAGGCGGATGTTGTCATCCCCGACGAACTGTACACTCTGCTGGTGCTTATGTCACTGCCTGAATCGTATGAGTCCGTCACCGACACCATTATGGCACAGACTGTGTGTCCTTCCTCCACTGAGGTCTTCTCTCGCATCATGGATCACCAGAGCCGCCGTGACATGCGTGAGCGCTCGGCGGCCTTCGCCAAGACACAAGCACAGGCCCTGCTCGCCAGCGGGAAGCTCAACGTTGGAGGCCGCAAGGGACGCAAGATGGGTGGCGACCCCAACAAGAGGTGCAGCTTCCACAATATGCCAGGCCACAGCGACGATGAGTGCTTCGGACTGCATCCCGAACTGGCTCCCCCAGGTTGGAAGCCCAAACCCAAGGGCAAGGCGACCGACAAGGCGGCAGACAAGTCTGACAAGTCCGACAAGTCCGACAAGTCCGACAAGCAGGAGCCCTCCCCGAGGGACTGCCACGCAGCCTGCCTGGCTGAGGCGGAGTCGCGTGCCCCGGGCTACGAGGACGCCTACATCACGGAGATTGCGTACACACCCAACAGTGAGGAAGACTCCTCTTCCTTCGAACCACCCTGGGCCTCTACCCCTCGCAAGCAGGCCCGTCCGGGCACCCCATCTAGGGATGTGACCTTCGGTGTGCCGCAGTCCATCCTCAAGCTACACGCCGAACTGACTGCGGCGATGTCGGATCAAGACGCCTCTCTCACCTCCGGGTCCCTCCTCGACGCGCCATACCTGAGTGTGGGGCCATCCCAAACCTTCCACTCGTGTGAAGACTTACTAGACACCTCGATTGATGCCGAGGAAGACCAATCCCCAGTCCTGTCTCCTACTCCATCCACCCAACGCACCTCACCCACCCCGTCACTCCCCGCTGAGGACACGACGGCGACGTCAAGTGAGGAGCCCTCGTCGGACTCAATGACATCGCGCCTTCGCAACCTCTCCCTCGAATGCCCCTTCTGGAACTCAATCCAATCCATCCAGTTCCCAGACCAAGGCATCTGGGAGGAGGACGACCCCTTTCCCTTGACGACATCCCGTGCGCCTGTCGCGTGCGTCGCCGAGATCGAGGAGACTGAGGTGACAAGCCAAGAGGTTCTCTCCCTGATGGCTTCTGAGACTTCAGCCCTCCAGTTCACGGTGGACACCGGCGCAAGCCAGCACATGGTCCATGATGACTCGATTCTGTCTGACATCAAGCCCCTCGGCAACCCCATCTATGTGCGCGTGGCCAACAAGGCGCGCGTGCCGGCTGCTGGGCGCGGGACCCTGAAGCTGGCAAATGGCATTCAGCTCCACGACGTCCTCCATGTTCCTGGCTTTGCCAGAAACTTGATCAGTGTGGGCTCCATGACCGCCACTGGCAAGACGATGTGGGCCTTCGCCGGGGACCGTGCGTACTACCTCGACAACAACGGCTCGACGCTCCTTACGGGCAAGAAACAAGGTGGCCTCTTCGTCCTCGACGCACAGGCTCGTCATGATGGTACGCTTCCCATGCCTGAGTCAAATGTAGCCCAGACTGACATCCTCTCTTCTTGGCACAACAGACTTGGCCACTTGAACGTCAATGACGTAGTGAAGATGGGGAAAGAAGGTCGTCTGGGCAGCAGTGACTTATGGCAAAGGCTGGGAAGTAAAACCGTCTATGAATTTTGTTGTGAGCCGTGCATCGTTGGAAAAGGGAAGCGCTTGCCGTCACCACCCTCGGACATGAGGTCCCAAGAGCCGAATGGCATTGTCCACGTTGACTTGTGCGGCCCTATCAACCCACCCTCGGCTGGCAACAAGCGCTACATGATGACTATCTATGATGACTATACCTGTCGACTGAGTGTCTACTTCCTGGTACGCAAGTCCGACGCGGCCAAGGAGATCATCCAACATATCTCCCTTGTGGAACGCCAAACCGACCACAAGGTCAAGGTCATCCGCTCAGACGGGGGAGGCGAATTCAGCTCCACATGGTTCGCGACCCAACTCAGTTCTGCAGGGATTGAGCATGTGACGACTCCTCCAGACGCTCATGCCCAGAACGGACGAGTGGAGCGGGCCCACCAAACCATCATGACACTTGTCCGCACTGTACTGGCGGCCTCGGGACTCCCCATGAAGTACTGGGCAGAGGCAGCCAGGTATGTGGCCTACACCCGGAACAGGGTACCGGCTGGACCGACGAGAGCGGTGCCAGAGGAGCTGTGGCGCAACCGCAAGCTACGCTATACGCACATGAAGCCTTTTGGAGTGGAGGTATACGTTCGGGATCACACTCAGACCCACAAGCTGAAACCCCGGTACCTGCATGGACACTTTATGTGCTATCAGGAAGGAACGGAGAACTTTCGAGTCCTCCTCGACAACGGCAAGGTCATTACCTCCAGAGATGTCGTGTGGCCCAAGGGACCTATCCGAGGCCGCAGACCAGAAGGCGTCCAGCGAATGAACATCAACAAGGGGTACTGGGAGAGTGTCGACGACTCGGACTTCGAGTACATCACGCCCAATGTATCCCTCATCAACCTGCCCACGACGGGCCAGGACCAGCTGACGGTACAGAGCGAGGACCCCTCGGGAGACACGCCACAGGCTTCGACACAGGAAGAAACGGATGGCCCACGGCCTGAAGCAGCTCCGGAGCGACCACTCATTGATCTGAGTGAAGATGCCCCGCCCCGCCGGAACCCGGTGCGTGCCGTCCGTATGCCACTCGAGGACCGACCGCAACCTCAGCCTCCCAAGCCGTCTACCAAAAGCCAGTGGCCCGGTTGGCACTGGGAAGAGACGTCAAGGATCGAGCAACCTGGTACTACTGACCGGGAGGATACGGCGGTGCCAACTCTGCCGGGCGACACATCGACAAGGGCCTTGTTGGAACCTCTCAACCCCCAGGCAAACCTGGCGACCGAAGAAGGGGGGCTGGAACCAGAGTGCCTACTCGCCCATGCGCTGGCAGCTACTGGTATCCCGCAGAACTACCAAGAGGCGCGCCAATCCCCGGATTGGCCAATCTGGGAGAAGGCCATGAAGGAGGAACTGGCGAAGATGGACAAGTACAAGGTCTGGAAACCCGTGCCTCGGAACAAGAACCTGCGCGTCCTGCCCTGTCGCTGGGTCCTCGATTACAAGATTGATCCCACAACGGGAGAACCCACGATCCCGAAGGCACGATGGGTGGCCAAGGGCTATCGTCAAGTCAAGGGCCTCGATTACAACGATCTTCACTCGAATGTGATCCACAAAGACGCCCTCCGCGTTTTCTTTGCCATTGTGAACCACCTAGACCTGGAGTGCGATCAGGTGGACATTACGGCGGCCTTCCTCAACGGAGAACTGCACGAAGACATCTACGTGGAACCGCCAGAGGGCTCGGGCTACCCACCGGACACCGTACTGAAACTGCTGCGCACACTGTACGGCCTCAAGCAATCCCCGAGGTGCTTCAATGAAACCCTGGATGCGTTCTTGAGGAGTGAGGGGTTCCGACCGACCAAGGCAGACCCGTGTCTCTACGTGAAGATCCTCCGCCACCTGATAATGCTGCTGGCACTGCATGTGGACGACCAACTGGTGGCCGGCAATGACAGGGGGGAGCTCGACCTTTTCAAGAAGAGACTACATGCCAGGTTTGAGTGTAAGGATGGTGGACCCGTCTCCTACTTCTTGGGAATCAATGTCCGGAGAGATAGGCTTAACCGGAAACTGTGGCTGTCGCAGGAACACTACATCAAGGCAATCCTCGAACGCTTCGGGGTGACACACTCCAAGCCAGTCACTGTGCCGCTGCCATCCAACTTCAAACCCAAGGCGCCGACCGATGAGGAATATGAACAGGTGAAACACTTCGACTACCCTGGCAGGGTGGGCTCAGTCCTGTATGCCTCAACAATAACCCGACCTGACATTGCTTTTGCTGCTGGTACGCTGGCCCGCTACACAACCAAGTGGGGACCTTCGCAGGTGGCCGCTGTCTCGCACCTCCTGCGGTACCTTGCCTCGACTGTCGACTTCGCGCTGGTCTTTGACGCGGCTGGATCAGAAAGAACAGTCCTCGGCTATGTCGACGCCAATTGGGGAGGTTGCCTGGACACAAGGCGCTCCACCACCGGCTATGTCTTCAAGGCCTATGGCGGAGCAGTGGCATGGAAGTCAAAACGGCAACAGACGACGGCACTGTCCACGACCGAGGCGGAGTACATGGGTCTCTCTGATGCCGCTCGTCAGACCGTCTGGCTCCGCCAACTTCTCAAGGAACTGGGACTCCTGCCGGATGGTCCGACCAACCTCCTGTGCGACAATGAAGCCGCCGTACTCCTATCCAAGGATGCCGTGCAACACGAACGAACCAAACACATCGACATGCGCCACCACTTTACGCGCGAGAAGTACCAGGATGGCACTCTCCAGGTAACTCGGGTGCCAACTGACAACAATGTAGCTGATTTCTTCACCAAACCCACCACCGCCGGCAATCAACACCTTGTCCAAGCCCTTATGCGCCCCGCTGGGTGCTGAGGGGGGATGGGGGATCCAGCACCCACTCGCTACTCATGCTGGGACGCCGCGGTGAGGGGGGCTGCTGACATCACGTGATCTCCACCACATGGTCCCACCTGGACTAGCTCGTAGCCTAACCTTTGTTTACATCGTTCCTGTTCTCTCTCTTTTCTTCTTCTTCTCTATGCACGTCTTGACTACAGCAGTCAGCTACGCTGTTGACGAGGACTCCGTGCTCCTCAAGAATAACACGGAGCTTTCATACTTGGCACCGGCGAACACGACCTTGATTCGAGTCTATGGCCGTGTCGGCAAGATGAACAATTCCGTCAAAGGCAGTCACTGCTACGCAGACCTGGACCCCCGGCCTTCGTGGTTCCAGCCTGGTGATTTCCCGATATCCGCCCAAGAGAAAGCAATCGATGCTCACAACCGCACTCTGTTCATACTCCCGATCGACCCTGCAGTTCGAACGACTGTCAGGGTAGGGTCGCTGGACCTGGATACGACTTGTTTCCTGAGTGGCTTTTCCACCTACCCCTTCCATTAGTGAGTGATATCGCCTTGTACTGCGCTGACATGCTAGCAACTACACTCTTGCAAACCTGGCCAACGTTGACAGTCAAAAGGCTCAGTCAGATGGTAACCACACGGCTATCAACAAAACTGGGGTCATCGTCGGTTCTGTGGTGGGCGTAGCAGGGGCACTCGCTGTGGCTGCTTTGGCGCTGTTGTTTGTTCATCGCCGTCATAGGAAGAAGGAGACTGAACACAAGCACGATGCTCAGCCGTACATCATATCCGAGAAGGAGCTATATTGGGCGGCAGGATGGGCGCCCCACAACACTGCAGGTCAACCTGATGAGGTCGGTGGCGGGGACCAAAGCGATACCGGAACAGAAATCAGCCCTCAAGACGATGGCGTCGAAGAAGTCGAGTATCTGCCTCCACGATACCGAGAGTGGCAGCCTGGAACGGGCATCGAGCCTGAGCAATCGCCTTCCATTGTGTGTCCTACCCCTGCCAGTACCGCCAGGGAGGTATCTCTGCCGCCGATGCAACATTCAATGGCACTCAAGGAGGGGTATTTGCGAGGTCTGGACAGCCATCCCAACTCGTCTGGGACATCCACCTTCACCGATCCTTCTCTCCAGCTTGGCTATAAAAGGTCAGTGGATGAGCGGGGGCCCGCCACGGAGATGCCCACCTTGAAGGAGGATTACACAAGACTCTTCGGCATGAGATAAGCCACATGCATATCAAACGTAGAACTGGCGATTGCAGCACTTCAGCACTTCTGGTCTCACACCTCATAGAATCCTCTAGCTTAGTTATATCAAGGACGTTAAAACACCATAGCCATGCAACAGATTTCGATCTCCGAGGGGATCCGCGCTCTCGGCTGGGAAAGCGAGCGACAGCTTTGTCACTCGCGACGACCTCCACCATCCAGACAGATCTCGAGATCATCAGTTTCAGAGCAGAGTTTTGCTTCTTCTGCACGGCTCCCCATGAGCTTGGTAGCTCGCAAGGTCACACTGGGGATCCACAGACGGCCAGGCCTTCTTGGCATTGATCGATGCCAAGGCCTGTTTCACGCTGAAGCAGGCATGAAGCAAGGCAGCCGTAACATATGCTGCTACAAGCTGCTAGCCACCAGCACCGTGCGTCCTGAGTGGTGCTTCGCTCCAGTCTTTGCTTCGGCAGCGTATGGTATGGTTCAAGTCCTTCTTTCACTTTCCCACATCAATCTCCTCGACAGGGCTACTCAACATCCCGCAACCTCAGGATGCTCAATTCAGCCGCTTTCATAGTGCTGTTGATGTTCATGGGCATCGCGGCTTCCGCCAGCTCACCTTTCAACGCCTCAATTCGGTTCCGGATGGATGCGCTGTCTCCAATGATCAACCTCACCCACGGTTCGCAGTTGATCGTCACAACTTGGCGGTACAGTGGGGAGCTAGGGATGATCTGGTCTGCGCCTAAAGTGAAGGACAGCGATGACTATTACTACAAACCTGATACCGGTTTCGATTACGAACGGGTATTCTCTAAGCTGAACTTCGACTTCGTCGGAACGGGACTCGAAATCGAGGGACAAATCGGAGAGGGCTCTCAACGCACAGTTGACGTATACCTGTGGATTGAAGGGGACGAGTGGGCATCCGATCAAGGCAGCAAGTTGAACAAGAAGTTTGAGCTCACGCCCGGGGGTTTCAATACCCCGTACTACACCTTGATGAGGGAGACGTTGTCCGACCGCCCTTGGCCATACCATGGAAGACTTTCGGTGCCCTTCGAACTCGATTTCCGTTTCGTCTGCCTGTGGTTTTACATCCCGGTTCGAACCCAAGCGTGAGTCATGATGAATTCAGGAGGCGAGACCATGCTAAGGTGCCGCAGACCTTTGGATATTCTCGCTTGGCAGTCGCAATCACCGCTAGTCCCTTTGGTCGACCCCGATGGATCAGTTTCAGACGCCGTCGTGCTCGGTGTATTCTCAGCAAGGTCCGAACAGGTGTTTCGCGCCTCCAATCGCAACACCAAGGCGGTAAAGGCCGGCAGTTCAGTGGCGAAGGACGTCCATGGCGACACGGTCTTTTTGAGAGAGCAAACTGAGCTGGTGTACGACATTCCTGAACACACCACTCTTGTGGAGGTTCTCGGTCCAGTGGGCAGGGAAAACGACATGGACGATGGTATCGACGGAGACCCCGGACTTTTCGAATGCTACGCATATCTGGACCCACCGCCATTCTGGTGGACGCCTCAGAGACTGCCTACATCCCTCTCACTCAAGCCTCAGAATGACATACGGCGCACTCTGTTCCTACTTCCTATCGACCCGGCTGTGCGGCATAAACTGCACATTGGCCCCACAACCGACCGGATGAGGTGTCCAGTTAGCCATATCCGATCGTACTCGTACTATTAGTGAGTCAGCACTGTGTTCCCGAGCTTATCCCAGTGATTATGACTTCAAGCCTGCCTCGAAGCGTTTTTCTCAGCCTGTATTCATCGGTTCTGCAATCGGCACAGGGCTTGGCGGTATTCTTCTCGGTCTGCTTACAGCTTTCCTCTTCAACCGCTGCCGCCGGAGACTCACTCGTCGCCCCCAATCCCCGTTTGAGGTAGACCCGAACGCGCAACATGAGCCGATCGAGCCGTTCGTTTCGCAGCTTTCTCGAGATCGCGAGCCCGTTCATGTGGGTCACGCCGAGGAAACCCCTTTGAACGCTGATCGTCCGCTCTCCAACTCCGTCAACCAATCCCGGCTCACCCCACAAGATACTACTGAAACCTACTCTGGCAGTAATACGGCTCATGAGTCTCTTCATGCAGGCAGCTCCAGCTCTGCGGCACCCTCTTCAGGTCTACCCAGTCAATCAGCCGGTCGGTACGCCCTCATCAAACATCATGAAGAAGATCTGCCTCCCATGTACAGGTCTGAGTGGGGCGACCAGGATTCTTGACCGGTTCGACCCACCAAGTAGGCGGAACAAGTTTCACCCCTCCATAGCCCTCTTCCGCCTTGTTTCTTCGTCTCTCCTGACTCTCCAGTCAAGCTTATCGAGAATGTGCAGAATGCCGTACGACCGTCCCTCATCCATTATGAAATTTCAAGTGTGGTTGACGATTTCGGGGATGGGCGCTATGATTTGAGTTAAGCAATATTATGAAACCACGGTCCGGAGGGGCAGGGTCAGGATACTTCCTCAGCGGCAAGAGGTCATTTGCGCGGGTTGGAATTGAACAATCAACTTTGCCGGTGCATGTGCAATTCGCCCGTAGCCTCTTAGGAGCAGTTAGGCACTGTGCAGTGGTTGTCTGCGTCAAAGATAAGAGAGGAACAAGTGTTCAAAGCCATTACAGGGTGGTCCGTTGGTCATTGTTAAGCTCCGGCGGTACACGACAACCGCTCAATGCAAGTGACTTTGCATCCCGTCAGCGTCCTGAACTCGTCAACACACGTCGTTAGCCTCGCACCCATGCACTCCGCTTGCGCTGTGCCTGGCATCCATGATTAGGGTGCGTGGGTGCACAGCTCGCGCGAAGCCGCCAGGGCCACCCGAGCTCTCCCTGCAGGTATCGTGTCCAGATTCCAGCAACCCTCGGCGTCTCACTTCGTCTCTCCCCACCGACCCCTCGGCCAACAGTCCTCGACAGCGCAACCGCCTAATCGCCATCCCGACCTGCCACCAGATGACGGTTCTCCGGCGCGCTTCGCTCGTGCGGCGCGACACGCTGCCGGCCTCGAAGATCGGTCTCATCGCCGGCATCGTCGGAGGCGTGACGGTGGTGTGTCTCACGCTTGCCGTGCTGGTCTGGAAGCTCCTCTACCTGCCTAACCGGCACGAGTTCGATGAGGTATCTATCGAGCGAGCGTCGACCGACTCACTCTCATCCGAGCACCGGGGCTATGCTGGCATGCTGCACCGCCTGCGCCGCGCCAGCTCACCTGGCATTGAGCGTACTCTGGCCGAACACACCCTAAAGGAGAAAGAGAAGAAGAGTACTGGTCCGTCCCTACCGCCCGGCGCCATGGCGCCCGCAATGCCCGGCATTCCCGAGCAACAACCCGCAACACCTCCGATGACACCACCAGGCAGGCCTCGCATGCCCCGCCGCCTCACATCACCAACTCCGCCCACGCTCGGCACGCCCATAGCGCCCATCTCCGAGGCGTCCTCTGCGCCCTCTACGCCCGTTGCACCCATCACTCCGCTCGCTCCCACGGCACCGGACAGCGCACCCATGACGCCGATCATGCGTCCCACCTCGCCCGAGCCCCCCGAAACACCGCCCAGATTCCCCAATAAGATCAGGCACGCAGACGACTCTGAGGACCTGTCCATTGAACTGCTTCCTCCACTCTACCGTGAGGAATGGGCCGAGCGCCGCTCACTCCACCTCGAAGAGGCTGCCTCCGAGGTGGTCCGGATCGATAGTATCCTAGTCACATCGGCGCTCACACTCGCCGCTGATGCCGGCCCACCCCTAAAATCTCAAGTAGCTTAATACGTCTGCGCACATAGGACACTGTGCAGGTGTACATGCAAACCTGTGAACCCCAAGTGCTGTTCCTGTTTGTTACAGGCAAGCAGGTCTACTGATGGGGTCACCTTCTTCCAGTAAACGCTCAGTAACCTGGGTTTTGAGTTCGCGAGCTTTCTGCGGGGCGTACACGACGTGACGCGCCTCTCAAGATTGGGCGCCAAAAGTCATCTATCCTGTGTGGTATTCGAAGTGTAACCATGCCCTATTTGAGGAAACACGCACGTAGATAGCTCCCACTTTGAGTTGATTTCTGCTAGTCTACAAAACAGCCCGTAGAGACACGCACAGGGTGGAAAAGCAGCCCACTTCCTTCGGAAAGGTGGAAAAAGCAAAAGATACATCCAGGGGGAATCGAACCCCCACCGCATCGATGGCAACGATGCATGATACCATTTCACCATAGATGTTAGGACGCAATACTAACCGTTGCTCGCAAGCTGCCGACGGCTTCCCCGAGGGTATGCCCTGCTGGTCCCTGATGAGCCCGCGACGGGCCAAACGATCGTTGAAGTGGCAGTCACTTCGCATTTTGCACAATAAGCTTGAAATTTGGAAAGCCGCTGAGCGGACCAGCTGTTCAGTGCGCACATGATATCTGAAACCCCAGCACAGAAGACTCAAGAAAGGTAACGTTAATAGAGGTCGAGGCTCAGTTTCCATTCTGCCCCTCACACTTCAGCTTGCGATTCGCCCCTCCTATCTGCCACGAATCCCGACGCCCAGAACAACTCTTGCATACCGGTACGCACCCTCCCTATCACATTCCCTAGCCATTGGTTCGTGGGTCCACCTTCTCCCAACGGATGCGGCTGAAGCCCTGTGAGTTGACAACAAGAGGGACGCCGTTGTAGAACATCTCTTTCTTGCCTTTGAGCTCGAGACAGTAGTATGGCTTGCCCACTGGCATGTTAGCCGAAAGCTGCATGACCGCGCTGCGAGTGTACTCACTAACTACGAAGGCGCAGAGGTTGTCGCCGGCCCAGAAGAACTCTGTCGCCTCCTGACAGGGCACCATGAGGAGGTCTATGTCTTTGTGGGGTACGGCGTCGTCGCGAATTCCTGAATAGCGTCAGCCTCCACCTATCCGTTAACTCAGCAGCTGGACTCACTGTCGTGATAAAAGTTGAGACAGAAGTCGCTGTTCTTCCGCATGAGCCGAAACAGCTGGTCGCCGTTCGATGTCTTGCCACTGTCGCCCAATTTGTTGAAAACAAAAAAGCGCTGGTTGTCGCCCCCATGGTAATCCCAGATCTGCGCGTGCGCCTTCTCTTCGTTTGCCCAGTCTTTGTTGTCGAGCGCGAAGTTGAACCCGGCTACCTTGAAGCCTGTCTCCTCTACCATTTCGTAGTCTTGTCGCCAGTCGCCATCCCGCTTACTCGGTCTCGTCAGCGCGGGGGCGGCCAGGGCGGCGCCGGCCATGAGCATGAGACAGAGAAGGCGCATGTTGATCACTATTTCAGTTGTAGGTGGCGGCGAGTGAACCCCGATGTGTCCAGCTTATATGTATCTCTGAGGCTAAGCTGGAAGAAACAAAGGCCGATGCGTGACCGACGATGTTCTCTCGGCTGCTCCTGGACGGATTGAACCGATGAAGCCGAAGGAGACAAGGGTGACATTCCGATCACTTCTCATCATTGTCTCGATAGCTGCTGTTGTTCGGCATTCACCGGTCGGAGCTGTTCGTGAGTAGCCGATCTGCTCGGCATCCAGTGGACGACCCCGCGTTTCGGAGCTGGGGTGCAGTATGAAGAGGGTCGACGGCGCTAGATAAGAATGGTTGGGCGTTGGTGAAACACACAATGGTCGCGATGCGAGCGGGAGTGAGGTGAGTGAAACGCATTGTCCTCGGTTTCGATCCGTATTGTGCCTACCCTTGCTTTTGAATGTGTGCTCGGACGTCCGACTGTGAACGGAGAATGACAATAGACGGGGTAGAGAACGGGCACACCCCCGGCGGACCCTGACCAGCTGACGCGAGCGTAGCTTGTCATAGGGAGTAATGGCGCCTTCAGTCCCGAAATCTTCGGAGTGTCCCAAGGTATTACATGGTTGCTCATCGTAAATCCCTCTAGGGCATCTCCGACGGCCGAGATTCACATCGCAACGAACTCGCCTCAACGGCACAGGCTTAGTGCATACCTGCCTCACTGGTCGGATCCAATTCCTAATAGCTTCACTATTAACTTCACAGGGTATGAGCGTTTAGTCAGAGACGTGGCCCATGTTGAAGTACTGAATTGTGTGCCGGCCCTCTTTGTGCAGGAGCAGCAGCGAGCCGTCTTCGAGCTGTGAGTCCTGTGGACCATTGATGAAGAATTTCCTTGCGATGTCGTCTGTTTGTTAGCTTGGCCACAGCTACGACTAACCAGGCTGAGGCAGCTTTGAGTTGCCGTAAAGGTGTATTGCGTTTGTGGCCCTGTCATAGAAGAAGGCAGGAGCTTGCGAGCACGGCCACAGTCCGAGCTGGATGTCCTTCGCGGTTTCTATCTGTCAGCTCGGCCCCATCCTGGGCTTACTGAGATCGACGCTGTCCATGGCATAGCCGAGACAGAGCTCGGTATCTTTCAGCTGATAGATGAACGGCGGGTGATCTCTCTGAGCATCAAGCAACTTGGCCCGCTGCTCGGCCGGAAGGTTCCCTTCCCGGTCCAGCGCGTCGATCCAGCGCCACTGCTGGTTGTTGTTCTCGTTACACTCCCAGGCCTGCACCGGGTTGCCGAGCGATTTGCGGCCGTCCCGATTGTCGAGGCAGCGGAAGACACCGTACTGCTCCGAGAGCAGGATGCTGTGCCATGTTGGGGTTGAGTCGGCTGCCTCGATCCACTGCTTGGCTGAGGCTGTGGAGAAGAGGGCGAGCGAGGCCACAACAGCGACGGAGGCGGCGGACATTGAGATACTGGGGTCGTTTGGTACCCGCCAAGAGCGGCCGGGTGGATATATGCATGTCTTTGCTGTCGGCGAGCGTTTCTGACTTCTCAGTGCATGTGGATTCCACGGTGCGGAGACAATGGTCGCTCTGACAAGTTGCCCCAGCGAAACTGAGCTCCGATGTATCGCGGACCGCGACATGTGCAGGTTCCTGTGACGTTTGATTTCATCTGTGACAATGGGCCTATCAGCCATTCGCTGCTGAGGTTGCAATATCGTTTCGATTGGACGGCACACGATCATGCAGCCCGTGTGTGCAGCTAAGATGCGTTGATCGCCGAGATTGTCGGTGACCCTTAGATAAGCAGTGCCCTGGATGTGCGACGAACTACCCGGGAAGTTCGGACCGGTGTTGCGGGCGCAGAGGGCTAGACTTGGCCGGATTGTGGGCCAGAACAGGCGGAAGGCGGAAACGGATGGCTGGATGCATGCCGATTAGCTAGGCTCGGCATCTTGGTTCATCCAAGTAGAGAGATCTGTCCAGGCCTGATCCGAACGCGCATGAATCACGGAATCGCAGTAAACGGAATCAGATCAATCAACGGAACAACACTAGCCTGTAATTTTGTAGTCCGGGCATTATCAAGCTGAAATTATAATCTGTAAATGGATCGCCGAGGCCGGAAGACAACCGCTAACGCCGTGTCGGGGCTTAGGAGTGCCCCGTGCGGACCCGCCGTCCCGCCTGCTTCTCACGCCAGCCTGGGGGTGGTTGTGAGCATGCATCAGCCTGAGATGGCTGCGACTGGAGCATGTGTTGGAGCATGCGTTGGAGCGATGAAGTATGAAGTCAGATGAGCGTGGATGCTTCGAATTCGTAAAGGGCTATGATGTCGACTTGATGTTTGTGCGGCGTTGATTAACGGGGAGACCGAGGGAAGGCTCGGCATCCGGCCCGCGCCGAGAATCTTGGGTGATGACTCAAAGGTCACGCGCAGTCACGCGTCATAAGTCAGGCGACCCAGCCCAATTCTTTCTTCGGCCTCGTGGCCTCGTACCCGGGTGGGCGGACAAGACGCGGGGGTGGAGGCCCCGGCCCGCAGACCCGCAGCCTAGGCCGCAATCCGTTTTCAATGCATCGGGCAGCCGCGATGCACACTTGCCACCCCCGGATCTCTTCATCTGTCTTCCATCGCACCTACACTCTCATCCATCACTACTACCATCAAGTCACTTAGCCAGCCTCGGCGCGACCATGGCCATCGCCCTCACCGCGCCAGTCACCCCAGCCATCCACACGCACCTTCGTGACGGCCCGCTCTCGCCGCTTCCTCCTGAGCTTCTTCTGCTCGTCGCTGAGCAGTCCCTCAGCCAAGCCGAGCTTGCGGCGCTCGTCCGAGTGAACTCCCTTTGGCACGATGCGTGCGTTCCCGCCCTCTACCGGCAGATCACGCTCGCGAGCTCTGCATCCCCCGAGCCTGCTGTTTGCCCGGCAAATCTGCACCGGTATGCACGGCACGTGAGGGCTCTCGATGTCCGGCCCCCGAGACCGGAGTGCGGAGAGCTCCCGCCTGCTCTGAGAGCACTCCGGCTCAGGATGCACAAGCGCGGCGTCGAGCTCGGCGATGTCAGCGGTGAGCTGCCGTTACTCGTGCTCGACCGACCGCCCCTGTTTGCAGGATTCACCTTCCTCCCCGAACTGCCTACCGCCCGCCGAACAGCCGTCATAATCCGCCAACCCCCCGCCTCCACTGAGCCCCACCCCAGCGAGCTGTTAGCCCTTCCGCTCGGTCACCTTCTTCTCTCCCTCGGCGTCGACGCCCGAGCCCGACCCAACGTCGCTGTCCTCTTCGATACCGGAGCGGAGGGATACGAATCTCGCGCCTCGCACTACAAGCGGCTGTACCACTTCCTCGCCTCGAAGGGCAGTCTGTCGCTGCTCGACCACTCTTCGATGACGCCCGTAACAGTGGTGCTGCCGGACTGGGTGGCTCCCGATGCCGCCTGCCTGAACGCACTGCGAACCGAGCTCCGCGCCCGTAACGCGAGCTTGCACGCTGACGACGCGGAGTGGACCGACAACGGTCTGACGAAACTCAGGCTTGTCAAGTTGTCCGAGTACCTCACCAGTGAGGAAAGCGACCACGTCTTTGCTCCTCAGGAGCGACGAAGGTGGGAGGATGAGCTCGAGAGGCGATACCTCGAAGCAGATCCGATGCACGGCAAGCCTCGTGCTGCTGTCACTCCCGACCGGATCGCATCCTGGCTCGCCGTTTATCGCGAGGACCGCTAAGGCCTCAACACTTTCATCACGATCTTGATCCAGCGACACCAAGCCCGGCGTCCCAGGCCACCAACAAGCCCTGACACCCTCATCTGACACTGCCCTGATAAGACGACCCCCGACCCAAGTGTACCAGTATCTCGAAGACTACCCGGTAGACTAATGTAATCCGCGACCCAGCCAGAACGCCGCGGGCGCGTGCACATGGACGTTCGTGTACCACCTGTATGTATCTCCCTCATGCAAACTCTTGTTGTGAGTGTTGTGACGTATGAGTTACTGCGGGCAAGAGAAAGACACTCGACGTCAGCGGCGGAGGGCACCCTGTCAGCCCTGTGGCGCCCGGCGCCCTGCGTTCCGAGATCTCACAACAGAAGACCTGAAACCGCAGCACAAGTGCCCATCAATCGAGGATCGAGGACGCTGGCCGGCACGAGCTCTCTCTCTCTCTTTTTACGTAAGCTGAGAAGCGAGTTGTTGTGGACGACCTCGAGCTTCCTCGCATGCGCTCACTGATCACTGACTACGCCATCTCCGGTTGACCTCGCCTTCCCCATCTGCCCTTCTCAGCTGACGTAGCTTGCTGGTTGGACGCTCCCTCGCTCGACAGGGATGCTCAGCCGTCAGTCTGCTTCACTGTCCCTCTGTTGCTAGGCTTCTCACAATGCTCGCGTTTCTCCCCTGTGAAGTCCTCCTTATCATCGCCGACTTCCTCGCCCCTCCCGACCTCGCCTCACTCCTGCGCGTCAACTCGCACTTCCACGCCACCTTCGTGCAACCCTTGTATGCCTCCGTCCCGGCCGTCCGTCACGGCGCTCCAGACCTCTACCCTCCCCTCTCAAACCCGGCCTACGCCCGGCACGTCCGGAGTCTGACTGTCCGCCCCCACCTGACAGAGGTCTGTGCGGCCTCCTCCTCCCCGGAACCTGAACTCCATTTACGCCAAGTACGACTCCACTTGATACCCCCGATCACGAACCCGGAGTTTCTCCTGCACACCGTGATACCGCCCGACCTCTCGCTGATGACGGAACCGCCGTGTGGCTTTCTGGCTCATGTGCGGGCAGAGCGGCTGGTGATAATGGAGACGTACATGGACGCAGGCTGTCTGGGATATCTGGCACCGTGGCTCGACGACATCGAGGACGTGGTACTCTTCCTTCTACCGGTACAGAACCTGACGGCCGTTGGGGGCGTGGAGCCAAGGAAGGACGCTGCAACGGATCTCGCCGAGATCATGGCACATGTTTCCAAGGCAGTCAAACGCTTGACGGTCGTGGTGCAGCATCCCGTGTCGAGTCCTAGATTCACCTTTCCCCCAATCGAGAACTACGCTCGCCACCTTTTGAAGAGTCCGCAGGAGTTGGTCCGTGGAGTCGTGGACGTGCTCGAGGATCTACGGCACCTTCCCCCAGCGACCGAGGGAGGACTAGAGTGTCTAACAATCGTGCTGCCTGAGGGCGTGCTCTCGTCCGAATGTCGAGAGCACCTTCTACAGACCATTCGGCCTCGACCTGGGAGTGCAAGGATACTGGGCATGCTCGAGTTCATGGCTCGTCCAGAGTATCAGGGCGTGATGACGGATGAGCAACTGAGGATTTGGTGGGAACGGTCGAGACTGCCGCACTACGAGATGACCGTCAAGGAGGTGAAGGAGTGTATCCATTGACAGGGAGTGGAGAGGAGCTCGCCCACCGACGGCGCGGGCTGAGGAGGCCGTAAAGCATCTTTCGTCCCTTCGCCGTGGGAAAGGTGACTCACCACGACGAGGCTTGACAGATGTTGTGGTTGGGATCCTCAGCCGATCGACAGCGCCCCATGGTGCGCCCCCAACCTGGCGCTTACACGTAACAGCTTAGCTGGCAAGTTTCCCAAGCACTTTGGCATTGCAACATCCATCAACATACATATACATCCTTCCCCGCCCAAATGTTGTCGCCCTTGCCCGCAGAGGTTCTCCTCGCCATTGCGGAGCACCTCGAGGTTAGGGACCTTACGACCTTGCTCCGCGTCAATACCTTCTTCCACTCGATCTTCGTCGGGCCCGCGTACCGATGTGTGGAGGCTGTCAGCCGCCAGGAACCACTTGTCTTCCCTCCTCTCGCCATTGAGAAATACGCCTAGCATGTGCAAACTCTCAACGTCCGGCCACATCACTCTGACGTCTGCAAGAACGTTCCGGAGCACAGCCTGATCCACGTGAAACTCGTTCGTCTCTACGCTACCTCTGCACGCGTCTATCACCTAGTGCACGAAGAAGATCTCTACCCTCCGAGCATATGGCAAGGCCCCGACGATTTTTCCGGAGCGTTCAATGAGGACTTCCTCCGCTGGACGCAAAGGGCTGAACCAGCTTGCGGCTTCCTACGAAGCATCCGCACGGACACCATTGTCATCACAGAAGCAGCGCTATCAGGCAGCAGCTCGGTTGGTGACTTGCAAGGTTGGGCCGCGGATGTCAAGCGCGTCATCCTATTCTTGCCACCGGCGTGGACACAGCTCACCAGCGTGGCTGACGCTCTCTATCACTCCCCCGGCCCTAGCGACGACGGGCTCGAGCCCCTCATCCCCACAGGCATGTTTCTCCAATTTGCACCGCCGCGTGCGCAATCTTTTACCGCCGTCGTTCAACACCCAGGAATCTCGTGGTATGGCCTGTCTGACCCCGCGAGCATCGACTCTTTCGCCGACGCGCTTCTCAAAGGACCTCGAACGCTTTTGAGGGGCGTCGTCGATGTCCTCGAAGACTTTGGCTGCCCCGTATCTTCTCTTCATAGGCTCTGGCCTGTCCTGAAGCAGTTCACCCTTGTGCTGCCTGAGGGACTGCTCTCGTCCGACTGCCGGGACTACCTCGTCCAAGAGATCGAAACCCGCCTACGCGAATACGACGCTCCTGCCGATCGACCACCGATGCCCACAGTCCGCATCCTCAGTATGCTGGAATTTATGGCACTTCCCGAGTACAAGGATGTCATGACTCCCAAGCAAATGGCTCTGTGGAGTGAGCGCTCGGTGCTCCCCCACTTCAACGCCACTCGGGAGTACGTCAAGCAGTGCGTCGAGTGGAGCCGACGTCGGAGGGAGTTGCTGTTGCGCAAGTACCCCAACTACGAACGACATGGCTCTTTCGAAGCATCTCTGGGACCTCCACCTTGGTAGCCGTCTTGATCGCAGTCTATTTGTTGATAATTCGCGCATCGAGCATTACGAACGGTCGTTGTGCACAACCATGCATCAGCACGTAAAGAAGTCCGGAAAAGGGCACGATAAGATAAGACGTCAGTGGCGTCCGGTGGCGTCCACTTTTCCTGAGTTCACACGAGCTAACCCTTATCATCGACCTGCCTCACCGCAGCCCACCTCCCGAACATGTCCGCAGGCGATTCTCACGAGGGCAGCCCTTCCCTATCCTTCACGTCATCTTTCCAGTCCTTGGTCTGCGACGGCCCCGCCTCCGATGGCGGCCCCGATCCGAACAATCTCCCATACGCCCTCTTCCGGAGCGGCGTTCCCTGCTCTGACTCTGAAGAGCTGTGCGTCGGTGCCCGCTTGTCCGAGGGACTCTCGAGGGCACCGGGCGCAATGCCCATGTTCTTCATGTACTCCTCCTTCAGTGTCGGCCCTCCAACCCCCTCGGGAACCGGAAGGAAGGTCGAGTTCTCGTGGCTGCTGCCCAGGTCTGGGGTCGACAGCGGCGGGGTAGATGCCGGCTCGGGCGTAGTTGGCAGTGTGCGCTCCCGATAGCGGGGCGGGAGATACTCCACCACATCGTCTGCGTCCTCCTCTTGCACGACGCGGGGGCCGCGTGGCCGATTCTCGCCCCCACTCGAAACAGGTGCAGGAGGGGGATGATCGTTCCCCTCAGGCGCCCAGGACGCGTTGCGGTACAGATCCTTCTCGGAGATGAGGTATGGGTCTATGTCGTCTGGTTCGTCGGATTTGCGGCGGCGGAGGCAGAACCACGCCAAGAGCGCGAGGAGAATGAGACCGCCCACGACACCGACGACGACGCCGACGATCATGCCCGTTTTGTTGCTTCTGGAGCTGGCACTGGCACTGTTGGCACCAGTGGCTACGGGCAGGTCGGAGGACTGCATGATGGTCGGGGGTACGGTCTTATTGGCCGCCGTGCCGTTTATCGCAACCAGGTCGGGGAGCGTGTAGTTGCTGATACGTCAGTGCTGTCCCCATTGACCCAACTTACTAATGGAAGGGATAACTTGAAAAGCCGGAGACGTAGCAGGTTGCGTCCAGTCCGAGCGGTCCCACGCGCACCGTCGTCCTCACGTCCGGATCGACAGGGAGAAGGAACAGGGTGCGGTTATCCTCCCTCATGGCCTTTTGCGACGCGCTGAGCGGAAAGCTCCCATTGACCCACCAGCTCGGCACGGGGTCCAGGTCGGCATAACATTGGCTCCCGTACGCTGTCCGATTCATGCCCACGGGACCGTAGACGCGGATCAGTGTCGTGGAGATGGGCACCTTGTACGACAGCTCGGTCCCGTTCTTGAGCATGAGGACGTTGTCCACGATCTCGTGCGGGATGTCGAGCCGCTTGGTGTGGCGACTGTGATCGTCACGGCGGCCGACCTGCGTCCAGTCGATTACCATGCCGTCGTTGTCGGCTTGCGGGAGCGCATGGCTGGATGATGCCGCCGGGGCCGCTGGCTGGCTTAGTGATTGACCGGCTGATGACTTCGGGGTCTGTTGCCCTGCGCTCTTCGGTGATTGCTGCTGACGGCTTTGGGTCGGCTGCTGTTCCGCGCCGGGGCTTCCCTGTGAAGATTCCTGCTGGGACGACTGAGGCTGCGCCGCACTCGTCGCGGCTTGGGCTCTGCTTGAGGCAGGCTGTTCTGATCGATTCGGCTGATTGGGCGAGTCATTGGGCTGCGCCTGCTCGGAGGCCTGAGGCTCCTGGTTCTCTCCAGCGGTGGACTCCTGCGACTGGTCCGGCGTCTGAGGCGATTGAGCCGCCTGCGACGCCGGCTGTTGCGCCCCGCTTGGCTGCACGAAACGGGGCACGGTCGAATCATAAGGCGACGGCGCCGTTGTCGAATTGGTCCGCTTCGCCCACATATCCCGAAACTGGTCAGACTTTGTCGTGAAGCCGAGCGACATGGTGGGGTTCACATTTCCATCTTGGATTACTGGAACGTAGACGGCTTGCTTCTCTAGGGCTTCTCGGTTCGGTCTAACTGTCAGGCCAACCTAATGCATGAGACTGCAGGGTAACTCACGCTTGGGTGCGCACCGGTACATCAACTGTCATGTTGTGGAACTCGAGCTGCGAGTCGGGCGTAATCGTGAAGCGCAGCTCATACGACCTGAGTTCCTTGCCACGGGTGTCCAGCAGGGTAGTGTTATCCGCCGAAACGTTAAAGAAGTTCTCTGTATCAAGGACAGTCCGGAACTCCTGGTTCGTCTGGTAGAGAAACGCGTGTACGGGATCCGGGGGATCATGCGGCTCAGGCGTGTTCGGCTTCCAGATCCCCCGACCCTCGATTGTGACCCCGGTGCCAACAAACCAGCACCCGCTTGCGCCGCTCGAGCGCCCCGCACTCGTCCGGTATCCCGTCTCTGAGTCGAGTGTGAAAGGTTCGCCGTCGAAGGCGGCCTTGGACGCGCCGTCAAAGTCGCACATCCCGTCGGCGGACGTAAGGGTGAACCGGTATGTGTCGTTGAACTGCGCCTTCGCGCGCGGCGCCCACAGCAACCAGGCCAGCGACATAGCTGAGATGAAGAATGCAGATGTTGAGAAGTCAACAACTGTCTGTGTGAGAAGGCGTAATGGAGCTGGGACATAGCGGAGTCGACGGCGCGGGAGACATGTCGGAGCATCATGCTATACGCCTAGCCTACGCAGCTGGACTGCTCATGCCGTTGTCAGTCTTCCGGTCACACTCTCGTTAGTCCGCGCCGCGAGCCCTAGATGCAATCAACCTGCCGTCAGCGGTGGTGCTCCATGCCGCCAGGAAGAGGGTCAAGCGGTCCGCGGACAGCCAGTTTCGCAGAGCCCGCATGATCGTGGCCAAGTTCTTTATTTAACGATGCAGAGGTCAGGAGTGACCACTGGATGCGCACATAGCTAAACCTTGAGCTTAATCTGCTGAATTTCCCTTATCCTGGGTTCCCGCGCGGTCAAGTGATGGCCGCTATAGGGACCTGACCCCGGAGTTCCGGGCGTCCGGGTCAGTCGGCCAGTCACGAACGGGAAAACACGTGACCCACCTTCGTCCGCTGGCTCTGGAGCCCAGCACTGCTCTCATTACTCTCGTCACTGGACTGTTCACCGCCTCTCAACTACCGTAAGCCTTGTCGAATCCACGCCCTACAGCCGGACAGAACAGTTTCGGAGCTCGTCGACCCCGACCCCATCCTAACAGCAGGGGATGCGAAAGCTGCCCTTAGGGTTAAGGGCGGAGAGCGACGTCAGCTTGTCCAGCTGGTTCAGCTCAAGTGTTTCAGCGGTGTCGAGGCAAGTGTGGTGGGAAGAATCAACAGCGTTCACTACGTGGTGAGCACCGCCCTCGAATAGGAACGACGTTCGAGCAGAAGGCGGTACCTTGCCGCCCACCAGTGCCAAAAGCGCGATTGGCTGCAGACTTTTCAGTTTAGGAACGATGGAAGGCACACTTTTTGTCCTCGTCAGTGTACCTCGTCGTATTCCAGGCTGCACATGAAACCGATCCACATCGTAACGGATCCGTCGTGTGGACCTGCCCAGGACATCAACTGGCTAAGTGGCAGTGCATCCCTACTGTGTGAACGCTGTCATAGGGTCTGGTGTGGCGATCAGAGGACCTTCGTGTCGACGGCGCGAGGGCGGTTCGGGTCCCATACGCCCGCAAACCTGAGACTGGACCTCGTTAAGTCTTCATGAACAGCCAAGTTGCCATCTTGCCCACCCCCTTTTGCGGACTAAACCTCTTCTTACATCTAACCCAACAACTAGCACATTGACAACCATCACGGTCTATTCTACGCGTGTCGATCGGCGGTGTTTCATCATGGCAGCCCTCAGCTGGTTCCTCTATGCCTTTCTGATTGGGCTCGTTCCCACTGCGACATCGCAATTCAACACGACAGTCAACTTCACTCTCACCTCCATGGACCCCATGATTGACATGGACGGAGCACTGAAAGCCCAGCCTCTTACTCTGGATGAGAGGACCGGCTACCGGAAGTTCGACTTTGCGCGCGTCACTCTAGCCCACGCGTGGTTCGTCGGAACTGGTTTCTCAGTGCACGGGTTCGGAACATGGGACAACGAAAGCGAAAAGCCGACATCGGCCCCCATGGTAGCTCGTCTGAAGTATGTGTACAACAATACACAAGTACCTGGGGACCGGACGCCGTTCACCCAATACCTCGGGAACGAGCAAGGTCCTCCAAACGAGTTTGGTGACCTGTCCTTGCCCCTGGCAGCCTATCAGATCGACTTCATGTACTACCCATTCGCGACGGCCGAGTTCCACAACCTCACTGTGCAGGTTCCCATTCGGACGCAGGCGTGAGTGTCATCTCCCCAAATCATATTGCTGACAGTAGCCCTAATCTTGAGGCTTTGCAGAGCCAAGCCGAACTCAGCCCTACTGTGCGAGCAGGAGAGTTGAATGTCGCCATGACGGTCAGCCGAGGTAACAGTCACGAAAACGAGCTCAGAGCGGGAGGGATCATCGATTGGCCTCTTCCCGGCTCTAATGCAACTCTCTCTAAGCGTGCGCCGTTCAACTACGACGTCGTTGATGACAGCGTGGTCCTCAAGAACTCCATTGAACTCACGTACAAGGTTCCCGCCAACACGACATTGATCCAGATCCTTGGTCCGGTCGGTAAATACAACCAGTCCTTCGATGGCAGTCGCTGCTTTGCCGCCTTGGACCCTCACCCACCGTGGTGGAGGAACTTCAGCTTTCCGCTGTCCGCATCTTACAAGCTGTTGAACCAGACAAACCGCACCATGTTCCTGCTGCCTGTCGACCCAGCGGTGGATACTACCGTGATCGTGGGCCCGGTAGGGAACGTCTCCTCTTGCTGGGTTAGCGGAATCTCCAGCTATCCGTTTCATTAGTGAGCAGAGACAATTTGCACATAAGCTGACTACAAGCAACTACACGCTCGCCAACATGGTCGCCGACAACAGCAGCTCCACCGATTCTCAGAGCGCGAAGAGCGGAACCAACAAGACAGCGACCATCGTCGGAGTTGTGGTCGGTGTAGGCGGAGCACTGATTTTAACCGGGCTGGCACTGTGGTTGCTTCGCCGTCACAAAGCCAAGAAGAGGGAGGAGGAGACCAAGGCTGGAGCGACGCCGTATGTGGTGTCCGAGAAGGAGCTCTATCGAACAGCGAGTTGGTCGCCACATAATGCCGATGGTACGGCACCTTCTGCGAACGCGGAGGCGAGACCGCGAGATAGCGACGAGGATCGCCCTCCTCGCCGTATCGTTCGAGAGCAGGACGCTGAAGAGTACGAAGTCCTGCCACCTCTATACCGAGAGTGGCAGCCGCGGCCGGGGCCCGAAGGAGATTCATCGCCCTCTCAAGCACCTCCGCCGGAGTCGCATCCGGCAGACACTCCGTCTGGCTTATCTGACTCCAACGTTGACCCAATCTCCCTCAAAGATGACTACGTGAGGGCGTTGGGCTCGTCGGCTGGGCCGAGCTCCGTGACCTCCCCCCCGCAGCCTGCCCGAACCCCGAAGGGGGGGCACGCCACGGAGCTCTCTGCAAATGAGGAGAAGTGCGCCCCCGAACGGCCTGGCACGTCCCCACCGTCGCAAGATAATCGGCCACTCAACGATGAGGCTCTGCTGCCCAATGTCCAGCGTCGGTCCCGTGCGCTACCGGAAATCCCCACAGCCGGCGCATCAAACGATGCGGGGCCAGTGGCAGCACCAGTCCGAAGACCAGGGGAGTTAGCGAGGGATTACAAGAGGGCGTTCCTGTAGTTTTAGTAATGTGGGCAATGCAACAAGCACAACCTTGACAAACCACGGAAAAGCTGAGCCATTTGGGACTCGACCCTTCGTTCCTGGTCTGCTCGCTATTCACCGACAGTCCCTTGGATGTGGAGAAATGACGGCACTGAAATTCGAGGAACGGCCATGTGGTCGGCGTGTAGACAGGTAACTTCATAGATGCCCGGCTTAGGCTGCACAAGCCTGACGATGGTCGCTGATCATGTGGAACACTGTAAACGGCTTGTTGAACGGCAAGCGGCAACCTTAGTCCTCGAACGCATGTGAGGAGGTCAGTACACAGTTATGCGAACGTGAGCCTCTGAGCATAGTCGTCAGATTCCTAGTCGGGCAACTCAGCGACAACTTGGGGTGACCAATTCCCCTACGGCAGGCGTCAGCTTCGCCCCAGTGATAACTCACCCCTACCGGGATCAAGACGTACCACTCAGATGCCTGAATGTGGCTTAGATACAGTACCTCTTCACTTCGTCGATGGAATTTGAGGATGCATGCGGACTGGTTCCGCGTCAGAGTTGCCGCCCAGTACAACGGAGTGCAACGGGGAATTAGTGAAATAACATCGGTGTTCTAATAAACAAGCCTGATATTTTCTCAACGGCCTTCTTCACTTCGTGTGGAAAAGCTGCATCGTTTGACAGACCGACCAATAGAGGGAGAACTATGGGAGACTATGGGATCAACAGTTGTCCACCGTGACCATGGCAGTAGACGCTATGAGAATGGATTTGCCCGAGAGAACCGACCTTTCAGCGATAGGCGCGGTGAATTTCGGCGACTAAGTTGAACCATATCTGCAGCTTGAGAGCCATCACATTGCACAAGCGCAGAACACGGGGCCAACTTTGAATGGAGGGATCCAGAGCTCCCAGCAGTGGCTCATGTCAATTTTAAGGGGCTGCATGGGTGACGGATGCCAAAGACCCTCGCAGGAGGCGAGATCGCCAAGATAACGCCAAGAGTATCCTACGCCCAAACTCCCGCCATGACTGCGGACCAGTTACCTTCTTTTGGCAAAAAATAAAGTACGATACCCGTCATAGCGTTGAGGCCCGTGGAAAGCAAGGGGACGTTTCGCTTGGTACAGTAGAACTGTCAAGAGATAGCAAACGACTGAGCGATCAAAGACGATTCTTGACGTTCCTTCCTTGGGTGAAGCGTCGGCCCCTACGCCCCTCGTGCTGTTGCACGCATCTGTGATGAGCACTGACCACCTAGTGGCCAGTGCAGCACCGCCAAAACAGCGTCTGGATATGCTGAAATTCAGAAGGAGCACAGTGACCCGTTTAGCAAGATGCGGGGACTGTCCCCCGTCCATGACCGGCATCGGGACGGGCACCACCACATGACCGCGGTCTAGGTGCCTTCTGATTTCTCGTAGCATCAAGCTAGCATAACGATAGTCCCACACCAACGGGACGCAGAATGAAGTCCAGAATGAAAGAATGCATGCTATAGGAGCTTTTCAGGGCGCTGTTCGTCCGAGACACACCGTCGATCCATGCAGCCGAGACAGCATCACCACTACCCGCGGATATGATAACCACGTGGCTCCGGTTCTCACAGCTTTTGTGAAGTCTCAACAGATGCGGTAATCATTCAACAACGCATAGATGCAGAAAGACAGCTGATGCATGGACCCAGTCGATCTCGCAGCACGAGGGCATGCACCCGCGGACAGAGTAGATGTAGGCCCTGCACATTTCACAACCTGGGTAGAGGGGTTTGACCCCTTAAAATGGCGGGGATGGCGAGATGGCCGCTGCCGTTCAAACAGCGCCTGCGAGGTGCCGCATTCTGACCTAACACATCGCAAAGGCGCCTGGCAACTCTGCAATTCAATCTCTTGCACATGGCGAGCACGGCGCACTTGCCGTATCTAGTCGAAATTATCCGACTTTACGTTACTGCATCATATGTACATATGTAAGAGAGCTTCTTAAAAGTCATGCTGCATCGCTGATAAGAGTGTGTATCGTGCACAGCTCGAATAAGCTTACGTACCAGAGCTTCACAGCTTTTGGGTCATCTCACAATCTAGAGTTTGCGCTTGCTGTCTGACTTGCCGTAGAGCAGAGGGGCGATGGTGCTCCGAGACTGCTCTAGGTATTCAGGGTCGTCGGAGTAAGGTTAAAGCCTGAAACGCCAGTGACCTCCGTTCCTGGCGTCGCACATGTTTCTTCCCTCCGCGCGGCGCGGGGGGCACTTGGTAAGTGGAGTCTGTGATGGTCACATTGCCCGCGGCCCCACCACCCTGCACAGCTGTGACTGACGCAGGAAGCAGTGCCCATGTGGAGCGTCGCCCAACCCACTGGGCCCCGCCGAAAGCTGAGATAACATGAAGTAAGGCTGACGAGAGCCTCGTCTCTCCTCCGCGACTAGTCGGTCTGCGGTGCTAGCAGACTCGCTGGCTCAGTCCCTTGTCGGAAAATGAGGTGCATGATCTGCAAGCACTAGCGTGCAGAGATGGTGCTTAATGGGTGGGCAGGCGACTCGCAACCCACGAGAATGCGGGCTGTAACCCGTTCCTGGATTCTTCCCTGATTAGCAAATGACCCCTCCCTCCATGAAAGCAGAAGAGCGCGCTCTCGGTGGTGAGCGCGGGACCGCTGTCTTCATTTCAGCAGCACTTGACCCCCATTCGTCACAGTACGTTGCTAATTACTCCGCGTTGTCCAGACAATCGCCGTTAGTTTCGAACGAGCGCGGGACGTCGATCTCACTTCGAGTTACACATGCTGTATCATACTATCTCTTTTTCACTCTTCACTCCTAACAGCTGTCCAGGCAGCTCTGGAGAGCAGCTTCATCTCCCGACTCACCCTCGACTCGCGCAATCATGTCGTCCGCGGCTGATCCCTCCCCTGCCTATACTTCTGGCGGGGCGGATACTTCGCCATCGACTTCTGAGTCTATTTCGGCAACAAAGACCGGCACAGCGGGGGTCTCTGGACAACTGGGAACTGGTGGGGGTGGGACCTCTAGCACCGGTGATGACGACCAGGGTCCCCCAGTCGCGTTCAACTCGACTGTCAAGTTTACTGTGAACTCGACCTCGGCCATGGTTGACCTCGACAACGCGTCACCTTTCCGATATGACCCCGATACTGGCGCGCGCTCTAACCCTGCGGCGTCGCGCAGTGGAACGTGGCTCGCCTGGTTCGTCGGCACCGCGTACTCAATCAACGGCAAGGCTGCGTTCCGGCCTGGCATGCCTGACCAATATGTTTCCACGATTGGTAGAACCACTATCGGCTACACCTCGCAAACGGAGACCACCTACTTCAAGAACGTCTCGCTTGAGGACGGAGGCAGCTTAGGAGCCATCGGCGGCCTTGATCTGTGCGCATACAAGGTCGAGAATCCCTACTCGCCTGGGGCAGACCTCACATTCTACAACATGACTTTCGACATTCCGGTGACGACACAGGCGTGAGTGTCACAACATACATCAACAGCTCACAATCAGTCAGGACTGGACCAGTCTTCAGAGTCAGGCCAGCACAATAACCGTCGCGCAGGGTCAGAACCTGAACCCTCAGCTGGATTGCGAGCCCTGCTCCGTGCTGAACGACCTCAGAGAGATGAACTCGTTGCGTAAGCCGATTCCGAACATCACGTTCGAGCGACCGCTCTTCGGACCAAAATACAAGGTGATCGAGAACAGCCACGTACTGCTCCTCAACAGCACCGAGCTAGTGTACAAGCTGCCAGAGAACACGTCACTTGTCGAAGTGCTGGGGCCCGTTGGCACACATCCGGAATGGGTCGGCTTCAGTCAGTGCTACGCTACGCTTGATCCGCGACCGCCATGGTGGAATGGGACGAATTTCCCTCTCTCTGCGTCGAAGAAAACGATCAACGCGACCGATCAAACAATGTTCATGCTCCCTCTCCCACCGAACATTCACTACACGCTCCGCGTCGGCTCCTTAGGACAGGAGAACACGTGCCCGGTCAGCGCGCTCCGGACGTATCCGTTCCACTTGTAAGTCGAGAGCCCTGGTGAATCAGCTGACATCTAGCAACTATGAGCCTCTTCCTCAGCTTCCGAGACACTTTTCGACTCTGGATCCTCCATCGTCGCCTACCCTGAAGGTGCCGGATCGAATGCGTCGGCTCCCTTCAATGCTACCTTCGTTTTCGAGGTACCCCCGACTTCGCCGATGATCGATTTGGAGCTGGCCGAAATTTATAGTCTAAATCGAGGAAATGAAGGTTGGAGTGGGATCGGCAACACCACATTGGCATTGAACTTTGTGGGTACCGACTACATTCTCAACGGGAAGGTCGCCAGTTTGAAAGATCGGCCCCTTGTTGGAGGTGACTACCTGGTTAGAAACGAGATCTACGAAGGAGTTCCGTGGAGGTACGGGGACCAGCCGCCGCGCTTCTACAACACTATGGAAGCGGCGGATAACTTGGGGTCCATGACGGACCTCCAGCCCCGTGCCTACGTCGCTATGATGAACTCTGGAAGGACCGCCGATGTCATATTTTACAACGCTACAGTGAGAGTGCCCATCCGTACCCAGGCGTCAGTGGTTTCCCTAGATCTTTCATTGACGCCAGTCCCGACTTCGATCAGCTCAAAGCCCAGACTGCGTTTCTGAGCGCTGCAACGGATACTGGACCAAGCCCCGAGCTCGAGATCAGCACCTGCTCTATATATCAGGAGTTGGGGGACATGTTCATTGCAAAACAACAGACACTTCTGACTTTTGCGGGTCCAGAGCAACAGCCGCAGCACTCCGTGGTCGAGGGTCACTTACTCCTTTCTGTCAACGCAGAAGCTTCCTACAAGCTGCCCTCCAATACCTCTGTGGTGGAGGTGCTTGGGCCGGTTGGCGCGAATGAGGCATGGACTGGACGCGGCCAGTGCTACGTGACTCTGGACCCAAAGCCATGGTGGTGGACTCACAACGGTATACCATACTCGACCGCCCGGAAACAGTTCCTACGTTATAACCTGTCTAACCAAACGATGTTCTTGCTGCCATTGTCACCCACAGCGCAGTACACGCTGCGAATCGGCAATCTAGGCGAGAACACCACCTGTGCCTTCAACGGAATCCGGTCCTATCCGTTCCATTTGTGAGTTCAGAGCCAACCAATGGACCGGAAAGCTGAGGATAGCGACTACAACTACAAGGCTCCTGAGGAGCACGCTGCAGATACAGGCAGCTCCGGGTCCAGCGCGCCTGCCAATGACCCTTCTGTCAGGGTGAATCGGACGCCAATCATCGTGGGCACCGTCGTAGGAGTAATAGGGGGCCTCGCAGCGCTAGGGCTCCTGTGTTGGCTGTGGTGGCGGCGAAGCCAGAGGCAGGCTCAAAGGGAGGCATCACTGCAGCCGCGTTCCTACACGCTGGGTCCTAGCAGTGGAGTGGAGGAGTTGCCCAAAGGTGGTCTCGGGGAGCCTTCAAACGACGGTCAGCATAGTCCTGACACTCCTCCTATATCGGCAGCCCAGCTTCATCAAGGGACCTCCGCTTCCGGGCAAGCTGCGGCGGAGGGCCATCTACCCCAGCGACGGATCTTGCAGGAGGAGGATGCGGAAGATGTGGTGGAGATCCTACCGCCCCGTTACCGACAGCGTGACTATCCCGAGCCCGGGCTATCCGTGCCACCCACACCGGAAGAGAGCCCTGGGCTGCTTGTCTCCAGCTCAAGCGATTCGGGGCAGGAGACGGACGACCGTACCGCACGGGCTTGGCGCCCTCCTCTGAAGACCGCGTATGAGCGAGCGTTCATTTCCCTGCCGCGGACGATTCCAGCTGGACCACGCCCACTCGGAGATATCAAGCGCATTGCAAGCGTGGACTTGCCAGGCGACGCCGTTGCGGCTGTTGAAGCACACCCGGGAGCGCTCCGCATGGAGTACAAACGAGCTTTCGGCTCCGACTCGACGAGGAATCATCTTCCCAACAGGCCCTCGACTGCTTCAGAGGAGCAATGTGGTAAGAGCGGCTTTAAACAGGATGACCTCTCTTCCAGGACCTCAGAGACATCCAGTGGGAGGTGACGAAACATGTTGCTGGGACCGCTACAGAACGGAGGTTAATAGTGTGATGGAAGATAAGACGTAGATAAACACGTGGCACCGTGGGCCAATGACTGGTGAGCCTGCGGTCACATCGCAAGCGCTCAGCCGGGCTTTGCCGGAGGACTCCCCAGGGGACGGCCTTATGGTGGGATCCCCTCCGATGCCCACAACAACGTCCGGCAACCCCTCCACAGAGCGGCATGCTCCACTGCAGCAGGACTACAAGCGAGTTTTCGGAGACGAAAACACTAGGTCAGAGGGCAGTCGCTTCAATGATAAGGCCGTTCTATCTGCTCCTCGGTACCAGGACCCCTCAGCGCAACAGGGCCCTGACCTTAAGGCAGAGTACGGCAGAATGTTTGGTAAAGTGTGATGCTATTAATACGGTATTTCTGTCGTAATTAGGCACAGTTTTATTTATTGCTGAGGCACCTGATGAACCTTAACGACGCGACCCCAGCATGCTATGTCTGAGGCAGCATCCCCTCATGCTGTGCAGTGAAGGCCCGGTTTTCGCGAACTCCAACGTTGTGAGCGTAGAGTCTCCCCCAGCAAGGGAGTCAAGATGCTGAAGTGTCGTCGGACATACCCCACGACGAATTCTGATAAATGGCAACCCAATCTCTTGCCCACTAGTCTTCTCACATCGTTCCCAACCAGCTCCCGCGATCTCGACAAACTGAAGATTTCACAGCTTACCCGTGGACATCCGGCTGATCATGGCTATCCTGCATTTGGTTCGATGCGCTGTCTGGGTGCTGATGGCCCCAGCAGCCGTAGCGCAATTCAACTCCACCGTAAGTTCATCTTGACCTCGCGCGACGCCATGCTCGACTTCGATACTGGCTCATTTGTCCTCGACCCGGAGACCGGATATGAGAAGACTAGTGGGAGATCCAGTGGAGGTGTTCACGGCTGGTTCGTGGGCAGCGGGTTTGAACTACAGGGGCGGGCTGGTTGGAAGCGTTCCGGACAAAATGAGACCAACGACCCCGGCTTGGCCACTATCCAGCCTGCAAATCGCTTCCGATCGAGCAACGTTACTCGAGAGTTCAGTTTGGCGGCTCAAAACACCACATTTCGCACCGGAGCGTCGCCTGTCAACTTGTCAGCCTATGAATTTATGATGTCTTGGACAGCATCCGGCCTCTTGGAATTCCATAATCTCACTGTCGAGCTACCGGTCCGAACACAAGCGTGAGTACATACTGTTACCCACCATGGCAGGCTCGCATCGTCTAACGAGCAACAGTCCGTCGGTTGAATTGCTGAAACAGCAAACTGCATATGTTCCGGTGGTCCAGAGTGGTCATCTGAACGCCATCATGTCGGTTGCTATCTTTTTGCAAAACCGGAACGTCAGGGAACTCATCGGCATGTATCAACAGCGTAGGGATCTCGGGCCACCGCGATGGCCCACGGAAGCACCCAGCCAAACACCACCGAATCTGGACAAGTGGGAAGTCATCCATGATACGCTGGTACTGCGGAACATGTCTGAGCTATCGTACACCCTACCCACCAACACAACGTTAGTGGAGGTGCTGGGGCCCGTCGGTCGCAGCAACTTAACGTTCGAAGGCAGCCAGTGCTACGCAACTCTGGATCCCCGACCCAGCTGGTGGAGCAATGGCAGCTTTCCTTTCGCTGTGGGGGAGAAGGCTGTCAATGGGACGAACCGGACCATGTTCTTGCTTCCTGTTGATCCGGCCATCAAATCAACTCTGCAGATAGGAGGCGTCGGAATGGACACAACGTGCTTGGTCTCGGGAATGAAGACTTATCCCTTCCATTAGTGGGTTGATTATTCATGATAGTGGAGGCTAACATGCAGTAACTACACGCTCGCCAACATCATGGCCGCAGGTCCCAGCGGAAGCGACAACAAGGACGAGGGGACGTCCGATAAGACTGGAATCATCGTCGGCGTAGTGGTTGGGGTGGGGGTTCCGCTGCTCCTAGCAGCCCTGGGGACGTGGTACTTCCTCCTCCGTCGAAAACGTAAAGGTAGGAAGGAGAAGGAGAGCCACCCTGGTGTTGAGCCATACGTGGTAAACGAGAAGGAGTTGGCCCGTTTCTATAGCGCTGAGTTGGCCGCTGGAGAAAGCCCGTCGTCCCAGGCTGCCGGAGATAGAAGAGCCTCCACATCAGCCGGCTTGGGTGATGACATTGGCCCGTCCGCCCGGCGTATTGTGCAGGAGGAGGATGCTGGATATGTGGAGTACCTTCCGCCCCGATACCGCGAGGCATGGCAGTATGGGCCAGAGGAGGGGACGCCTTCACGTGGAGAGCCTGCCCCCATGACCTCTGAGCTCTCACAGCCCGACGAGGCGACTGACAGCCCAAACGAGCTTCGTGCGACACTAGGAGAGCCTCTGCCACTAAAGGAGGATTATATCCGTACTTTCGCTTCGCCCAACGGCTCGTCGTCTCTGGACCACGTTTCTACCAGCCCGGCTCCAAACGGTCCATCGTTTTCGAAGGACGGTGGAGCTGGTTCAGTCTCTCGGCGGGACGTCAAGAGCCCTATGGGACCGAGAGGGCCGAGAACAGTTCCCCGCGAGAGTGGACTCCATGACGGATTGCCGACGGCTCCACCACCAAGTGAGCTACCCACCGCACTAGAGGGCGACTACAAGAGGGCGTTCCCCTAGTCTCGCTCACCCCTCCATCCTGTAGCAGTGTATGCGTCCTCGCACAGGCACGTCGGCTTCTGCGGCCTTTGTATGGCAAGCCGATCCGCTTATTCTACCTCGAGCCCCGCACTGAAGCCACACATCTTATGCAGGTGTGTGTATTTAGCGTGAATAAGCCTGCAGGCGATAGACGGCATTGTAACGTGAAACGTACTCCTCCCATTGCATGTTCCCTGATGACCCTGGTGGCGTTTATCCGTGCGTGCTGCTAGGTTTATAGCCTTGATGGCCAAACGCCCCTTGACGCCTTGCCTGGATGATGTGCGATAGGCAAGTTGCCTGAACGGCGTTCCGGCCCGTACACTCGGCGTCATAGAACGCAAGCAGGCATTTATGAGAGGCAGGTTGAATGAGTGATGATCATTTCCTCGCCTCTTTGCTTCTCCACTTGCAAAAATTATCACATACCCTCGTTACGATCAGACTTGAGGCAGCCCTTGGAACTGCAGCACGCCGCCCCTTCCCTAACCACACAGGGGACGCAACGCCTGTGTCTAAATGGAGCAGCAGAACGGGCACATTCAGATAGCCGCTCGTGCCTGATGAGGTTATCGCAGATAAGGTTTGGTTCGTAGGGTTCGAGTCTTGCGCCGTCCCGCAGACACAATGAATTGCATTATATAAGAGCACGTGGGTGTAGTCCGTGTAGAGGCAGCTCCCCCCCCTTCAAACGCAGGATGGCAGTGGGCCGTTGGTCGGCGAGGTGCGCGAGGAGCCGACGCGCTGGCACACTTTTGGAGAAGAGCAGCCTTACTACGGGGACGAAGGCGGTGATATCTGCATGTCGCCGAAGGCCCCGGTCATCAACAGCGTTCGGCATATCGGCATGAAGGAGACGCCGAGAATTGACCTACCTTGGCAGATTGTTTCACCACGAACCATCCCCGTCAGCTGGGAAGCCGCCCCGCCCGTTCGAAGACGAAGCGGAGGTGCACCGTCCAGTTATCGAGGCTCCCTGTATGTCTCGAGTAGCGATGAAGATATCACAATGACCCTGCTGGCAGATAATGAGCCGTTAGGCGAGAACGTCCGCTGCCTCCCGCCTCCTCACCAGAAGGACTGGCAGCCACACAATGCGCCACCGTTGCTACTAGTACCGTCACGGCCCCCACCGTTATCGAGATCTCCATCGCCGCTAAGCCGTCCGTCCACACCGTACCATTCAACTACCTCGCTGCAGGTGGAGGAGCCATTAGGACCATTTATCCAGGAGTGGCGCGCCCCCCTCAAGGAGGACTACGTAAGGGCATTTGACTGGATGCCGCGGCCCGAACAGGGCGAGATCCATGAGCAGTACAAAGGGTGTTCGGTTTGAGCTCCAGCATCGCGAGCAGAAGCGACCGCGATGAGTGATCTGCAGTTCACACCTCAGCTATTAGACTGATACCATGGTCTGATAAGCCGGCTGGTGAATTGGCCGAGAGACCGACTGCAGTTTACGTAAGGATCGAAAACATGACGTCGTGCGCGAGCTCCACCACCGCGCGTAACTTTCGTGCTACCCGTCCGTTCTTCTCCTCGACTTGTCTCCTCTCAGCTTATTGTCCTCCTGTCGGTTCACAGCTGCTTTTCACAGGCTCCCTTCCAGAAGCGTGGCCTACGCTCTCTCTTCGCCTCCCCAATCTTCATTCCCTCACCTTCGTCGATCCTGCGCCTTGGATCGTGTCTCGATTATCTTTCGTGCCCGCCGCAACATTCCTCGCCCGTCTCCCCCCGCTGCGTCCCTCTTCTGTACTCTGTTTCGTCTCCGACTCGTAAAATCCTGCGACGTCAACTGCCTCACTCTTCGCTTTCGCCACACGCCTGCCTTCCCTTTCACTATGCCCTCCCCGCCCCGCACGCCGACCGGCCACGATATCACAGTGCATGGCCGGCGCTGGCGAGCGAGCGACCCCGCCATCCCGCCCAAGCTGCGACAGGAGCTCGTCAACTCCCTTATGGTGGGGAGGAGGGGTGTGCGTTCTGACGGCGCGAAGGGCTCGGTCGCTCGAAGGAAGGTGCAAGATGCGAAGGTGGCGCTGGGCGAGAGAGGGGTGGAGTGGTGGATCCCCACCGACGCATGCCAGAACGAAGATGTCGAGAAGGGAACTGCAACGAAGGAGGTCGAAAACGACCATGGCGCGGGAGACAAAGCGACGAAAAACAAGGAGAACAAGCTCTGGTGGCAGCTACCCTCGAAACGGGACGGGCTCCACGCCCGCATCGACTCCACGATTCGATCACTCTGCCGCGCCCGCGAACATGGCACTGTCTGCCCGTCGGAGGTATCTCGTGCCGTCGCAGGCGATGCGACGGAAGACTGGCGCGAGCTCATGCCGCTTGTGAGGGAAAGGGCTGAGGGATTGATGCGCAAGGGACAGATTGAGATCTGCCAGAAGGGCGAGAGAGTCGAGCCCGGAGAGTACAAAGGACCCATACGGCTGAGGGTGGCTGCGGGGATCGACGAGCCAGGGGGAAACGAGGAAGGAGCTGAGGATGCGGATGACAGTGGAGACGAAGGAGAGAAAGAAGGCGGGCAGGGCGGCGAGGACGGCGTCAACGGCGTCAACGGCGGTGACAAGGATGCGAGGGATGAAGAGACGTCAGACGAGGGGACGACAGCAAAGGGTAAGAACAAGGAGGAGCCAGTAGCACAGACAACGAGAGGCGGTAAGCGACAGCACACACCAGATCCACCGGAGGCTGAATCAGACTCGCTTCCGTTGCGCAGCGGGAAGCGTCGACGCTGATCGCCGCGAACTACGTTGCTGCAGCTGTGCCCCCATGTCTGAAGCTCTCCGGCGCCTGACCCACCCAAACTGCCCCTATTCTGTACGCTTCATACTGTATCCATAGCTTCAAGAAATGTACTACAACTTCCCCTCTACGCCTCCAGCGCCCTAACAAGGAGAGGCATCTGGGGACCCTCCTTCTCCTGCCCGACGACCATGGGGCGCATGACGATGCCCGTCTTCATCTCAAACTTGGGCCTGCTGGGGAGGAGCTCGAAGCTGAGTGCCCTAATCAGCGTGAAGAGCGTGACCTTGATCTCAGCAATGGAGAAGCGGTATCCGATACAGTTGTGGGGGCCATGGTTGAACGTCATGAGATTCGCGAACACGCCGGGGTTCTGGTACTTCCACGGCGACTGCTCCTTGAGCCAGCGGTCGGGGTTGAAGGTCTTGGAGTCTGCGCCCCAGTTGTCCTTGGCCCAGTTCACGACGTGGATCGGCACCATGACGGTCGTGCCCTTCTTCAGGCGCACCGAGTCCATCTGGGTTCCGTCCTTGCCGCGGATGGGTTTCGAGAGCGGCACCGTGACGTCCTCCTTTGTGACGCGCAGGGTTGCGGGGACGGGGGAGTCGAGCCTAAGACTCTCACGCACCACGGCCTCGAGATACGGCAGACTGTTGACGGCACTATAGTCGCCCTCGTTGACCTCTTGGCACTCATCGCGGAGGCGCTGCTGCATGTCCTGGTGTTGTGCGAGGCGCCAGAGGATCCACGTCAGCGCCGTGGCAGAAGTCTCGTTGCCGGCGAGCATGAACGTGGTCACTTGCGCGAAGACGTCTTCGTCCGTCATCTTCTGGTCCGGGCGCAAGTCGCTGCTCATGTTGCTCTTCAGGAGCATGGAGAGGAGATCCTTGCCGAACGCGCCCTCGTCGACGTCGCCCGCAGCGCGCACCTCGCGCGTGCGCTCGGCAATGATGGCGGCCGCCTCGCGGTGTGCGATCACATTTGATTCTTCCAGAATCTTGTCCGCGCGCGTCGGGATGAAGGACAGGAAGGGGATGAAGGTCTTGAGCACCTGGATCGGGCCCGGGTTGAGGCCCGCACCCATCATGACGCGGAATGCCTCGGCGAGCGGCTTGGGGTGGCCCGAGAGACTGGCCAGGTCGTACCCGAACCCAGCTTGGCCGATGATGTCCACGGCCATCTGGCCGAGATACTTCATGACGTCGATTTTGCGGCCGCCCTTCTCCTCATCACCCGGTGAGGGGGGCAGGGCGGGGCGCTCGTCGCCCTTGCCCTCGACAAACAACAAAAGCTTGTCACGCAGTTCCGCAGCCTTGTCGAAGAAAATCGGCACCTGGTCCTTGAGCGCCTTCGTGCTGAAGGCGGGGGAGACGACGCGGCGCTGCCTGGCGTGGTGGTCGCCTTCCACCGTCACGAGACCGGGACCGAGCAGCTTCCAGAGGAACTTTTGAGAATGCGGCGGCTTCGGGAACAGCTCGTCGTGTCCCAGCATCCAGGAGAGGAAGCCCGGGTCGGTGCTGCACAGCCGCCAGTCGCCCCCGATCGCGCGGTACTTGAACGTGGAGCCGTACTCGGCGTACCACTGCTCGTGCATTGCGGAGGGCGGGGCCTTGATGATCTCCATGAGCGAGCCCCAGAAGAAGGAGCTCGGCTCGGGACCGGGCACATTCGCAAAGGGCAGGGTGAGGGAGCGGTACACGTAGAGGTAGGCGTAGAGGGCGACGAAGATTGCGAGCGCAATGAGGGCAGTGAGAGTGGTTTTTGGCCAGGAGGCGAGGACGGGCCCGACGACGGGGAGCCGGTCCAGTGCCTCGGCGGCGGCGCCAGCGACGGTCATGCTGGCGGTGGTGGTGGCGGAGGTGGTGGTGAGTGGTCAAGAGTGAGGAAGCAAGAGCGAAAGAGTGATGCGCGCATTAGATTCGTCGTGTTTGGAGGAGTGGGTGTTACCCGGCGAGAGCGGAGCAGTGGACACGGGAAGTCGATGCCCGATGGTCATCGCTGTCCGCGACTTTCGCAGGAGCCCGAAGGCACTGAGGCACATGACGCAGTAACTCCGGGCCCTTAATTCTCCTGGCTCAGAAACGGACACTTTGGACTCTTTGGACACTTGGCACGTGGAGTGCGTAAGCTCCATCCAAATGCATGCATGCATGCAGAGAGTAATATGCCGTACTCATACTTGCTGGGAGGCCGCGTAATGCGTGCATTAAAACTTGCCTGGAATCAAGACTTAGCCTGGCTCGACACGGCGTAGACATGCCGCGAGTTGCAGGCGATTGCCGACATTCCGGCGCACTACGCGCACTACGGACTGGGCCGAGACATCAGCCGTGCCCGACGCCGAGTAAGCCGTCGGCCTGGCCAGTCTTAAGCAGTCAGCGGACCATGGATACTCTGCTCCACGTCGATGCCGACGGCAAGCTGGCGATGTGCAGCAAGATGCAGCGTGACAGACATGAGACCGAAGCATGTGCCTATGTGTCCGGTAGAACGGTTGAAGATGATGCGGGTTTGTAAACCTTATTCTGTCCGTTTGTATGGCATTGGGATGCGATGAAGACGGCAGAAGACCACAGAGCGGCAAAGGTTCCAAGAAAAGCGACGTAAGCCAAAGTCTCCGAGACTCTGCACAAGCTCTGCGCACATGCTCCAATCTAAACGACGATGATCGACAGTGTGTCCCTACCAAGTGTCCGCTGTTGTGTTTGCCAGCTACCACACGCCCACAGGGCCCCGAGGTCCCGAGTTGAGTGGAAGAACGGTGTACGCGGGGCAGATTATATCCGACCCCGAGCAGAACGGAGTAGTGGGCCCCTCCCTCTTCCTGAGACTATTGAAAGCTTATCATCCGGATCTGATCGCGGGTGATATAGAGTTCTGCTGCGATATCCTCGCCATCTGACTGGCTGCGACTGGCTGTCACAGACAGCGTCTCATCTGCTGGATTGCTCTTGGTGACAGTCCCAGCAGCGAGATCGATCCGCACACCACCCGCTCTGAGATCGTACGCCGGGAATACATGAAGCGGGCTACGATTGAGGAGCATCACACCACTACCATCTATGTCTACGGAGTGTTCGTGCTGAGGAGGACATGAAGTGTATCGGGGTATCGCTGCGGTCCCGGCAACCGCCTCTGATCTGTGGTTGATTCCAATAGCTTTCCCTAGTCTTCTCGGACCGTCAGTGCGGTCATGACCCGGAGCCCGGCTCCGGTAGCCTCAAGCTGTAGCGGAATGTAGATGACAGCACGCCGGTGTCGTCTCCGCGACATCTGTCATGCTCCTACCAAGCAAGTGATGATCTGAAGTGTGGGTCATGCATGCAGGGTATATGGTTTTATCTATGCGTCTTCTCCGTTCTACCTCCTCACGCGAATCGCGACTGAGAGACTCGCGCGACTCGCTCCGCTCGTCATCGCTCACTCCGCCCTCGCCTTCTTGGCCGCCCCCTCCATATCGACGCTAGCGTCGCTGCCCCTCTTCTTAGCGGCGGCCGTGGCGGCCTGCTCCGCCCGCTTCTTAGCTTGGAGTTCGCGCTGCGCCTCCTTCTGTTTCTGCTTGTTCGCCCTCGCCTTCTCGGCAGGCGTCAGGTCCTGCTGCATCTTGGCCGCCTTCTTGCCCTTCTTGCCCGCCTTTCCGTTGCCATTTACGGTGGCGCCGTTCGCCTCGGTGGTGCCATCGGTGGTGTCATCGGCACCGTCCTCGGCGCCGCCGGCCTCCTCTGCCTCCTCGGACGCGTACATCAGCCCCACGGCGTCCATGTAGTGCTGCATCTTCCACGTGTCGCCTGCGCGAAGGGACATGAGGTCGAAACTGATGGCCACGTCGGGAGTGTGCTCGCCCTCTGCCGTCTGCACCGGCGCAATGTCGGGGACCTTCGGGTATCGCTGCGAGAAGTGGTTGAGAATAACGTGGCGGGCGCGCATCTTGCGTCCTACGTCGATCGCCTGACCAAATGTGCTGTGCCCCTTGGCCTCAGCGACCTCGGGCTTCTCGTCCTCCAGCGTCGCCTCGTGGATGAGAACATCAGCGCCCTCACCAGCCTGCACGAAGGCGCCGCACGGCTTCGTGTCACCAGAATAGGCTAGCTTCCACCCCACACGATGAGAGAGGCAGAGTCCGAACGCAGCGCCGCGGTGGGCGACAAAAGGCGTGCGCAGCTCTGAGAGCTGCAGGTCGGCAAACATGTCCCGCACCGTGGACCAGAAGCGCGCCTTCTGGTCGGGGTGGTACCGATGGAAGTTGGCGAAGGGCCAGCGCCGGACCCCAGCGGCCACATCGGCCGCGAAGGTCGCTTCGCCCTCGACGACGCCGTCGCTGAGCTCCTCCGAGTCAGAGCGACGCCCCCGCCCAACCTCGCTTGCGCTCAGGCCGCGCTTCAGCCGGTTGATGTTCAGGAACCGGACGTTGTCGAGCGCTTCTCGTGTCTGGCCCTCTTGCCAGGACGCCGTCTCAGCGAGCTGCGTCGCAATAGGCAGCGGCGCGAGGAGGTATAGCCGCGACGTGATGCCCAGGCGGAAGCGCTCGGCCAGGATCGACGTGAGGCCCAGATGGTGGTCGGCGTGCATGTGCGAGACGAAAATCATGCGCAGATCCGTCAGGATCTGCTTCAGTTCGGGACCGTAGCGGCGCCGCAGCTGGCCAAGCGTACCCTCTCCACAGTCGAGGAGGATGCCACCCATGCCGGGGACGTCGAGATGGGTCGCCGAAACATTGCGGTACTTTGCCGGGATGGCGCTGCCCGTACCCAGCGTCGTTACAACGATGTCATCGCCGGGCTGAGAGGCGACTTGTCGCGTCTTCTCCTCGGCAGCGATCTTGGCCTGACCGGCAGCACACGCGGCCGCAAACTCGGGCGACTCGTCCGCAATCTTCTGGCGTGCAGCGTCGATCTCAGAAGGAGCAGAAGGGAATGGCGGCTGCGCCTTCAGCCCTGGCTCCGCCATCGCCGGTGCCGTGGCCGGGTACATTCCAGTCGTGAGACCGGGCACAAGACGCACAGCGTTCGGCGGCATGGCCCACTGCGGCTGCTGGTCGAATGCGACAAAGTGCGGCAGAGGGAACATGGCGGGGTCGATCATGTTGAGACGCAGACACTGCCAGGCCGACGCGCCGTAGTGGATCGGTCCCTCCGACTCGTCAGCCTGCGCGACAAGGTGTACCGTCTCGGGGCCGAACTGCGCAAGCCACGCCTGGTACCGGGGGTCCTCCCAGACTTCCCGAGTCACCTCGTGCACAACGGTGCGCACACTGTGCTCCCTTCCCTCACCGAGGTAGGGACGAAGTGCCTCGTGGCTGGTCAGGCGCTCAATGTTTTGCGGGGAGCACTGAACGACGGCGAGAATCGCGCCGACAGAGCCACCAACGAGACAGTCCTCTGGCCGAACAATGCGCTTGCCACCCGGTGCATTCGGGTCGTCGACCTCGATGCTCTCTCCCTTCGTGAGCTTCCCTCGCGCGGGACCATTGGGAACGCCGAGCTCGAGCGACTTCTTCACGTCGAAGCGTCCGCGCACGTCGGGGCCGTGGGCGATGTACACCATGTCGGTCTGCTGGTCGGCCTCATTCGCGAGCGGAAGCATGTAGGAGGAATCGCAGGCGCCGGGACGCTGCAGACCCTCGAACTGGCGCGCGAGCGTCTTCGTGTTGCCCTGGTTCTTCCGGAACATGTCCTTCACGACGGCGTCCTCCCACTCTTGCAGCTGCTCGCCTTGCAGCACGGCTGGCCGGTGCGGTGTCGGCGCCTTGATCTCGTGCTGCACCGGCTCCGGACCAACGGGAAGAGCATAGACTGTGAGCGATGGGAAGTCTCCGACCTTCTGCAGACCCTGGTCTCGCTTTGCAACCTCCGTGTTCAGCGCAAAGGCGTCACTGCCGTTAGCTCTCAATGTCGAAAGCGGCTGAGCTCACCGAGCGACGGCGCCGCGCAGCGTACCGATGTATTGCAGCATGTCCGGGGGACCAGCGACGGTCAGCTTGTTCGTGCCAGCGTCGGCCATCGTCATGATAACACCTGGGCTGTCAGTTTGCATCAAGAGCCTGTTAACTCACCAGGCAAGCCATTGCGGCCCTTGGCGCCACCGGGGAGGAAGACGCCTCCAACGCCAGCAAGCTTGGTGCGCTTCTCGAGAAAGGAGCGCTGCGTGCCCTCGCCGGCACCGAAGAGGAAGCGCGCCTCGTCAAAGCTGACGTAAAGCGCTGTATCGCTGTCAGGCCCCGGGACGGAGACGGCGCGCACGCTCCATGCCGGGTTCATGTTGTCTGCAGTCTTGCGCTTAGTCTTGAGCGCAGCGGTTGCTGTCGCTGGGGCAGGCGAGTGCAGAAGACGGCGTACAGAGCTGGCGGAGAAGCCTAGTGCGGCCGGATTCAAGCGTGGTAGACGGAACAGGATGGTGGTTTATAGGGTGCGGGGCATGCAACGCTCGAGCTGGTGGTGGTGGCGAGGGGGTGTTGTTGCGAGCGTCACCGACTTTTGGCATCTGTCGAAATAGCTCGTCAGGGCCCGAGTCATGAGTCTCGCGTGGGAGGTGGGTCACGTGTGTTTAGTCCCGCTCATACAGATCGGTGCGAGCGAAACGATCTGCCAGGCCCATACATAAACGCTGGCGCGCAGGATTTTTCGACTTTTTCTCCATCACCTCTCCTTATAGAGTCGCTTGTGTGTCGCTACATCCCACGGCTATCAGGTGCTCGGAGAGGCGTAGAGCGACGTCAGTCTCCCTCCCCTCACCACGGACGGAGGCGCGTGCAGTTGTTTCCCATGGTTCGGTCCAGGTCCCCTGTGTTTCTTGCAGCGGAGGAAACGGAAGGTGCACGCTACATTTTGTCTTTTATCACCCTCGTATCTTGATTCCCGATATGTCAACCAGTGCACGAGAAGTATACCGGGCGGCTCTACACAGACGCGATGTAGCTAGCGAGATCTGATCCGATGCAATCCAGCGTTACCGGAGAAAGTGCTCGGCATGGTCCGCGGCAGTTCGAGCGAGACCGCCGCCTTCGCCGAAGAGAGTGAGCGGTTACCTGACCTAAATGCACATCAGAGTGAATCACCTGATCCGGCGATGTTCTCACGTAATAATCACTCCAGCATGTTAAGCTTCATCCCCCGAAGCTTCTGCACCGCGTGTGACCGTTCTGAAAGATTGCAGAAGGGGTCAGGAGGGAGGAGGGTCGGCAGCGGAAATAGCACGCACAGCACATGACATCCAAAGAGTGAGAAACGGGGGTGGGCGGGCAAAGCCGTCGAGGGACCGATCACCCCGGCCTCCACTTCCCTGCACTTGTGACCGCATGACGCGCTCCTCCTCATGGCCCCTCATGGGTCCATCTCCGTCACCTTCGTCCCCATCCATCCGGAGTTAGCATCGCCGACTTGCCCACCCCCTCACAGGTGTCCTTCAAAGGGCATATATACCCGCATCGCATAGACTCACAATAGACGGATTCCCACATAGAATCAGGACCGACAACACCTCGACATGAAGACGACCGCGCTGCTGCTGTCCCTCGCAGCGAGCGTGCAGGCGTTCGACGCCGTCTCCCACCGGCGGCTCATGAACGCGCAGATCGGCAAGGAAGTCGTAGCTGCTGCCCCAATTGCGCCCGAGCTGCCCGCCAAGCTCGCTGCATTCGCGATCCCCGGCGACGGCGCCGATAAGGATGCCGACAAGGACGACCAGAACGAGGACGGAGACAGCAACAATGGCGACGAGAGCCAGGGCAAGGAGGGCGATGACAAGGACGCCGCCGAGGAGAAGCCCAAGAAGGAGAAGGACCAGTACGGCGCCGACATCACCAAGACGCGGTTCGGCCCCTTCTGCTTCGACCAGAAGGTGTCCCACTTTGACGAGGGCGAGAAGCGCACCTTCTGCCAGCGGTACTGGGTCGACAGCCAGTACTATGTCGAGGGTGGGCCAGTCTTTATCCTCGACGGAGGCGAGACGGATGGTGCCAATCGGTGAGAGCGTGCGTCCGGTGTCAGTTCGACGCAATAAGCTTCTTCAACTGTGTGGAACGAGAGCTGACGACAGTATCCCCTTCATGGAGCAGGGCATCCTGCAGATCCTCTCGAACGCGACGGGCGGCATGAGCGTAATTCTCGAGCACCGGTACTACGGCGCGTCGTATGTGACGGAGGACCTGTCGACGGACAACCTGCGCTGGCTGAACAACAAGGAGTCGCTCGAGGACAGCGCCGAGTTCATCCGCAAGTTCCCCGTGCCGAAGGATGTGCAGAAGAAGCTCAAGAACAAGGACGTATTCAAGCCCGATTGCACGCCGTACATCTACTACGGCGGGTCGTATGCCGGTGCGCGGGCCGCTTTCATGCGCAAGGAATACCCCGACCTCGTGTTCGGCGGGATCGGCTCCTCAGGCGTGACACACGCGCAGGTCTACTACCCCGAGTACTTTGACCCGATCATCACCTACGGCGAGCCGGCATGCATCAAGGCGATGGAGGAGAGCATTGCGTCCGTCGACGAGCTGCTGGACAAGAGCGCCGAGACGAATGCGGCGCTGAAGAAGCTCTTCGGGCTCGAGGCGCTGAACGATGTCGACTTTGCCGGCGTGCTGCAGTACCCCACCGGCGGGTGGCAGGGACAGAACTGGGACCCCGCCGTGGGATCCACAGACTGGGCCGACTGGTGTCGCGCCCTCACCGTGCCGCGGAGCAACGCCGACGCCACCGTGGCCGGCATGTCTGTGCCGGGCTCTCTGCTCAACTACGCCGACTATGTGCGCGACGAGATCATCAAGCCGTCCTGCCCCAGCGGCGACATCCAGGGCTGCTTCGCCGAGGGCCCCGACTCGGATTACCAGAACACGTCCCTGTCGCAGACCTGGAGGCTGTGGCAGTTCCAAGTCTGCACGCAGTGGGGATACTTCCAAGTCGCGCCCAAGCCGGGCAAGCGCACGATTGTATCCCGCAAGCTCACGCTCGACACGGCGCACAAGATCTGCAAGCAGGCCTATCCCCCGGGAGAGCACTTCTCCGTCCCCGCCTGGCCCGACGTGCACGAGACCAACAGCCGTGGCTCCTACTACATTGCGTATGACCGCCTCGCGTTCATCGACGGCGAGATCGACCCGTGGCGTCCCGTCACGCCTAATGCGGACGTCGCGCCCAAGAGGAACAGCACGACGTCCCCGCCCAACTGGATCATCCCCGGTGGCGTGCACCACTATGACGAGAATGGCCTCAAGGACCACTTAAAGGAGCCAAAGCAGATTCAGGAGGTGCACGCGTTCATGGTCGACTTTGTCCACAAGTGGCTCGAGGGCAAGGATGATGAAGGCCATGGTCATGGCAACGGACATGGACATGGACACGGAAACGGAAACGGAAACGGCCATGGACACGGGAACGGCCACGACAACGGGAACCACGACGGGTGGGAGAATGGGAAGGGCCACGACAAGGACCATGGTAACGGCCACGGAAACCACGATCACGGGGACCATGGCAACTAGGTAGATCGTAGAAAGAAGCAGGGAGCAGTATGAAGGTAATTCGAACATTCACACCCTTTGGCCCACAGTATTTCCACTGTCTCTTCGCTTTCAGCACCGCTTGTGCTGTCGCTCATCACCTCGCTCACCCATGTCGCATTCCTCGCTTCGCTCGCGCTCTCGGGCTGCTCGGTCTGCTCTGGCTGCAATGAGCTGGATGTGTATGCATTCTACTACCCGTACAAGTCCCCCGTGCTGTGCGCCTATCATGCTTAAGCCATGGAAACAGTCGCGCCGAGCTCCTGCAGCTTCTTCTGCAGCTTCTCGGCCTCCTCCTTGGGCACGTTCTCCTTGAGCGTCTGGGGGACCGACTCGACAAACTTCTTGGCCTGGGAATGTTAGCGATTGCCTGCGAGCGTAGCGAGCGGCGGGCAGCCAGAGTAGCGGGGAGCATTGAGATGGCGGGGCTAAGTGGTGCACCACAAGCGAGAAGACAACGAGGCGCTGAAAGCCGGAGAGATAACAGATGTCATGGGTCACACGAGCTGGGTCACGAGACTGTGCACTGCTGGCTGACGAAAGCGAGCCAAGTTTGGCCCATATTGGCACAAAACGGCCCGATGCCGTTTGTTGAGCATCTTCGGCCAGTCGCGGTCACGCAACTTCACACCACGTTGGAAGGGGGCGGAGGCTTGCTTTCGGCGACGGGTTCGAGGCTCACAGTACGTCTGCCTCGACCATTCGCAAGCCTCTCTTACCCAATCTTCGTCCACCGCTCGAAATCGTCTCTCAACTCTCTGTGTGCGTCTCTCATTCCTCATCCCTCCATCCAATGCTCATCGCACGCTCATTTCCGTCCCTCCCCCGTGCCTCGCACCCGCTGCGCGGCCGCTCGGGGGCCGTCCGACGTCGGCAAACTCACCTCAACCAGATTCATGTTGGGCATGATAGCCTTGACCTCGCGGATGATCTTGGCCTTGGCGGCGGCGTCAATCTTCTCGAGCTTGAGCGTGAAGATGGTCTTCTCCTTGGGCGCCTCCTCCTCGGCGGGGGCCTCGGCGGCAGCGGCAGCGGCTCCGGCAGCGGGGGCGGCGGCAGCGGCGGGGACGGCAATCTCGGTGATGTTCAGGCGGGTCTGGGGTCAGCACTGTACGAGCGATTTGCGAGCAAGCGCGAGCGCTGCGAGCGCTAGCGAGGTTCTGGCCCTGGTCCGTCCTCTCTTTCTCTCCGCTCTCCACTTCCACTTCTCTACCTCCATGCCGCTGCTCGGCACCGACTTCGGACACTCCAGAGGCGATCACCCACAGCAGCCAGACCACAACCCGTGTTCTCTCCGTAGTGTGTTCCCTCCTGTCCTATGGACATACCAGACCTCCTCAACCCACCTTGAGAGCCGAAACGAGCTCCGAGACCTCGAGAAGCGTGAGCTTCTCAACCGAGTCGACAATGCTCGAGATCTTGGGCGAGACCTCGGCGGCGGGGGCAGCAGCCTCGTCACGGACGACGCGGGTCGTGGAGAGCATGCGGGCCGAGCGCGCGAGCGGTCGCGAGGACGAAGCGCGGAGGGCGCGGAAAACAACGGTCCGGGAAGCCTGCGAGGTTAGCTGTTGTTCATCCTCGCAGCTCGGTGCAGGTCGGAGGGCTGCTCGGCGGGCGGCGGGCGGCGAGCACATCTGTCGACATAAGACACCTAGATGCACTCTGCGCGCCATCGGGGGCGGAGAAGCATGCGTGGCCATATCGGAGATGGACATGCGATTCCAGTATTCGAAGTTGCTGTTTTCGCTTTCGCAGCAGCCGTGATCGAAGAGGTCGAAGCTCGGAGTCGGTGCATGTGTCATTGTCGCGGTATCGCCAGTCGTTGCCGTCGCCGCCGCCGTTTGAGCCTGAGCAAATCATACTCACGCTCATTTTGGTATCGATAAAAAGGGGGTAGGGGATGTACGGGGTGTTGTCCTAGGTACTTTTCGTCCAGTTCAGTGTTCGCGAACGAGTGACCCTCCGACCCGTCCGAAATCGTCTGCCACTCGAAAAAAAACGCCGTCTTGTGGATTCAGGCGGGCGCACGGATTGGGACGCCTAAACATTCTTTCTCAGCGGATCACGTGAATTACAACGCACGCGATAGTCTCGTGAACTTCGCGTGGACGGAAAGGTGGCACGCGAAATGATGTCATTGAAGGCAAGACTGCGGGAGAGGCTAGCGTCCGTGGGAGAGTAAAGTTTCGGCGTCCGAGTGCACCGCTTTTGATCCGAAAAACGTGTGAGTGTGATGTTATCTATCCTGAGGGGACCTGAGGAGAACCCTGCCAGCCCTGGGCAGCTGGTTTCCCCCTTCCTTGAATTGGGGTCGTGCTTATGGACAGGCAGACGGGCACAGGGAAAACAGACGCTCCGCCGCGCCACCCAGCAGCACTCCTGCCTGCCTCAGGGCGCGGATATCCTCAACCCAAGAAGCAACCAAGCAGCGGCTCATGACCAGTGAATGCTTCCCGCTCACGTCCAAGCTTTCACCAAGGTTGGCTCTGCCCACTGGTACAGCTTTCGTGCGGCGCTGGTACCGCAGCCCAAATGCGCTGAGAGCGAGCAGCTGCTCCAGGGCAGGGATGAATGGCTGCCGTGCTTATGGACAGGCAGACGGGCACAGGGAAAACAGACGCTCCGCCGCGCCACCCAGCAGCACTCCTGCCTGCCTCAGGGCGCGGATATCCTCAACCCAAGAAGCAACCAAGCAGCGGCTCATGACCAGTGAATGCTTCCCGCTCACGTCCAAGCTTTCACCAAGGTTGGCTCTGCCCACTGGTACAGCTTTCGTGCGGCGCTGGTACCGCAGCCCAAATGCGCTGAGAGCGAGCAGCTGCTCCAGGGCTAGCGAGGCTAGCAGGGCGAGTGTCCCAAGAATGACGCAGGTTGTGCACAATTAGCCCTCGAACAGCCTGAAGCTGAATCAGACTTAGTGAGGATTAGCTTCGACACAGCGCTCCCAGCCCACTATTGCGCTATCGGCCGCCGCCGCCGCTGCCGCCGCGCCGCCGTCGCCGAACAATTACACTGAGCAGGAGCCAAGCGATCGGCGGGCGCTGCCCAGGTACACCTTACGCAGGGACGCACACAGTCTTTCAAGCTCCTACGGCCGCTTCCCAGTCCGCTTCCTGGGCAACCTGGATTCCTTGTTCTCGCGCCAGACCGGGAGACGGAGGGCGGTGTAGGCGTATGTCTTTATCTCTTTCTACACCTGGCACTCTGTTGTTCTCATAGTCTTACTCAACCTCTCACACATCTCTTTCGTCGTTCTCGTCGTTCTCGTCGTTCGCTCGTCGCTCGCTCGCAAGTTACGACTCGCTCACGACTTACGACTCACGATGAGGATACCAACGCTGCTCGCGGCCGCAGCCTTCGCGTACGAAGCCAGCGCGCAGGACCGGTTCATCCTCGGCTCGTCGAATGCGCTCACCGTCTCGCGCATGGACCCCATCATTTCGCCAGGCGCATTCGGAGGGCACGTCCACCGCGTCTACGGAGGGTCTGCTTTCAGGAGTGAGTAATCGCGCAGCTCTGTGCGACAGCACAGAGCGAGCATGAAGGATAGAGTATGGCTGCAGACGGTATCCACAGGCTTTGTCATCACTGCAACACATTGTTGGCTTATTGTCTTGGCGGGTGTGTCGAGGTGGTGCGAAAACATTGTGTTGCCGCAGATCGGTCGATGCCGAGCGGTTACTGCTGATCTGCTATCTGTGCAGCGTGCTCGGCACAGATAGCAAGACAAGACAAGACACTCAGCCACCTACTGCCACAGCCTCTCCTAGTCTCCCTCTTATCTCGCGCTCGCTCCGCTCGCGGTCGCTAACGCCCCCAGACGTGCTCAACGACCCACAAGACCAGCTGGACAAGTCGCACTGCAGCACCGTCAAAGTCCTAGCCGACAAGTCAAACTACTGGGTGCCGGCGCTGTACTTCATAAACCCGAACGGGACGTACAGCATGCTGAACGGGGAGCCGCGTATCTACTACCTGCTAGACTTTGACAAGTCGCAGCCGTTGGCCGCGTTCCCGCCGGGCCTGCACATGATCTCTGGGTTGGCTATGCGCCGCGACCCGGGCGCGAAGCAAGCACAGGGCATCCAGCTCACCGTCGACGCGTACCTGAACGTGCCGACGAACAACCAGTTCATCCCGAACGGCACGGTGCACCCCGATCCGCCAGGACAGGGGTATGTGCAGCTGAACGTGCGGTTCCCCAACTGTGGGTGGGCGAACCAGTCGCTGGATTCCTGGGACCATTTCTCCCACATGGCCTGGAGCGTGAACGACAAGGGCGAGTGGGACCCGATGGGCCGCAAGTGTCCCGACACGCATCCGATTCGGTATCCTCAGATCTTTCTTGAGAATTTCTATCGTCTAGAGCCCTGGCAGAAGGACCAGTGGAACCGGACTGGGCCCAGTGTGATCCTCGCGAACGGGGACACGACTGGGGCCACCTTCCACGGCGACTTTGTGAACGGGTGGGAGCCCGAGGTGCTCCAGCGCGCCATCAACGAGTGCCGCACGGCAGGCGACGATCTGGACAAGTGTAAAGCGTTCGACGGGCAGCTGCAGGACCCGTGGAACAAGACGACAGGCGCCCCGGCAGACATGTACGACTGTCGCCTGCAGAGCCAGATTCCGGCCGAGGACGTGGGCTTCTATCGCCCCCTCGAGCATCTCCCCGGCTGCAACCCGCGGTGGGACTGGGACGGGCCCACGGACCACCGCTCGATTACCGAGGGCCGCGACGCATGCCCCTGGTTCGAGGGCGAGCCGGGCTGGACCTCCCCGAACCTCCAGTACTGGGCGCAGCGGGAGTACTCGTTCCCCATCGTGCTGCCTGGGGTGGACTCGTCGAATGTCTCGAACCTGGTCACGAGCGTGGGCCGGTGGCAGGGCACGGGCGCGCGCATCGTGCCCTGGCCGACGGACCAGGACGGGGAGACGCCCCAGTCCGTCCCGCCCAACTCGAAGGGATACCGCGGCGTGCTCGTCGGCTCGCAGGCCGAGGTCGACAAGGCCGCCAAGACTAAGGACGACAAGGACTGGCAGCCGAGCGTGTTTGGGTGGGACAGCCCCCCGGGACACTGGGAGCAGGAGAAGCCCGCGGACAGTCCGAAGCCGGCGCCCGTGGATACGAAACGGTACGAGAAGATGGCGGCCACAACGCACCAGACAGCCACTTATGCCTGTGCTACCACCACCGCTTGGGCGGGCCTGCCCTGCGGCCCGGAGTATGTCAAGGATGCGCCAAAGGCGAAGGACGAGGAACACAAGAAGCACGGTGCGGGCACGAGAGTGCTGCCCAGTGTCGCGTGTGTGCTCTCCATGCTCCTCTCGGTGGCCTATGTTCTCGCATAGAGTTTCCATCTTTTTCTGCTCTCATTTCCGACGCCTTGATCCAATAATGTAGCTTTCACTGTTTTTCCATAGACACTTTAGATTCCCCATCATCTATAGATAATCTGTACGTCGTATCCAGACCCACGCACACATGCATTTTCACCCTCTTTGCCAGCACCCGTCATCCCTCCTGCTTTCTCGCAGACACGGTCGAGAGCAGATGTAACAATGGTGGAGCGCACAGCAGTCCACAGCAGTCCACAGAACTCCGCACTCCTCGCCGCTCTTCTCGCCGACGACTGCGTACATGACATCGACAGGATAACGAGGAGAGCCATCATCAGCGGCTTCAGCGGCTCAATGCAGGCTCAATGCAGGCTCAATGCAGCCTCACTGCTGGGCTCAATAGACGGCGCTGCCACCTCCGCCTGTTTTATCCTGCATCTGGTCGGCTTCAGGTCGGCATCGGGTCTGCAGGTGAACGGGGGCGAGGAGGCTGGAGGCTGCTGGCGGCTGCTGGAGGCTGGAGGCTGGTCATTACCGGGGGCTGGTTGCCCAGGTCGCCCCCGTCTGCCACTTTGTCCACTACCGGCTACCCTCGCTGCCAACGTTTGCTTGGATATGCTTGGATATGCTTGGACAGGCTTGGACGAACGCCGAGCGCGCCGAGAGTCTGGCGGGCCTGGCGGGCCTTGGACAGCCTTGGACAGCCTTGGCTAGCATGGCTGACGACTGACTTGTCTGCAATTGTCTGAACCTGACTGGGGCGCGGGGCGAGGGTGGTCGGTGTGATGTTTATGCCCCTGGACGTCCTGGACGCTGCTGACCCTGTGAACATCGGCCCTGCAGCTGCAGGCCCTGTCTTGTAGAGGGATGTCCTTTTGAGTGGTCGATGTTAGAGCTCACCCAGTGGGCCCACTGGCCACTGGTCGGCACTGTAGCCCACTGGCCACTAGCCAGACACTGGCCATTCCTCTCGATCCTCTCGATCCTCTCGATCCTCTCTCCGTACCTCCGTCGCAAGTCGCAAGCTGACGACCTCCGTCACCTCCGTCACCACGTCACCGGACTCGGCCAGGAGAGATAGTCCCGTTCGAGATGCCAGAAATAGCATCGCCCGCACCCTCCATCCACACCATGCAAGTTCTGCGCTATCAGGACATGGCACCTGAGGATAGCCAGCCACACAGGCCACACCATCCCCCCGCTCTATCGCTTTGATCAGGGATGAATGGCTGCCTCTTGAACCCGCTACACTAGCCGCAGACATCGAGGCTCCTCCACCGCTGCAATATCAATGCTCGCTCGTCGGCACGCTCGTCGGCGGCTGGGCTAATCATAATTGTCCGAATGCATACGCAGCTAGACAGAGGAGATAGGGGACGTACTGGAAAAAAATTGTTCGTTACACTACATTCTATGACCACGGGGACGTTGGATCATGAGTGGGAGGGAGGAGATTGTGTTTCTATACAGCAGCCAACTGGAAGGACTACTTGTGACTGTCGACCGACCACTGGTCGAGAGGGACGTTGGCGGGCTCCTTGTCGTCGCCGTCCTTCTTGTCGGGCCACTGCGGCTGCCAGAGGGTCTGGAAGCTGGCGTCCTTGACGCCGTCACCGGCGGAAATCACCAGGATCTTGGCAGGCGAGTTGTCCGGGTCGCCGTCCTTCTCACCCTTGGCCGAGTCAGGCGCGGGCGGCGTCACGGCCGAGACGGCGTCCTTGGTCGAGAACTGGAGGCCGGCAGGGTTCGCGTTGATGATCTTGACTGTGAGCTTCTGGCCACCGGGCGACGAGAGCGAGGCCTCGGCGCCGTTCAGCTCGACCGACGCGTTCGTCTGAACGTGCCACTCGATCGTGCCCGCAGCTCCGCCAATCTCGTCCTGGAGCAGCATCTGGCGACGGCCGTTCAGGAAACGGATACCGCGCTTGACCGACGAAGTGCCGTTGTAAGCGGCAGACATGTCCATCGTCCAGAAGGCAGTGTCGTCAGAGCCGACCTCGAGGTAGGGGGCAGCACCCTGCTGCGTGCCGCTCGAGCCCCACTTGACAGTGGGCGCCGCAGCGCCAGAGAACTGGTTCTCGCCGCCAATGACAATCGTGTTCTGGCCCTCCGTGCGCTTGCGGAAGTAGAGCCAGCGCTGCGAGTCGGGAGCCTCGGACGAGAAGTAGCCGGGCGACAGGTACTGGCCAGAACCGTACTCGCCGGCCCAGCGCTGTCCCATGGCGTCAAAGACAAAGTCACCCATGTCGAGGTCACCGTGGGTCTGGTGCTCGAGGAGCGAACCACCCTTGATACCCCAGTAGGTGCCAGAGTTGTCAGACCACGAGGAACGAGCGGCGGCCCACTCGCCAGCAGGGTCAGAGAAGTGGTGGTCAATCTCGAGGCCGTTCCAGAAGGCGCCGTCGGTGGTGGGGTCGTACCAGAACATGTTCCAGGGGTCGGCGGCGTCGTAGTGGTCACGCTGGTAGAGGGCGTAGCGGGGCTCGTTGAAGGTCGAGGCGAGGAAGACGAGAACGTTGGCGGTGGCCGAGAACTTGTTGGGTCCGTGGTCACCATAGTTGAAGAGCGACGTCATGCCCTGGCCGTGCATGTGGAACAGGGCAGTGTTGAGCCAGCGGTCCTTGTTGTCGCCAAGGAGCGACTCGACAGAAGCGCCAGTCGCAGTGTTGAGAGCAGAGAGCATCTCGGCGGCGCCAGTGGTACCGAAGTACCAGTAGTCGTTGGTCTCAGCCCAGGTACCGTCGGTGTGAGGGGCCTGGAAACAGGCGGCCTGAGCAGACTTGGTAGCCGAGTCAATAATCGAGTCCGAGATGCCATTGTCCTCGCCCTTGATGGCAAGAGCACCGAGAATGAGACCGCTGTTGCAGACACAGTTCCAGTTACCCTTGATGTTGTCGTTCTTCCACCAGTTCTGAACCTGGCCCTGACCGGCGAAGGCCTGCTGGCCCGGGGTAAGACCGTGGTCGACAATCCAGCCGCGGATCTGAGACTTCTGGTCGTCCAAGAAGGCGTCGCTGAACCAGTCGTATCCGATAGCGTAGGCGGCAGTGTACTCGGCAGTGTCGAGGAAGTGGCCGTTGGCGTTCCAAGGGTCAGCCGAGTAGCCAGCGTCGGCAGCGTTCGAGATACCCTCGCTGAGCTCCTTCCAGGCGCGGTCGGCGTACTTCTTGTCACCGGTCATCTTCCAGGCGTAACCGAGAATCTTGATGCGAACCTTGATCTCACGAGCAATGTCGAGGACACCAGAGCCGGTGGGGCCACCGTCCATCTCGTACTTGACAGAGCCCGCGTTAAGAATGGTGGAGGCGTTGCCCATGAGAACAGTGTCCCAGAACGAGAAGTAGGGGTCCTTGTCCTTGAGGCCGTTCTTGAGGGCGTCCCACTTGTACTGGGGAGCGATGAGGCGAGGGTGCGAGCGGAGGTTACCAGACGAAGGCTGCTCGTTGTCGCTGGGCCACGAGTCGTCCTTGCCGGCGACGTTGGTGGGGGCAGCGTAACCAGCGGTGCCGGTTCCAGTGGCGTAAACGGGGAGCATGTAAACATCGGTCTGGGCGGGAAGGTAGACCTCGCCGTTGGGGCCAGTGACGGTCTCGTGCGGAAGGCGGTCGTCGGTGAGGATCTGGATCATACCGGGAAGAGCAGTGTTGCCAGCGTCGGGGGCAGGGGCCTGACCCTTGTCACCACCCTGGTTGGCGGTACCAGCGTTGTTCGTCTTGTCGTTGCTGCCAGAGTTGCCGTTATTCGTGCTGGGGTCCTTGGCGGCGTTCGTGTTGTCGTTGGCGCGCGAGGCAGACGACGAGTTCTTGTCGTCGTTCTTGTTGGCAGCGCGAGATCCAAGGACACCACCGAGGACGGCACCGACAATCACACAGATGGCGATGATGGCAGCAAGAATGTACCATCCCTTGCGGCTCTTGCGCTTCTTAGGCGCATAAGCGGGCTCAGAGCCCGTGGCAGCGTACGGGTTGCTGCTCGACATGGGGTCTTTATCGTGCGGCGGAAGGAGCGATGTGCCGACGTCAGATCCACCGGGGGTATCGTAGGGAGAGTCATAGTAGTTGTTGTTCGTCGTCGACGCCATTTTGAACAGCGCGTGACGGGAGTTCGCGGAGGGGGTGAATTAGTCGGGAGAAAGCCCGGACGGCGGGGGTAGGAGAAGGGGACGCAATGGTAGCCAGGGGAAGAGGTCGGGGCGTCAAGGAGATCGGAAGAGGAGAGTCGAGGGGAAAAGAGTAGACGAGACAAGTTTAAGAAGGAAGAAGTCGGGGGGAGGGTGTGGTTGCGGCGGTGCGGCGGTGCGGCAGTGCGAGCGGCAGGGATGTGTGTTTTGGTCGGTCAGAGAGTGCGGTGAGAGTGGGAGTGTGGGAGTTTTGGTGCAGGCGGGCGGGCGGGCGGTGTATTACGCGGGCAGGCAGCCGGGAGAGAAGGCGAGGCGTGGACAGAATTGGCCAGGAACAGGAGGGTCGCGCGCGTGTCAGCATTACAGCATCCAGACCCAAGCAAAGTGTCCCTTTTCGTGCCAAGAACCATCTTCTTCATGCAGAGTCCGCCATCTGCGACTTGTCTGAGAACACATTCTAACAGCCCGTCCCGCACGTCGGAAAGAGCGAGGTCACAAGTGCATGCTGGGGCGCTCGTGGGCGGCAGAGAGCAGCACTGGGGAGGGTGTATTCTGGGCGAGACGGAGAACCGACTGGGTCATGTTTGTGCGCAGCCAGGTTCACCAACCAGGTGCTGTGCACTGCCCCCCTCCTCCAGCGCAAAGTCTGAGCCTGAGCCCCGTCTTAAGGCCGTCGTCACAGCTCACCACCTTTTGGAACACTGTGCGTCGTCTAAAAACAGAACAGCGGCGAGCTTGGGTGTGCGTGCGTGCGATCGTGCGCAGGGGCCGCGAAGCACTGTGTCGTGCTCCGTGCATCAAACAACAGCACACCGGCGACCGTCGCTCGTCGCACAGCAATCAACGGCACAGAGTGTGTCTGTGCGTCTGCATGGACCAGACTCTTTAAGACCCGAACCTGCAACCCCGACTGACTCTGCATTACGCTTCCTGGCACTTGCGAAAGGGAGAACACCACGGATCAATCTCCTTACTCACAGTCGTCGCGGTAACCGGCGCCGCCGTTGCCATAGTTGTTGTCCGAGTAGCCGCCGTGGGGGTTGGGCGAGTACCCGTGACCGTGGTCCTGGTAGGGTGCGGGTTCGTATCGTGCCGACATTGCGCCTGGCAAGAAAAAGTCGAGGACGGATACGAAGAAGGGGGAGGTGGGGTGTGGATGGAGAGATGGAGGATTAAGGGGGGATTGGGTTGGAGGAAAAGGGGCAGATGTTTGCCGGACGAATGAATTGAAAGAGCGTGTTGTTGTACGTGGTGGGTGGGGTATGTGCCGGTGGAGTGGAGTTGGCCAAGCAGCGGCGGTGGATAGGAAGAAAAAAGGACACCAGTTGTCGACTTGAGACAGCGAGCAGTCAAGTGTCGGCGGCGGCGGCAATGGATGGAAGAGTGTGTGAGGAGGAAACAGCAAAAGGATGTGCGCTTGGTAGCGTCGTTGTTGGCGATGGGACGGGCAGCGGAACTGGCGGCGGGGGAAGG